GTCCAACCTGACCATGCTGTCCAGTCTGACTTGCTGTCCAGCCTGACTGCTCTGTGCAGTTCGGCCTGACCGTGCTGTCCAGCCTGACTGCTCTGTGCTGTCCATCTGGGAGGAGTGAGCAGGCTGGAGCTTCCTTCCACCTGCTGCTCTGTCCTGCTTGCTAGTCCCATCTATTCGTGATTGGATACTGTTTCCCAGGAGCAGATCAGAAAACTGGGATTAACTAGTTGATCTGTTTATCTGTTAAGGCCACCCTCCCACTCCTACTGAATCTGGTACTTTAGGGTAAACCATCAGTTGAATTTGGGCAATGAATACGATCAGGACAGTTAGGCGGGAGCACAGGCTCAGCCTGGGGCCCAGCTCCGAGCATCCCTGGGTGTGGCCCCTGGCCTGGTTCAATGGCAAAGCATGTATCCCATGTGTGAGGCCTTGGAGTTACTGCTAGGAAGATCAAAACATTTTCCAGAGGAGTAAACTACAAATCATTCTTAGATCATATAAAATATCTGATACATAATACACAATTATCGAACAAAAAGAAGACAAAAACAAACCACTCAAAATGAGAATGAGGGCATGACTCACTCGCTCTTGGAAGAAAATCAATACGGACCAGTATTGATAGAATCATAGCCAAATGCTGCTCTGGGCAAACACCAAAAACCCTGGGGCCTGAGCAACAGTAGCGGGACGGCCACTTGCTTCGTATGTGGCCAACCAGGGATTGATTCCTGGTACCCCATATAGTACCCCAAGCCCACTAGGAGTGATCCCTGAGCACAGAGCCTGGAGTGAGCCCTGAGCGCAGAGCTGGGAGTGAGCCTGGAGCACTGCCTTGCGGCCCTGCAGAAGCCTGGCACGGATGGCGTTGTGGGGAAGGATGCAGTCTTGAGGAAGCAGAGCTCCTTCCTGCAAGGGTCTGGACCGGCCTGTCATGAGTCCCCACACAGCGGGCCCAGGGCCCTCAGACCCCATCAGAGCCCTAAACCCTCTCGTCCAGCAGAGCAGTGCTGGGAAGGCAAATCAGGCCTGCCCTTGCCTCAGCATCAGGGGGAGGGAGGCGGGAGGAGGGAAGGGACAGCGACAGTCAGTGGGGCCGGCCTGCAGGAGTCCACGGGAGCCTGGCTTGCAGGTTTTCCATTTACAATGGTGGTTTCCAGGCAGACAGCACGGGACACTCCCGCAGAGGGTCTTCGAGCCCGGTCAGGAGTGACCCTTGAGCACAGAGCCAGGAGTCAGCCCCCAAGCACTGCTGGGTGTGGCCAAACACAAACAAGGAAGAAGGAAGCTTCCTCATCTCCCTCTGTGCTCAGGGTGTGCCCAGGACTCCTGTCTTTTCCACATTCACTGGACCTCGGGCCCACCCTTCCCCGGGTGGGGCCCTCATGTCTTTGAACTACTGGGAGGGGGGGATTTGGTGACTTCTGTCAACCCCACTGTGGCTTTGCCACACCCCAATCTCAGCCCAGGCCTCCGGGGCAGGGGCGCTCCCGCAGCACACGCATCTTCCCAGACTTCCTCGTGATGTTTCATTTATTTATTTATTTATTTATTTATTGCTTTTTTGGTCACACCAAGCAATGCTCAGGGATTATTCCTGGCTCTGCACTCAGGAATTACTCCTGGCGGTGCTTGGGGAACCATATGGGATGCCGGGGATTGAACCCAGGTCGGCCGCGTGCAAGGCAAACGCCCTACCCACTATGCTATCACTCCGGCCCGTGATGTTTCATTTTTATTAAAAAAATTGTTCTTTGGGGCTGGAGCGATAGCACAGCGAGTAGGGTGTTTGCCTTGCACGCAGCCAACATGGCCGACACAGGTTCGATTCCCAGCACCCCATATGGTCCCCTGAGCACCGCCAGGAGCTATTCCTGAGTGCATGAGCCAGGAGTAACCCCTGAGCATCGCCGGGTGTGACCCAAAAAGAAAAAAAAAATTGTTCTTTTCGGTGAAGGATGGTAGTTTCAATTTTAAATATTTATTTTTGGGTTCTGGGTACATACAGCAATGCTCAGGGATCACTCTTGGTGGGCAAGGCCAGTGCCCTCCCCGTTGTATCAGGAACATACATGAGATAGAATGTGCGCTTCTCCAGCGTATACTACAGTGAAGGAGCGAGGACAGCTGCCTGGAGTGAACCTTCGTGTCAGACCTGAGTGGGGCCACTAGACAGGGCTGCAGGTAGCAAGCTCGATCTAGCACCACAGAGGGTCCAAGTCCGGAATGAGCCCTGGGGGTCAGGTCAACCATGGGCAAGGCCAGTACCTCCCGCAGTTTCTCTCCAGGCTGTTGTCTGCGGGATCTGTTTTGGGGCCACTTCCAGTTCCTCAGGGAAACACGGGGTGCTAGAGATTGGGGCTGGACGCAGCCAGAGGCCAAATCCCTTTTCCCCTTCTGGTCAGGCTGCAGTCGGTGATGCCTCTGGCTCCTCTTGCCCCTGGAGGCCTGGCAGCAACACCATGCCTGTCACCATGCCTGTCTGAGTAAGCTGCTGGGGTTCGCAGGGCACCTGGGTGGACCCTGTCCCAGCACTGTTTACTGCTGGGCCCCGCTGGCCCTGGCTACTGCTGGGTTGGGAGGGGCGGGGGGCATCTGCATGCTACACTGGCTTTGACACCGGCTCCGACACCCTCTGCCCCCATACTGATCAGCGCCTGCTCCCTGCCCAGACCAGCAGGTGTTTCTGAACACTGGACCATCTTCACTTCACCCTGGGTTTCAGGTACCCTTGTTTCAGGCTTGGCCTCCGAGCCCAGAGGGTCGCTCTTGACACCTTGTGGTGTCCCAGAGACCCTCTCCCTAAGGCTCTGCAGATCAGACTGCTCCTCCAGCCATAAACAGCGTCTGTGGCTACAGGTGGTCAGAGGTGTGGGGCACACGGCCCCAGGGCTGACCAAGAGGGCCTGGCTCAGGTACACAAGGGGCACTTCCCCCCACTCCGCCCATCAGAGAAGGTGGCACCAGGCTAGGCTGGTCTCTGGGTGCCCACAATTGGGTCCCACGGGAAAAGCCAAGGCTGTGTGCTCGCTCTCCGCCACAGAGGCCTCTCAGGATGGGACATGCAGGACCCGGTGCAGGAGGGCACGGGCTGCCTCTGACCCCAACCCAAGGGTGGCCCTGCCAGTCGCCTTCACAGGACCCCAAACACCCTCACCAAAAGCAAGGAAAAAAGGCGGATTCTGCATTTCTTTCCTTTTATTTATCAAATTTGATAATGAATTAGTTCCCAAGCAACCTCCATGGGCAAGAACATTCGGTGTTTTCAGCTCAGTCACATTGTCAACTCAGGAAGTCTGTGTGTTTGACAAGGGCACACAGGAGACAATTCCAAGGCTCAGCGGGGAGACAGGTCAGAGCAGCTCACACACAAGCTGGACACTGCACATTTAACAACCTGCACAGGTAACAAAGAGCTGCCTGGCTTGGGTGAAAGTCACAGAAAAGTGGCCGTTATGTTCTGCTGGTATTCTGAGGTCGTCTCTAAAGACGGATTTATTGCTATATCCCCTGGTGCTCAGCTGACCCCAGGTCACTGCACAACAGCTCTCAGTAAAACACATGGATGCGTGGGTCCCCATCACAGAAAATGATGCCACCAGCCCTCAGATCTCAGCCCCACTCGGAGTGTCCACCAAGAGCCAGAGGCGAAGGCAGCGGGTGCCTCTGGTCCAGCATCCGGCGGGAGGGGAGGGCGCAGCAGGGCAGGTGCCGGCCTCAGAGGCATCAGGCGTGGGCCCGCAGCACTTTGGGTGGTGCCCTGGTGGAGTGACAGACAGGGCAAGGCCAGCGGACACAAGACCCCTTATAGAGCAGGCTTGGTTTGGAGAGTGGCCCGGCTGACTCTAAGGGAGGGGACAGCCCTGGCCCGGAAACTCACTCTGGACTTAGGGGAGCGGCGAAAAGTGCAATAATGGACTCAAGAAAAACCTAGCTCGAGGGGTGGTGTGGGAGGAGCGGGGGGATCAGAAAGACCCCTTTCCCAACACAGCCCCGTGCGGGGCGAGGTGCCCCCTGCCACCCTTCCAGCTGAGTCGCACATAAGGCCGCTCAGTCGGGCACTGGGCAGAGAGCACCTGCGACCCACGGATGCGCGGTTGGGGGAGGCAAGATGTAACCACAGTGGCCTTGAGCTCACTGTCCGTCCCAGCACACGTCCACCCACCTTCCGATGGGCTGAAGGCCAGGCTGTGTGTCCACCACGGAACGAAGTCCCAGCACAGGGCATGTTGGTCGACCCCGGCCACCACGCAGGCCCTCCCAGCAGCGCCCAGGGCTTGGCTCAGGACGGGAGCCTGAAGACCAGCTCAGCAAGCAGCCCAGGTGGCCATGAGTGGTCTGGGGCCTACCTGGTGGTGCTCTGGCTCTGCGGTAGCAGCACTGAGGGGAACACCACCAGGCAGCCAGGTGCTGATGTCAACCTATGAACGTCAGCCGCCCAAACGCCTGCTTTCTGGAAGACACTTCGCCCCCCGCCGGGAAAGTAAGACCCCCAAGCTCACAGTGGAGGCCTGGACAGGAAGGTCAGCACACAGGCCCCGGCAAGAGCCCAGACCTGCCATCACCCCGTTTCCACCAGCTGAGGACAAGAGCACCAACAAGCACCGCCAGACCCCACACTGCCTTCCACAGCCTGTGACAGGTCTCGGTGTCACGTGGGCCTGCTTCGGGAACAGACAGCCCCCTCCCCACACCGCGCAGCTCCCATGGTCACGCCCCGGCCCATCCCTAGCTGGTCACGCCTTGGGCCTATGGCTGGCCCTGCCCACCTTGCCTGCAGGCCCTCCTGCCCGGCCCCTCTGGACAGAAAACCGCAGACAAAGGGGTTCTCGCCGTCAGAACTGGGACCGGAGCCCCAGCTCCCCCCGACGCCCCTCACCTGGTGCGGCGTGCAGGCGGCGGCGGCAGAGGAACAGGGCTGCTCGTGCTCCCACCTACCGGGCAGAGAGCAGGCAGTTAGCGCCCGGGCAGACAGCGGGACAGTCAGACAGCGCCGGTGCCACACGTTTCTAGTTTATTATGGCCAAGGCGGAAACGCCGCCTCCTCCACAACAGCAACAGTGAGATTTATCCCAAAATAACTCAGTACAAAACAGGTCTGCTTCAGAATTAAAAAAAAAAAGGGGAGAGGGGAGAAGGGAGAAAAACCTTTACATGAGTTTTAAAACCCTATTTTAAAACATAAAAGAAACCGATGCCTCGGCAGCCGCGCAGCCCCTCTGCCCCTCCCCGGGAGCTCGGCCGACAGGACGTCTGTTCGGATCCGCACGCCGGTGGGTGGCTCTTAGCTGGTGTCCATCTGCAACACAGGAGAAGGCCGCTGTGTACTGTGCGCCCCGATTGCCCGCGCCTGTCCCCGGTGCCCAGGCCCGGCCACTTACCCTGGCATTGTAGGCGTCCAGCTGTGCGTCCAGCTCCTCTGCAGAAAGCTGCTGCTTGGAGCTCCGGCCGGTGCCCCGGCCCCGGCCCCGGCTGCCCCCGCGGGCTCCTCTCCGGACCCCGCCACCGAAGCCTCCAGCCCCGCGGTTCCTAGTCATCCCGCCTCTATTTATGCTGGCGAGAAAGAAGGGACGCTCAGTCTCGGCCTGGCAGGGACCCGCTGGCGCCCCCCAGGTCCCCCCAGCCCCTCACCTCTGGGCGGGTCTCCGCTGTGTGTCTATCTGTGACGTGACGAGCTGGATGTTCATGGGGCGGCCTGCGGCAGAGACAGGGAGGCCGTGAGCCCGCCCCGGGCGGGGCGCGGGGCCCGGGCCCCCCACCAGTCCGCCGTGCCCAGGGCTCAGGCGGGGCTGCCCCCTGCACGCACAGGCCTGGCCCCCGGCTGCACACGCGCCGACGCACCGTCCAGGGGCACCCCATTGTACTGCTTCATGGCCTTCAGCGCGTCCGCCTTCCGCTCGAAGTGCACGTCGGCGGTGCCCAGGCTGCGGCCCGAGCGATCGTAGTGCACAGCCGCCTTCTTCAGTGTCCCGAACTCGGCGAACAGCTCCTGTGGGCGGGCGCGGGAGGGCGCGCGATGTGAGCTGGGTGAGCGGGCTGAGCGCCGGCCGGGGGAGCGGGCTGGGGCGCGGGCGGGCCAGCGCGGGCACGGGTCCGGGCTGGGGGTGCGGGTGGGTGAGCACGGGCCGGGGCGCAGGTGGGCGAGCGCGGGCCCGGGTCCGGGTCCAGGTTGGGTCTGGGTCCAGGTCCGGGGGCGCGGGCCCGCCCGCCTCACGCGCTCACCTGGATGTCAGCGTCCGACACGCCGAAGTCCAGGTTAGACACCAGCAGCTTCCCGCCTGTCTCCACGCCGGCGCCGGCCCCGAAGCCGCTGTCGAACAGGTCGTGCTGCCACTTATCGGGGAGCTGCTTGGGCTGCGGGCGAGCGGGCGCATGAGCGGCCACGCGGCGGCGCGGACAAAGGCGGCCCGGACCCGCCCCCGGCCCCGGCCCGCGCCCCAGGCCCGCGGCCGTCCCGCCCGCGCTCACCCGGCTGTAGGGCGCCGGCCGATTCCTGCCGCCGCCGCCCGCCGCGCCGCGGGCCAGAGCCGCCCGGTTCCGGACCGGCCCGCCGCCGCGGCCCACCCGCGCGGCTGCCTGCACGCCGCCGCCGCGGCCCTGCGAGCCGGCGCGGCCGCGGCCCCGGCCCCCGCCGCGGCCGCCCCGCTGGCTCCGGTTCAGCTTGATGATGTCGTCCAGAGACATGTCCATCTTGTCGGCCATGGCGGGCGCGGAATCGGGCCTCGGCTCCGGCCCGCGCGTCAGCACGCCGGCGCGTCACTTCCGGCGCGGCGCGCGGCGGGCGGCGCCGCGGGCCCGGAGCAGCCGCCGATTGGCCGCAGGCGGGCGGGGGGCGGGCCGGCGCGTGCGCGCGAGGCCGGCGGGGCGGGGCACGCGGGGCGCCGGGCCGCGGCCGCGGTCGTTTTTATACCTTCCCGCGCGGGCGTGGGCGCTGCCAACCGAAGGCGGCGGGCGGGCGGGGGGGCGGGGCGCGCGCGCGCGGGCCGGGCCGCGGCGCGGGGCGGGCCGCGGCCGTTAGGGGCGGGGCGCGCGCCTGCTCCGCCCGCCGCTCCGTCCGCCGCCAGCGCCATGAAGGTGAAGATCAAGTGCTGGAACGGGGTGGCCACGTGGCTGTGGGTGGCCAACGACGAGAACTGCGGCATCTGCCGGATGGCATTCAACGGCTGCTGCCCGGACTGTGAGTGCCCGCAGGCGGCTCCGCGGTGGCGCGGCCCCAGGGCTCGGGGCGGGGCGGGATGGAGCCGCCGCGGCCGGCCGGGCCCGCGCCCGCCGCCTCCTCGGACCGCTCCGCGTGCGGGGGTCCCGGGGTGCGCGGGCCCACGGGCGCCGCGGAGCCTCGGGCCAGGGAGGGGTCGTGCGGGTGCCCGGCCGGCCCCGAGTACCAGCCTCGGCGCCCTTTCCTGTCCCCTTCCCCCGCCCGCCCTGGGCCTCCCTGTTCCGGAAGGATCCGATTCGATGGGTGACCCCTTGGCAGGGGCCTGTCGGCCTGCGCTCTGCCCTGGGGAAGCCTCCGATCCCCGCGCAGGGAGTTTAGTAATGTTTTGTTGGCTCTGTTTTTGGGCCACACCCACGCGGCGTTGCCCATGTGACTCTTCCGGTTCGGTTAGGGGTGGACCTAGCGGTGCTCCGCGGACCTTGCAGGTGGAGTGGGGAGTGGGAGCCCCCGGCCCTTCTTTAGAGTTTGCCCTTGCATGTAGGTCTTTTGACACAAGACAAAGGATCCTCTTAGAATTTTTCTTTTTTCCTGGTGCTCGGGAGGGGGTCCTGCCTCTGTCTCCCTCCTCCCCCAGGTAAGTGTTCTGTCCCTCCTGGACCAGACCCCTCCCGGCCTGCTCTGCAGCTTCCTCCCTGATCATCCAAACCGCTGCCCTGTATTGCCAGATATTCTGAGTGGGTGACGGGTGAGGCTGTCCCAGAGCCTCCCTGGGTACTGCTCGCTGTAGAGACTGCCTATACCCCCACAGGTTCTTCCCAGGGGAAAGTGCCCTGGGAGCAGGCCTTGCCAGTCACTGCTTTGACCTCCTGAGACACCAACATCGGGGGCTGGAACTGTGGCACAGTGAGGAGGGTGCTTGTCTGGCATGCGGCTGACCTGGGCTTGATCCCCAACACCCTGTATGGTTCCCCAGGCCAGCATTGCCAGGTGTGGCCCAAAAACAAGAAAAGAAACATGGGCTTATTTCCATCTGTGGGCCTCAGGCTACATGTATGTAGCTAGTCCTAGTTTGATTCACCCAACAACTAGAAAGAAGAGACTTGTAGCGGTCTGCTTTACTTTTAAATGTTCCCACGGCCTGCCCTGGCTGTCCCCAGCTCTGTGGCTTGGCTCTGAGGCTGTTTGGTCTGTTCATTGCTGTTTCTATGTTGGTGTCCGAGGTATTAGCCTGTTTCCCTGGCACACATGTGAGGCCTGCAGACATCTTTCCTTCCAACGTCATTCTGTCTTGCTTAAACGGCTTCCATTTTTGCTGTGAATGGCAAAATTATGGTTTTGTTTTTTATAGCCTAGTAGTATTCCACTACATAAATTTCTTATATTCTTACATATTCCTGAAAGATATATATTTATATTTTCATAAGATAATTATTTCAAATAAATAATTTAACTTGCAACTCATTGTACTTATTGTAGGTTTTTGCTTTTATTTCTTTTTGGGTCACACCTCTCGGAGAGCCCAACCAGCTACTGAGAGTATCTCGCCCGCACAGCAAAGCCTGGCAGGCTACCCTTAACGTATTCAATATGCCAAACACAGTAACAAGTCTCACAATGGAGATGTTACTCGACCCACTTGAGCACGTCAATGAACAACGGGAGAAAGGTGCTACGGGTCACACCCAGCAATGCACAGGGGTCACTCCTGGCTCTGTGCTAAGGGAACCATATGCGATGCTAGGAATTGAACCCGGGTCGGCCGCATACAAGGCAAACACCCTGCCCACTGCTGTTTTTGGGCCACTCCCAGCTAGGTGCTTGGTTGATTGTGTAGTATTGGGATTGAACCCTCTGCCCTGTGGCCTCCACCCGCCCCCAGCCTGTACTCTGTCCAAGCACGCTTGCACACGTTTGCCATACAGCAGTGCAGTCAGTGCTGGGGCCCCTTAGCAGGGCTTGCTCCTCTTGGCACATTTCTACTCACCTGCTGCCAGGGACTTGGGGCACCCCCACCCCTCATCAGCGTTCCTTGGACCCCTGTTTTGTGTCTTAAGAGATCCCCAGAAATGAGGTGTCTGCAGTTCTGGATGCTCTGTCCTTAGCTCCCTGTTGACTTCAGGGTTGCAGCTGACTTAGCTGTGTGTGGCATGAGTTGGGGTTCAGGTGCGCCACCTGGTGGCCCACACTATTTCCTGCCTGCTGTCTGGTAACCAGGAGTGGCACTGTGGCCATAGGCCACAAAAGTCATTTGTTTTAAGCTCTGGACGAAAGCCCGCCCTCAGACCTGGCGAGCACAGGCTCCAGTCCCTGGTGCCAAGCTGCATGCTGTGTGGGTGCATACGGGGGCCCTCCTAAGGAGTGGCATCAGGCTCTGTGTCCTGGGGGGGGTGGAAGGGTGTGGGCCTCGTGTCTGCCTTGCAGGCTCTGAGCAGGCCCCTCTGCAGGCAAGGTGCCCGGGGACGACTGCCCGCTGGTGTGGGGCCAGTGCTCCCACTGCTTCCATATGCACTGCATCCTCAAGTGGCTCAACGCGCAGCAGGTCCAGCAGCACTGTCCCATGTGCCGCCAGGAGTGGAAGTTCAAGGAGTGAGCCCGGCCAGCTGCCACAGCCTTCACGCGCCGGGACCCAATAAAGCACTCCACACCACCAACGCTCGTCTCATCTGTGCTGATGTGGGCGCCTCAGGGGACTGTGGCCCTGCGTCACAGGCGCTGGGGAGCCGGTGCTGTGTGGGCTGCAGACCCTGAGGCCTGTCTGGGGCGGGGGTGGCTGTCATCAGCAACTGGCGGCTCTTGGAGACAACCGGGCAGCAAGGCTACAGGGATCCCCACTTGAACTTCCAGGCTCTGCTCTTGGGGGTCCCTTTGGGGAGGGGAGGATGCTGGGTACCAGGGAACTCATGACTAAGGGCCACCTGCCCCCCCCATCTGATAGGCAGCTCCTGCTCCCCCTCCCTCCGGAACTGGGTACACATTGGGTGGCTGCTGACAAAGGAGGGAGGGATTGGCTGGGGCGGTCCCTACATGCCTGTGTCCCCGCCTGCCCATCCTCACTGAAGATAAAAGGCGCTGCTCCCCGTCGGTCATGCTGTGCCCGCCTGCATTTGGATCCTGTCCCCATGGCCTGGCCCACGATGCTGACAGCTGCTGCCCTGGCTCTGTGCCTGCTGCAGGCTGGACCTGCTCTGGCATGGTACAAGCCGGCAGCAGGGCGTGGACACTACTCGGTGGGCCGTGCTGCGGGGCTGCTGGCCAGCCTGCGTGGAGTTCCATTTGCACGGCGCGCTGAGTCTCCTATGAACCTCCCTGCACAGCCACGCCTTGGCCCTCGGCGTCTTGTGAGTGCAATTGCGGGGTGGGGAGGGGCACGGGGAAGGGGACTGTAAAGATTCGGACTCTCCCCTGGCCACCTTCTGCCCACAGGCTGTGTGCGTCCAGGACATCGCCCCGAACCTGCAGAGCTGTGAGCGACTCCCGGACAGCCTTGCCACCTTCCAGTGCAGAGCCGATGTGTTCCTTTCGCTGCGTGGCAACTGTCACAGTCCCTGAGCCCCCTCACCCTGGCCTGCCCCCACCCCGCTGTAGCACTTAAATAAATGCATGCACTTCCAGTCTCCTGGGCCATTGGGGGGGGGGGGGGCTGAAAGGCCACCCTAGTGCCCACTCCTTCCAGACGCCTGCTGGCCCGCGGCTGGTGGGGAAGGAGGGCCAGACAGCTCCTGGCGGCAGCTTTATTAGGGGGTGGGCAGCAGACGGACCCCAGGTCCGTTCACTCTGCCTGTGGGTTGCTGGCCCCTCTGACAGCTCAGGGGACAGGATGCAGAGCCAAGCCAGCACAGGGCAGCGCCCCGAGACTCAGCTTGTTTAAAAAGTGCCAGATTTGGGCTGGGAAGCAGCGTGGGTGCTGGTGCGCCGGGTCAGAGGTCACAGCTGCCCGCTTCGCTGTGCCTCCAGAAATGCCAGCTCCTTGGCCTCTTTCTTCTGGTTCCGGGTCTCGTACTCCAGCCTGTGGGGGTGGGGGCGTGAGCCTGAGCCTGTGCGAGGCCGGGCTGACCCCACCCCCGCCTGCAGCCCACCTGTTCTGGATGATTCTCTGCACGATGAGGTCAGTGGTGAGGTCGCTGCTGCTGTCCACCTGCCGGAAGATGCCCCTCTTCTTGGGCTCCTGCGTGGGCGAGGGAGAGGTGATGTCGAGCCCAGAGCTCAGGGGGCTTAGGGGATCCTGGAGCCAGAACCCACCTGGTAGGGGTCGGAGCCGTCCCTATCAGGCATGATTTCTGTCTTGCCATGGCACACTAGGTCCACCTGGAGGAAGGGGGGGGGTCAGGGGCAGCGCCAGTCCACCCCCCCACAAACCCCAGCCCGGGACCTCACCTTGAAGTGGTCTAGGAGCTCTGCTGTGACTGAGTATGGCGCGCCGATGACCACTTCAGACACATACTGTTGGGGATGGGCGGGTGGGTGAGTGGGGCGGGGCGGGGGCGGGGCGCGGTGGGGAGGCAGCACTCACCCTGCAGGCCAGCACGCTGAGGGTCCGCTCCTGCAGGGTCATGATGGGGTAGTTCTTCCCCTTGTAGTGATTCACCTCCTGGGGAGGCGGGCGTGTCAGGTGGGCCCCCGGCCCAGTGGTGACCTGGGGTCCCCTGGGCGCCCCCTTCCCTGCCCGAGACCTGGTCAAAGTGCAGGCCTGCGATGATGTAGGCCCTGTCCGCCAGGCTGTGCACTTTCTCCAGGAAGTCCACGTGCCCGATGTCTGTGCTTGGGTTAAGGGCGACTGGACTGAGTAGTCCCCTGTCCCCTGCCTGCCCAGCCAGTCCCCCTGAGGATACGGAACAGGTCAAAGGCACCGGCCACGTAGATGATGGTGTCTCCAGGCTGGGGCTCCTTCCCAGAAGCAAACTGGATAATCTTCTGGGATGTCTGCAGGAACTGGGACAGCCCGGTCCAGGAAGACCGGCCCTGCGGGCACTGCGAGCCAACAGAGACGGGGCAGCATTCAGCCCTCCGTTGACCCCCCCACCCTCTGGGCCTGGGAGGAAGGAGGGGTGGGGCACTGGAAGTGTCTGCCCAGCAGCTGGTTCCAGCCCTGGGCGGGTCCAGAGGGCAAGGTCAGGCTGCCAGGCCAGCACTCACCTTGCCGAAGCTGTCGGCATACTCCCGGTACTCAGAGGACATCTCCTGCAGGACAGTGGGGGCTGAGAGTGGGCCCCTGTGCCCCGCGCCCGCCCATCCCTCGCACCTCTCCCACTCACCTGGCTGCTGTGATGAGCCTTGGTGGCCAGCAGCATGCGGCCCACGAGGTCCGTGGTGGACACGCCCTGGGTACGTTTGCACTCTCTGGGGACAAGAGCAAGCACTGTCACCCAGTCACACCCTCTCCAGCCCCAACCTGAGAACAGCCCTGCAGGTGACGGAGGCCACCCCACCGTCACTTGAACTCTGGGCTGCTCATCATAGGAACAGGGTGATGGGGATAGCGTCCTGCTGAGCTGGTGTGGCCTCACTGTCCCCCTCTGTGGCACTCAGACCCTCCAGAGTCTCTGCTGAGGGAGACTCAGGGCCTGTGACTGGCAGGGGGGCTCCCTGGGGCTCACCGGTAGCGTCCGGCCCGCTTCACTTCCTCATACGTGTCATGCCCATCTGCTGTCAGTGTGATGTCATCTGCAAGGTGACCAGAAAGACCCTTAGGGCCACGGCCCCTCCTAGTCCTTCTGAGGGCACAGCTGGGCCTATAACCTTCACGGCCCCCAAACACCTGAAGACCTGGGGGACCCCGCACCACCCCGCCCTGGCTACTCACTGCCGTGGACACAGAAGTCGCAGTTATACTTGTCCAGTGTCTCTAGCGTGGTGACGTAGGGGGCAGCCGGCACCACCTCATCCACCCACTTGATTGCCTGCACCATCCTGTACCGCTCCTCCTGGGTGAACACTGGGGGCCCCTTGTGCTTGGAGATCTCCGCTAGGTCCAGACAGAGCAGGCGGCTGAGCGCGGGCGGCCCGGCTGTGCATCCTGGTCTCAAGTGTGTGTGTGAGGGGGTCTGGGAGGTGTGAGAGATCTTGGAGGGTGTGGGAGAGGGGGGCCTGGGAGGCATGTAAGGGGAGGCCTGGGGGGTGTGGGGGGCATGTGGGGGGATCTGGGGGACTGGGAGGTGTGTGAGGGGGTCTGAGGGGCATGTGACGGGGGTATGGGTATGTGTGTGTGAGGGAGTCTGAGGGGTATGTGAGGGAGTCTGGGGGGCATGTGAGGGGGTCTGGGTGTGTGTGTGTGAGGGAATCTGGGAGGCGTTTGAGGGGGTCTGGGGGGCATGTGTGAGGGGGTCTGGGTGTGTGTGTGTGTGAGGGGATCTGGGGGACATGTGAGGGGGTCTGAGGGGCATGTGAGGGGATCTGGGTGTGTGTGTGTGAGGGAGTCTGGGGGACGTTTGAGAGGGTCTGAGGGGATCTTGGTGTGTGTGTGAGGGAGTCTGAGGGGTGTATGAGGGGGTCTTGGTGTGTGTGGAGGTCTGGGGATGTGTGTGAGGGAGTCTGGGGGACGTTTGAGGGGATCTGAGGGGTATGTGAGGGGGTCTGGGTGTGTGTGTGTGTGTGTGAGGGAGTCTGAGAGGCGTCTGAGGGGGGCGTGTAAGGGGGCCTGGGGGGCATGTGAGGGAGTCTGAGAGGCGTATGAGGGGATGTGGGTGTGTGTGAGGAGGTCTGCGGGCCTGTGTGAGGAGGGGGTCTGAGGGGCATGTGAGAGGTCTGGGTGTGTGCGTGACAGTGAGGGCCGTATGATGGGGTCTGTGTGAGTGGGGTCCGGGGCGCCCTACCTACCGTCTGTGTGCACACCCACGATGAGGTAGTCGCCCATGGCTCTCGCCTGGCGCAGCTGGTTTGAGTGGCCGTAATGCACCATGTCGTAGCTGTGGAGGTAGGGCAGGGCAGCCTGTGTGTGCATGAGGGGCACGGGCGGGCCTCCCTCTGGGGTCAGTTTCTCGGGGTCTAGGGCCTGCGGCCGGTCAGGGGTCCTCTGGCCCTTCCCCGAGAGCACGGGCCACGAGCGGGCGCGGGGCGGGGTGACTCGCCGCGGGGTGCGCCCGGTGTGCGGCCTCGTGGCAGGGCCAAGGTCAGAGTCCGGCGACACGCCGTCCCGCGGGGCCACGGGCCGGCTCCCCCGTGCGGCCGCGCAAGCCGGCCCCGGCGCGGGCCAGGCGCCGCTCAGCCTCGGCGGCCGGGGCGGGACGCGGGGCCCGGGGCGCCACACCGGCCCGGCCGCCACCCCCGCGTCGCGAGACCCGCCGCGCCTCCCGCACCCCGGCGCCCCCGCTGCCAGCGCTCACCAGCCGTCGCACCACACCCGCACGGCGCGCCGGCCCGCGGGGCCCGGAGGCTCGGTGCCGCCCGCCGCGCCGTGCCCGTTCCGTAGCATGATCCGCTGCGACGGCGGCGGCGCGGCCCGGCGGCTCCGCGGCTCCAGTGGCAGGCGGCCCCGCCCGCGCCGGCACGCAGCGTCACGCGGGCCTCACCCGCCGCGGCCGGCCAATGGCGGCGCCGCCTCACCGCGGGGCCCCGCCCCGGCCTATGGTGGCGCCGGCCCCGCCCGCGGCCCCGCCCCCGCGCTCCGCCAATGGCGCGACCCTACCCGTAGCCCCGCCCCCGCCCGCAGCCTAGGGCCCCCGACGCCGGACCCGGAGCGCGCAGTCACGCGAGGAGCCAGGAGCTGGCAGAGACGTTTAATGAAGGTACAGACGCTGGCTCGGAGCCCGAGTCCAGAAAAGGTCGCTAGAAAGTGGCTTTTAGTAAAAGTGGAAGCGGGCGAGGCCCTGAGGCGAGACAGGGAAGGAGTTAAGGCGGAGCGGCCCGGGGCGCAGCCCGGTGCTGGGGGGGGGGCTAGCTGGGGGCAGGTTGAGAGCGAAGGGGCTGTAGAGGGAGGGCCACAGCGAAAATGTCTCTCCCAAGAATTCCCTGTTGATTCATGAGGCCGTCCTCGCACCCATAGTGCGATGTGTCCCGGATCCAAGTCTGGCCATCTGCAAAGTGCCCACGGAGCCCCCGCTCGAGTGCCGCGTTATGTGACTTTCCTCCTTTTTGTGCGCTTGGCGCAGCCCCGGCCAAACCAGCCGCCGACGACAGGGGCAGGGCTGGGCACGGCTGCCTGGTCTCCCGGCACCTCCTCGGGGCTTCTGCACAGCTCCTTCCGGCTGTGGCTGCCTTCTTCATCTGCGCGCAGCGGGGTGGCCAGGGAGAAGATAGGGTCCTGCCACCTAGGAAAAAGGGCAAGTGGGGTCAGGTGTGTCCCGGACCTGGCAGCCTCAGGGGCCTCGGCTCCTGTCCCTGAGTCACAGAGCTGTCGCAGGAGGGGTGGCCCCACCCCACCCACCCCAACTCCAAGGTTGTCACCAGCCTTGGGGCACACAGGGGCGGCAGTGGCCCTGGGCTCCACTGTCCACGTGCACGGCTGGGGCAGGTGGGCTAGACCCTCTCCCCCTTCCCCAAGTGGGTGGGCGCCTACACACTAGGGCGTGAGGAGACCATGTGTCTGACTGAGATGTAGAACCACAGCAGAAACTTAGGGTACAGATACGCACTGATAAAGAAAATGAGCTACGTCAATGTCAAAACAAAAGGTACAGGACACAAGAGGCCCACAGCACAGAACACCACGAACATAACATACAAGAATTGCCAGGCCCGGAGGCGAAGGAATCCTTAATTCTTGAACCCTTTGATTAAAAGAAGTTATTGATTTCCCCTATAAGACCCTGAAAATTCACAGAGAAAGAAAGTGTAAACTTTTTACTCAATACAGACACCATGTCTAAATCATCACACATTTCTATAAGCAGTTCATGTTTCCCCCAAGGCCGCCAGCTCCCAAACCCAGTGCTCTCCGCACGGGGCACCTTCCCCAGGGTCTGCCTGGAGGGAGGGGCCGTGCCCCAGAGGGGCCTCCATCTGAAGCAATGGGCAGCATCAGGCCTCAGGTGCCACTGCAGAGCCTCAGCCTCGGCCTCACCGGCTCGCGGACAGCCCCGCCGTGGCAGCCACCCTCACCTGCTGTAACAGGGGATCTCCAGGCCCAGCTCGTCCATGAGGAGTCTCATAACATCGTCACACTTCCCGTGCAGCTTCAGGGCAGCCCAGTCGTCCTTTGGGGTCCACTGGGGACAGGAAAACTGAGTAAGGACAGCCCTTGTGCCTTCCCAGTGGCGACAGACGCGGCACGGAACCCCATTACCTGTAGGTTTACAATGTAGAGCTTGGGTCTCCGGCTGGGGGGCTTGGCCATGCACCAGAGACGTGGGTACTTCTTTAGCACCTGCAGGAAGGGACGGACACGGAGTGGGCATTAGGACACAAGGCCGCAGGACCCGGCCCCCCGGGGCTCAGCGGGCGTGGGCTGGGTGGGCAGCCTGCAGTGGACGCCCCTGGCGTACCTTCAGGCTGGAGCCCAAACACAGGATGGTGTCGGCCTTGCTGGCAGCCTGAGTGGCCGCCTCCCAGTTCAGGGGCTGCCCCAGTGTCCCCCTCTCCCCGAAGTGCACGATGGTGTCCCGGAGCTGGGCCCCACACTTGTGGCAGGTCCGACCTGTGTGGTGCCGGTGGAGGGCAGTGCGCTCGGTGACGTCAAACACCCGCACGTACTCCCTGTTGGGAGTGCAGGCAGTGCAGACCTGTGGGGAGAGGGTGAGCGTGGCCCGAGGCCGCCTGGCTAATCCCCCCACCCAGCCCAGAATTCTCACCTCGATGTACATATTTCCGTGCAGCTCTGAGATGGCCGTGCGGGGCAGCCCGCTTCGCAAGTGGAGCCCGTCACAGTTCTGGGACACCACGTGCTGGACCTGCAGGGGACAGGGTCCGGAAGAGGGCAGGGCAGCAGCTCAGCCCCCACTGCTCCTTAGGGCCAGTCACGCTTGGGTCCCCCGTGCGCTGTGGGACTGTCCCTGGGGTCTTGGCCACCGCGGGGCCGCCACAGTGCTCACCAGCTTCTGCTCATGCAGGCGGGCGATGCTCATGTGCGTCAGGGTGGGCTCAGCTTCGCTCAGGTCGGCAGCGCTGCCGGGGAGGGACAGGGTGAGGTGGTGCTCAGGCCAAACCACAGCCACCGCCGAGGACACGCCAAGTCGCTTACCTGACCCGCTGGCCTTTCTGCAGCAGTGTCCATACTCCGTTGGGGCCTCGGTAATCTGGGATCGAGGCTGCCTGCGTGTCAGAGAAGGGACACGGCAGGCGCTGGCGAAGCCCGAGAGCGGGAAGCGAGGCTTCTCCTGAGCGCCGGGGCCATCGTGCTGCCACGACCTGCAGCTCTCAGCCTGCCCCGCTTGCGCTCCCTGGGGCCTCCCTCCTCCTGACCTGCCCGCCCCGTGCCAAGGAGCCCCGAGCACAGGGGCCTGCAGCCGGTGCTCAGACCCGAGGAGTGAGCTCTCACCTGCCATCGCGCCAACAGGTGCTACCCCACGTTCCCGTCGCAGGCCAGCCGCTCCCTGCGCAAGTGCACCTGACCCACTGCCCCCAGCGCCCTTCCCAACACTGCCGGAGAGGGGACAAGCCCACCGCGGCAACCAGCTCACATTCCACACAGGGCCCTGCCTGCACTCTCGCTCGGAGCCGCTCTCACAGCAGGGGCGCCTGGGCTCCCGCCCAGTCCTGCCCAGTTCTCAAGCCGGGCCCCTCACCTGAGCTCAGATGCGCCGGGTGGGAGCGGGCCCCGCCCTCCCGCTCAAGTCCCTGCGCTCTCCCGTCCCTCTGGGGCGACCCGGGGCGGGACCTCGCCGCCCCCTCCGCGGGCCGCCCACGCGCCCCTCCCCGCGGCAGGCCTACCGTGCTGATGCCCGCGCCGGTGTAGACCACCAGGTGCCGCGCGCTGCGGACGGCCGCGGCCAGCTCCTGCACCTTCCTGCGCAGCTCATCGGGGTCGTCGCACAGCTGCGGGCGGGGGCGGGGCGGGACCGTGAGCGCTCCCGCCGCGCGCGCGCCCCCGCCCGCCGCGTCCCGCCCGACTCGCCTCCTGCTGCCGCCGCTTGAGCCCCTCGCGCCGCCGGCTCCGGCCCTGCAGCTCGGTGACCAGATCCTCGCTCTCGGCCAGCAGCCGGCCCTCCTCGGCGCTGCGCTCGGCCGCCGCCTTCCTCAGGATGCGCGCCACCTGCGGGGGGCGGCAGTGAGCGCGCGCGCGGCCGCGGGGCGGGGAGGGGGCAGCCTACCTGGCGCCGGCGCTCCCGCCGCTGCTCCTCCCGTAGCCGCCGCGCCCGCTCGGCCGCCTTGCGCTCCGGCCGGCTCAGGCCCCCGGCGGCCATGGCGCCCGCCGCTTCCGCTTCCGCCTCGGCTCCCGGCAGCCCGCGCGCGCCCCGCCCTTCCGGCCCGCCCGCGCGCCCCGCCCAAGGAGGCACCTGCAGTCTGTTTAAAAGGTGTTTATTGGTCATATACAAAATAAAGAAAACCTTATATATCACAAACGTACACTATGTACAGCAATAAATACCGGGGGCCCGGCCCAGCGCCGCCCCGCCTGGACAATAATTTAGCAATAAATACTGCGCCGGGCAGGTGGGCCCGTGCCCGCCCCAAGTGACCCAGCGCCCACCGAGCTCGCCCAGCACACACTGGGCTCCCCCTGGACCCCGGCTTCGAGGTGGGCGGGGCAGGCAGGATCTGCACATCTCTGCTCGGGGCCGCTTGGCAGAGCAGGTGGATGGGGCAGCCTCCTTCTGGGCCGCTCCTGGTAGCCGGCTTCAAGGCTCCAGGAGTGAGCAGAGGGCAGGGCTAGGACCAGGCTGCTGAAGGGGCCCGAGCCCCAACAGGTCTCCTGGACAGGGGTCTCCCCGGTGGCAGGCTCAGACCCTGCACACCACGGCCCCGTCCTCGCGGGCACTACCAGGGCGGCACCAGCCACAGCGTCCAGTACAGTGGCAGGACGGTATCAGCGGGAGGGCACCTGCCTGGGCAGATCTGGCTCTCTGCCTGCTCCAGACCCAGACAACCAGCAGGAAGGCAGGAACACGCCACAAGAATGATTCAGTGGCTTCTGGGAAGAGAAATTGTTAGCGTGTTGGTTCCCTTCACCAAACCACAGCCTAAAAAAGCGACACACAAGACCCCAGAGCGGAAGCGGGCCAGCTCACTGTGGCTCGGGCCAAACGGTCGCCCAGAGTGGGCACAGCAGGGCTGGGAGGGGGCATGGGTGCCTGTCCCAATGCAGGTTGCAGCTGCCTGAGCCATGTGCCAAGGTTACGGCTGCCAGGACAGACAGGGACCAAGCACCAACAAGAGAGACCTGCAGCGAGTGGCCGCAGGAGCCACTGCCACACAGGGCCACAATCTGCCTGCCAACAGGGCCCGCTCAGAGTGGCACAGGGCAAGGTGCACTACGGCTTCATCGATGGAGACACAGGTCTGCAAGATGTGGCCAACGCCAATCTTCAACACCATGTCGGCAGAACTGAGAGAAACAGCACATCAGCCTCAAAGTGGGGAAACTGAACCGACAAGAATCGAAACACAAGTCACACAGGACACAGGATGCACAGTGAGGAAACCAAGGCAGAGGGACGGGCAGCACCAGCTTGCCAAGACCTGGTGGTTCCAAGTGCCAAGGAGCAGCCCCGCAAGGCCCACAGAGGCATGGCCCCCAGCTCCAGGAGCCCCTCCCAGCGAGGGCCAATCCCCCTTTGCGGCTGCACACATGGGTCTTGTCCAGGTTGATGACCACCAGCAATGGGACTGCAGCACTGACCCAGGAAGACAAAGCAGGTGGCGGGCAGTGGGCAAGGCCACTGCGAGGTCAGTGGGGGGTGTGACTGAGCAGCCAAGGCCAGGAGAGCCTCCAGAATGAGAAGCTGAGGAGCGAGCTCAGGCCATGGGCACCTGGCCCAATCCACCTGCTCACATGGTCTACCCTGCCTGGTCACACATGTCCCCACCAGCTACACTTCTGTGCTTTTCAGGGATTGGAAATGCTAACCAGTGGCCCCAAGGAGAGGTCAAGGCCCAAGTGGGCAGACAGGGAGGCCCCTCCCGACGTGGGTAAAATACCCAGAGAAGAGCCTGGGAGGATGGCCACCTGGGGCTCCTGGAGGGGCACAGACTGTCCAGAGAGGCACATCCAGGAGCAGATGGGCTGGTGTCTAGAAGACTGGCTCTGCAGAGAGGCCAGCAGCCGGCCCTTGGAGACTAGCCCTTGTCCAGCCCTGGTGGAAGACCTGCCCCCCAGAGCAAGGCAAGAGGGGGCTGTCCCAGGTGGTCCCCCAAACCACCCAGGTCTGCCCCAGAGCACGGACGCAGTTCTGGGAGAGCGGGCGCTGGGCCCACATAGAGCCCGGGCATAGAGCTGCGGGGCTCAGAAGGAAGACAGCAGGCCAGCTCAGCTGGACCATGCTACCCACACCACCAGTCCCGGAGGGCACAGGAGCAGCGGGAGGGGCCCAGGCTGGCTCTTGGGGTCACCCACTGTGCCCACCTAAGACATGTGCGCAGCCGAGGGCCAGCAGGGGACGAGATGAGGAGGCCTGGACAGCGCCAGGCAGGAGGGCGGCGCTCATGGGTGGACCCCGTGCACACAAGCCAGTGGAAGCAAAAACACAACCAAGTCCAAGGAACAAACACAGGAAGACGGACACAAGAAGTGACACCCACAGGTCAAAGGTCACCAGAAGCACCAGCACATGACGCTGCACAAGAGCCACCAGGCACAGACGCGGGCAGGAGTAAGTCACTTTCGGTACAATTGCAAAGAGGGCCTCAGGGTGGCCGCGCCTTCCCAGGCGTGCGGCTCAGCTTTTTTTTTTTTTTTTTGCTTTTTTCTCTTTTTTTAAACTAAGTTTTATAAATAACGTCTGATAACTCTGCATATAAAAACTAAACCTCAACAGCCACAGAGATTTGTCTGGAAGTTTACAAGAAGGGTTTTTTTTTTCCAACTAGCAAAGTTTCTACTATACTTTCTTCCCTTTGCCATTTATACCGTCAATTGTTCTTGAATTTTTTTTTTAAAAAGACAGTTTTATAAATACTCTGCAGGTTTTTTTTCTTCTTTAGCTTTTAAACATATAATTTAATAACTTCGTAAAATGAACTTCTCTCTTTTAAATAAAGGGCTATGTAACCACACACAGGTCATGTAAACAGTGACACGGACCACCGAGGACACACTGACACGCCCTGCACCACATCACGACCAGCGCCAGGGGTCCTGCCCGGCAGCGCCCGCCCGCCCGCATGAAGCCCAAGCCGGAGCCACGCCGGCCCAGGCCGAGCTGCCCTGACCACCTGCCACAGCTGTGGCGGGACTCGAGGGCAGGAGTGAGCCCCAGGCTCACCACCCCGGCCCATCCCCACGGGACCTGGGCACCAAGGGGCCTGGGCCATCCCGTGTCACCGCAGCACCGACCACACCCCACATACAAAAAAGGCGATGACATTGGCGATGACGAGATCAAAGGGGGCTCAGCTGGCGCCCTCAGGTGCAGGTTGTGCTTTGCAGGGAGGGGAGGAGGTAGGAGGAAGGGGGGAAGGGGGGGGACAGGGCCACCCAATTCGCCACACACGCCCTCTGGCCCCTCGAGACCCGCCTGCGCCAGCGCACCCCTAAGACCTGGCATCTGTTTTGGACTTTACTATTGTGATGACGCTGGTGGCGGCCACCTTGCCGGGAACGAGGGGCCCCAGGCTGGCGGCCAGGGGCCCCCGAGCAGGCGCCACGGGACTGCGGGCCACGGTCCGGGCGAAGGTCTGCAGGGCCTCGTACTTGGAGCGCAGAGCGTCCAGCTCCAGCTTCATGCTGGCGTTCTCTGAGGCCAGCTTCTCCACCTCCTGCTGCAGCTCCGCCTTCTGCTTCTCCAGCTCCTCCTTCTGCGTCACCCGCTTCACGCGGCAGCTGGCGGCATAGCCGCGGTTCTTGAGTGTGCGGCGCCGCTGCTTCAGCTGCACGATCTCCTCCTTGGACAGGCCACGCAGGTGCTGGTTCAGCTCTCGCACTGACATGGTCACCAGCTCCTCGTCCGTCAGGCTGGTGCCATTCTCACCCGGCTCCCGCTTCACCTGGGCGCAGGAAGCACAGGGTTCAATGGCAGCCCCAGCACTCCCCAGCCCGCCCCCCCCAGAAGCCGCCCACCCCGTCCACTCACCTTCAAGGCCTTGTTTCCTTTACTGGGGGTCGTCATAACCCGGGGGCACAGCAAGCAGGCACTCTGGGGGTGAAGGAACACAGATCAGGGCCCTGGAACCACCGTGTGCGAGTCCCGGCCGACCCCAGGCAGCGGGGCTGGGGGAGTGCAGAGGGCCCAGGAGGGGCAGCAAGGAGGAAGCCTGGAGGAAGCCCGCAGCTTTAAAAATAACCCAGAGCCCTGAGCAGGCGGCTGCTCAGTTCCCCGAGTCATGCTGACTCAGCACGCCGCCAGCCCGCCACTCCCCAGGCCAGCAGCCAGCACAGCCCTGGGCCGGGCACAAAGGCCGTCCTGGCCAACGGGAGGTGTGGTGGCCCAGACCCCACGCCTGCCCACGTGAACTTGGGTGTCCAGCCTCCTGCTGACTGGTGAGCCCCTGGGCTCAGTAACTTCATCTGTACCCATGCTCCACCCACCCTTGAGGCGGGTGCCTCTTTCGGCCACCTGGTCAGCAAATACAGTACAGTGGACAGAAACCCAGCAGCTTTCCCTACCCAGCCTCCCAGGATCCACAGAGAAGCACAGCAGTGAATCGTGCCCCCACTGAGGTTACTTCCAGAGCCAAGACCCAGGAAACAGGGCTGAGGTCCGAAGGTGCCCAAGTCCGCACACCAGCCAGCACCTGGCTGACCCTCCACCGCACAGAGGCTCCAAGTTCGCTCCAGGAAAGTGACCACTCAGACACATTTGCTGAGACCAGCGCTGGGGAGCGGCTGGGGGCAGCTAACCCCCTTCCCCCCATACTCCTTGAGCAGGGTGGAGGACAGGGATGAGGGTCCCTCCCCTGGCACCCCAGCGTGGCTGACACCGCCAGCCAGGGGCATCTGGGTCCTCTGCCTCCGCCCCCAACTGCTCTGGGAAACTTTCTGGGCCGCGGGAGAAAGGTGTCCCCGCGCGCACATCAGGTCCAGCCACAGAGCTGGCCTAAGCCCTGGACAAACACTGGACAGCACCCTCTCGGCACCCCCCACAAAGGAGTGGCTTTGAGGGACGCACCCCCCAGCGGGCAGCGGAGGGGCGGAGCCGCTCACCGACCCCCAGCCTCAGCGGGTCGGGGCAGCTTCTACGCGCAGGCCAGCGGGTCCACTGCGCCCGGGGGTCCCCGCCCCGCGCCAGGACCTCAGGACGGGCCGCCTCCTGCCCCCCCGCGGCCCCCGCGGCCCCGCGCGCCCTCGGCCCCGGCCGGAAACCCGCGCCCCACGCGCCCGGCCCGGCCCGCGGCCCCGCCTCGGCCCGCTCGGTCCCCTGCCCGGGGAAGCGGCGGCCTCGCGCCCACGTGCCCGCGGCAGCCCCCGGCCCGGCGCGGTGACCTCATGCTGATGACTCAGCAGTCCCGGCCGCCGCGTCCCCCGCGCGGGGACCCCGGCTCGGCCCGCGTGGCCGCGGCGCCCCCGCCCCGGCCCGGGCGGCCCCGCGCGCCCCCCGCCCGCGCCCGCGCCCGCCCGCCCGCGCCCCCGGGGAGCGAGGCCCGGCCCGGCGGCGCGCGGAGCCCGGTCCCGCCCGGCCCGCCCGGCCCGGTCCCGCACTCACCCAGCACACTGCGGCCGGGCGCGGCTGCGCGCGGGGGACTCCGGGCCCGGGGCTGGGGGGCGCCGCCTGCGCGGGCCGGGCCAAGCGCGCTGGGGAAGACCGGGCCGAACCGGGCTCGCGATCCGCCGCCGCCGCCGCCGCCGCCGCCGCCGCTCCTCAGACGTCACATGATGTTTGGTCACGTGGGCTCCATTCATGAAGCGGCGGCGCGACCGGCCGCGACTTAAAGGGGAAGGCGCGGGGCGGCGGCGGCGGCGGGGGGCGGGGCCGGCGCAGTGCGCACGCGCGTCGGGCCCGTTGCCCCGGCAACGCGCGCCGCGCCCGGCGGCTCTCGCGGGACTCCGGGCCACCGCCCCGCGCCGCGCCTGCTGGACCCGGGAGGGCTCCCTGCTCAGGTGGTCAGCGCGCCGTGGGCTGGGCGGCCCCGGGCCAAGGCTCGCGGCCACGGACAGCTGAGGCAGCGAGTGGCGTTTCCTTTTTTCTTAGTGTTTGGGCCACGCCCGCGATGTACAGGGTTGACCCGGGCTCTGCGCTCAGGAATTGACCAGAACGGTGCCGGGGACCGAACCCAGGCGGGCCCTGTGCACGGTGAGCGCCCTCCCCACGGTACCTGGCGCCAGCCCCAGGTGGTGATTTCTGGGCCTCCCACGGCTGCCCACTTGTTTTGGGGGGCTCGAAGACCCCTGCCTATCCATTACCCTTGGTGTGGGGCCCGTTGTCACTGTCACGCTTCCAGTGACCCTGGCACTTGCCATACACGAGGCTGTGGCACAACGGGACCCCACCCAGTGCTGGCCTCTCCCTTGGCCTCGGTGGCCCTCTCTATATGTCCTAGCTCTCGGGCCCGTTCCCTGCGCTCCTGCCACAGTGCCCAGCAGAGGTCCTCCAGGCAGGCTCCAGCTGCTCAGCTTTTCCTGCGTCTTCCAGCGCCGTTGAGCTTACACATCCCTCTCTTGAGTCCCCTCCAGGTGGGACCTCTGGGACCCCCAGTCCAGCTGGGGGCCTCTCTGCGGGTGCTCACTGGAACCCCCCAGCAGAGGGACCACTTGGCACACAGAGCCTCGGAATCCCCTCTTGTAATGCTCACTCAAGGCCAGGGCTATCAGACTATCCGGGCAAATACTTCACATCTCACCTGTGGTCCATGTAGACATGAAGATTCAGTACTGTAGGTTAACCTATTTTGTGGGGTCACCGCAGTCACGGGGGTAACCCCAGTCCTCTTAGCAATGTCCCAGCCCTGGAATCACTTTCTTTGCTTTTTAATTTAATTTTATTTTTGCTTTTTGGATCACACCCAGCAATGCACAGGGGTTACTCCTGGCTCTGCACTCAGGAATTACTCCTGGCGGTGCTCGGGGGACCTTATGGGATGCTGGGAATCATACCCAAGTCAATCGCATGCAAGGCAAACACCCTACCCACTGTACTATCACCCCAGCCCCAGCTTTTTTTGTTTTTGGGACCACACTGCAAGATGTTCAGGGATCGATCCTGGTGGGGTTCGGGGGACCCTTTGGGTGCTGGGGATCAAACCTGGGTCAGCTGCCTTCAGGACAAATTCATCTGAGTCATCCTTCCCGGGAGCCTGCCTGCACCATCGGGGGTGTCTCCTGTCCCCACTACACAGGAGGCTGGAGCATCGTGCTGCTGCCCACGTATGGTGGTCCCGGGCTGGGACTAAGGTCCACAGCCCTCAGGTGAAGTCAAGGTCCCTCCATAGGTGTGGACACAGAGTGCTGGATGACATTGGTTTGTCCTTGCTCCTCCCAGAGGGAGCTTAGGTTATTGAGTTACTCCCACTACAGTGCTCCCAAGGCTAACCCAATTCCGTCAGGCACTCCCAGTCCTATCTATTTATCTTTAACCTCTCCTTTGTGCTCCTCTTCCCCTACCTGTTAATCACTTATATCCCCTTATCAGACCTTGTAACTTGTAAAGTCGAGTTTTTCTGAGGGCTCTGGATTTTGTGTAAGTGAATTATTGCTTTCCTCTTTCCTTTATGTTCTTTGCATGGTTTAGGAATAGCCTTTTTCGGGGGCTAGAGCAATAGCACAGTGGGTATGGCGTTTGCCTTGCACGCGGCCGACCCGGATTTGATTCCCAGCTTCCCGTATGGTCCCCTGTGCACCGCCAGGAGTGACTCCTGAGTGCAGAGCCAGGAGTCAGCCCTGGGCATCGCCAGGTGTGACCCAAAAAGAAAAAAAAAAAGGAATAGCCTTTTTGTATAAACATAGGAAAAGAGTTGATGCTGTGCCTTTGTAACATGGGAGTTAATTGATTCTGAATAATATTTACTCTGGGCATCCATAATATTTACGTAAGCCTCAGTTACCCTTACTTCCTAATATTCCCCAAGGGAGGATCCCAGCAAGGGACTTGGATGGGCTGAGGGCAAGCAATAAGCTGCCTTTGCATCAAAAAGGGACAGGTTAAACACCATAAGATAATAAGTTAAAAACACATGGAACAAACTCTGTCATGACCCGAGAAGTAACTGAATAAGGACCCTGCTGGGGTTAGGAAAGACTAAGCTGGCCTGAGGATTGTAGTCTGAGATATACAGAGAGATGTCCCCAAGAAGAGCCCCCTTTAAGTTTAATACATCTCCTACTGTGTTCATACAAACACTGTAGCACTGTCCTCCCGTTGTTCATGGATTTGCTCGAGTGGGCATTAGGAGTGGGCATCAGTAATGTCTCCATTGTGAGACTTGTTACAGTTTTTGGCATATCGAATATGGCACAGGGAGCTTGCCAGGCTCTGCTGTGCAGGCAGGATACTCTCAATAGCTTTCCAGGCTCTCCAACAGGGGTGGAGGAATCGAACCCAAGTCAGCCGTGTGCAAGGCAAACGCCCTACCCACTGTGCTATCGCTCCAGCCCCGTTCATACAAAATGACTAGAAATACTAGTATTCAATATGATTGGTTAAATGGATTACTAGCTGAGGAAAGGAGAAAGCAATACGCCCTCAGATGGAATCCCACCCTTGAGCAGATCTCCTAGTAATCTAGAGTGCTGAACCCCCAGATGAGATTTCTTCCTTGAGTTCATCTCCTAGAACTTTTCCTGAAGGAAGGGCTCTATATCTGCTTATTGTCATGAAAATATTCAACCCCACCTGTGTGTACCTCACCCTTCACACTTCGAAACTTAAATAAAGGGTCACTGATTACCAACCGGCCAGCCTGGGTAGGCGGTTCTCAGCCAATGAACACACCCACACTTGAACTCACAGAGGAGAGCACTGGGCTGGAAGCCAGTTTATTGAACCCAAAGGCCCAAGAGGAAAAGTGGGCCGCAGAGGGGCTGCCGGGCCCCTCACTCTGCTCAGATGGGAGGGAGGGCAGCTGTTCCAGCACCAGGTCACCGATCCATGTCTGGCGCCTAGGAAGGTAATGTGTGCCTCCACAGACATCAGGAAAGGGCGTGGGAGATTCAGGCACACCCTGGGTGGACCTCAGCTTCCACACTTGGGGTGCCTAGAGGAGGGAAGTCCCATGCAGGGTATATAAACCCCCCCAAGCTTTCTCAGCTCCAAGAAAGGGGGTCCTGACGGGCTTTTGGGCAGAGGGATCAGGTGGCTCATGAAATACGGCCCTCTGTGCCCCAGGGGGAGGAGGCCCAGTGTCACCTCAGTCCCGCTTGCCTAGAGGGGCTGGACCACAGGGCGCCGATGAGGTCCTCCGTGAAGAGCTCAGCTTCACCTTGTCCAGAACGGTCCTCTTGATGGCGGCTGTGGGCACCTCCTCGCAGTCTGCCATGGCCTGCAGCTCCCTGCAGGGGAGGGTGGGGGCATGGGGCACAGGTGAGGCCGGATGGAATCTGTCCTCACTCAGCCCCGCACTCTCCAGGCGGAGACTCTAGGAACACCCCCAGGACAGGTGGGCCGCGCCCACCTTGTGCGGGTGCAGGATGCTTCCACAGCGTCAATGAGCAGAGAGCGGAAGCCACCGCTCTCCAGCACGTGCAGCGCGTGGATGCTGGCGCCGCCTGGGGAACACACGTTGTCCTTCAGCTGGCCTGGGTGCTGCTCCGAGGCCAGGAGCATCCTGGCGGCCCCCTGCAGCACAAGGAGAGGGACTCTGTGGCCAAAGGCAGCTGCCTAGTCCATGGCCTGACAGGGGGCTCCATAGGAGCAGGGAGGCACTGACCAGCAGGGCCTGGGCCCCCAGGCGCACGGCCAGGCGTCGCGGGAGACCCATCTTCACTCCTCCATCGGCCAGCGCATCCAGGGCTGTGAAGGCCTGCGGAGAGAGGGCTCAGCACCCTCGGCTGCACTCCCCCGTGGAGGGCATCCGGCCGCCCCCCCCGCCCCCCCCCTCACGTAGGCCGGGCCGCTGCCGCTGAGCCCCGTCACTGCGTCGATGAGGTCCTCCTCCACCTCCGTGCAGTAGCCCACGCTGCCCAGCAGCTGCTCCAGGAGCTCGGCATCCTCCAGCTGCGCGTGTGTGCCCCTGGCGTACACCGTGGCTCCCTCCCGCACCACAACCGGCGTGTTGGTCATGCAGCGGAGGATCCTGGGGGCCGGCAGGAAGGCCGCCAACTTCTGCAGGAGACACAGGGTTGTCCCTCCAGCCGGGCCCTGGCTGTCCCGCCTGCTTTTCCCCACGGAGGGCGCAGCCCAGCAAACCTTCTCAATGGAGCTGATGGTGACGCCAGCCGCGCAGGACACTACCAGGTGCCGCGGCTGTATGTGCGCGCCCAGCTCGTCCAGGACAAAGGGGAGGATGTGCGGCTTCACGGCCAGGAACAGTAGGTCGCTGTGCTTCACGGCCTCCGTGTTGTGCGCCGTCAGGTTCACCCCCAGCTTCTGCGGGGGGACGTGGGCACCAGGTTGGGGGTTCTGCTCCAGCGTTCTGCGGCCGCTCAGACTCTTGCCCATCCGTGAGTCAGGGTCCGTCTGCCACCTGCCCCCACTGGGACCCTAACTCAGGGCCAAGTGTCCTGGCTGCATGGGAACCCCAGCCCCAGCGGAGCCGACAGTCCGCGGTAGCGTCCCGCCCAGGACCCCGAGCCTACCCTGAGCGCAGATACGGTGGCCAAGTCCATATCCGGGGAGCTGGCCATGATCTTGTGGGCAGCCACGACGCCTGCGGGGGACAGTGCTCCCTCAGCCCCCGCCCAGGCGGCCTGGACCCCAACACCAGAGGTTGTCACTTCCCGCAGGAAACCCGAGTGCTGGCCGTCGCTCCTCCGGGCCGGGACCCACCTGCGGCCGTGAAGCCCTTGGCCAGGGCAAAGGCCAGCTGGCCTGCCCCGATGAAGCCCACGCTCATGGTGTCCAGCTGGCAGCGGCCGCTGGACCACACTGCAGGAGCGGCGGTAGGTGTGGGGGGGCGTACCGGCCACGTCCCCGGGTCGCCCAGTCCTCGCCCCAGCGGCGCCCTCCCGGACAGGGACCCAGTCCCGCCGGCCCAGCTCGGCGCGCTGCGTCCAGGGCCCGGGTCCCCGCCCAAGAGGACCGACCCAGGCTCCCGCCACGCGGCACCCGCGCCCGCCGCCCCGCCCCGGCGCGCCAGCCAATCCGCGGGCTGACCGCGCGGCGCCGGCCAATCAGAGGGCGCGTCCGGCGCGGGGGGCGGTTGCATCAGCTGCTAGCCTGCGCTCACGCCCCCGCGCCCGGGCCGGCCTACCCCGAGCGTCCGCGGTGGCCAGGCTGGGTCCGCCCCTTTGTGCCCACTGCTCTCCGGGCCTCGCATCCCCCCCAGACCCAGAGTCGCCCCTCGGGCCCCTGGCTCGGCACGTCATGGAAGCGACCCGGCCTGCAGGCCCCAGTCCCGCAGCACCCTTTGTCCCCTTTTGTTTTCTGTGTGCACGACGGGGGCGGGGACGGGGCGAGGGCGGGGCGGGGGCGGGGGCGGGGGGGGGCGTCAGAGCTACCGCGCCAGCCCTCGCCTGTCAGGCACACACCCCACCCGGGTTTCATCCCCGCATGGGTGCCAGGAGCTGCCAGGAGAGATCCCTGAACACTGCCGGGCGTGCCTCCAGAAACAAAGAATTTCTTAGAAACAAAGTTTCTTACTGTCCAGTTTTGTTTAGGGGTCACACCTGGCGATGCTCAAGGGTTGCTCCTGGCTCTGCACTCAAGAATTTTCTCTTGGCGGTGCTCGGGGACCCAATCTGAGGCCACGGGAAAGGCAAGCGCCCTACCCGCTGCACTGTCATTGCCACGCCAACCCCAAATCTCAAATTTTGGAGCTGGGGACCCTCTCCAACCTCTTCTCTTCTGAGTGTCTTTCCGGTCTGGGTCTCAGCAGCTTTTGTCCTTTGGTTGGTTTTCAGCACTTGCGGTGGCACGGTGGCACTTGTCCAGCAGGCAAGCTTGTGCTCGGCTCTCGAGCTGCCCCAGCTCCTAAAAGCTGCCGGCCCGGACGCCTTCCCTGGGGGCCCACCAGGCCCAACCCCAGCAAGTGCCATGATCCCCTCTGAACATCCCCTGGACCGGCATCAGGCTCATTGTATTGCCTCATGGGAGTGTGGCCATTCAGAGAACGCAGGGAGCGAGGGGGCGTGATCCCACCAGGAATGGGTGGACAGCTGCTGGGTCTGAGGAGACCACAAGCCACTGTCAACATAACCCTGGCCCTCAGGGGCCTCTGGGCTTCCCATCAAACCAGGTCGGGTGCTCCTCTACTCCAGGGCAGGGCTAGCTGGGACCCTGCCTCAGCGTTTGGCATTTGATGCAGGGAAGATCCACAGAGACATCCTGACCCGTGACAACCCATGACAACTCCTATCTCTGAAAATTGTTTCCAAGCCATGACAGTGAATGTGTCTGCCTCCTTGGATTTGTGGATCTGGGCCTGAGGGACCTGGGGGCCAGAGCAGCAGGAGCCAAGGGGCCATGGGGCAGTGGACACGGCAGTGAGGATGGCAGTGGGAGTCTAGGCCCAGGAGGTTCCCGGGACCTTCACTCTAGCTCTGCTGAGTGAGCAGCAGCCTGGGTCTGTCCAGAGGCCTGTGTGGGCTGGAGCCGTGGGGAGGACAGCCCCAAACTCTCTCCCTCGCCCCCTGCCCACAGGCCTGGCTGCCCTCCCCAGGACACTGCCGCTCCCTGCTTTTCCTTCTCCCTGGCCCTGGCGGCTCTCTGGCAGGGAGGAATCACCACTCCCAGCTGATGGGCAGGGTCACCAGCTCCTGTGCTGGGGTCTGTGGATGACCCTGAGTCAGAGGCTGCCTGTGATGTCCAGGCTCCGCATCCCACTGCCCTGGTCAGTCTTCCCCACTCCGAGCAGCCCTGGGAGAGGCTGGATCCCAGTGGGAGCCCACGGCCCGCAGCCCCCAGCCCCCTACCCCGTGCCCCCGCAGCCCTCCCTCTGCATTCTTCACAGGGTCATGCAGATCTGGCAGACCTGACCCTCATTTGCCGTGACCAGGACAGGCCCACAATCCTGCTGAGTCCTGGGGACCCTCTGCAAGCTCCAAGGAGGGGCCTGGTTCCCCACACCCCCCACCATCCACTCTGGTCCTGACTAGTACTTCTTGGGGTGAACCGCCCAGAGGGCTTTTTGGGTGGGCGGCCCCCTAACTCCCGCCTCAATGCTTCTCTCTACAAAGTGGGTCCCGGTACCACAGCAGCACTCAGTAGCCCAGCACTGAGCTCGAGAGGACAGACAAATTGGGGCCAGGATGTCACTTAGCACCAAGCACTGGGCTGCAGATGAGAGAGGGCTCAGTTCAACAGCACAATTCAAAGGAACGACTATTTGTACATCATGTGTATTCTGGGCACCGAGGGAGCAGCAGGCAGGGACAGAGGCAGGACACAGAGAGCAGGGCCGGGCCCTCTCCCCCACCCCACCCCAGCAGCTCCGAGCCTCCAGCCGGTCCCCGAGTCCATTTGTTCACCTGCTCGCCCTACGGTGCTGGCGGGTCTACAGGGCAGGCACAAAGCGGATCCTCTGGGAGTAGGCGAGGTCCACGACGTACAGCAGCAGGTTGACGTAGGTGCAGATGGCCACGACGAGCTGGCTGTCCCAGGGGCAGCTGCCGCGGGCACAGTCTGGTGGCCGCAGGGGCTGGCCGTACTTGGGGTCGAAGGAGAAGACGGGCCAGATGACAGCCGCACTGACGTACAGGAGCGCGGCCAGGAGCGCGTACAGCACCACCAGGCGGTCGAAGGCGCAGCCCAGGCCCCCGGCATGGCCCATCACACTCAGGGCCACCACGACCACCGTGGCCAGGAAGCACAGGCTGTAGACAGCCACACACCACTGTGTGGCGGCATAGCGCCCAGACTGGCTGTCGTGGGCCAGCGCCCCGAAGATGATGCAGGCCACGAAGGCCTGGACAATCTTGAGGAGCCCCGACACCGTGGCCATGTAGCTGGCCACCTGGCCGGGCCGCGCACGCGTCAGTGCCACCTCGGCGGTGTAGGCCAGGAAGAGTAGCCCTGCGAAGACGCTGGCCGCCAGGCGGAAGTCCCGGGTGGTGCAGCCGGTGGGACCAGGCAGGCACCCACTGCGGGTGAAGTAGAGCGGGTAGATCACGGCCGCGGTGGCCGAGAGCAATGTGGCCAGCATAGCGCTGGCCGCCGTGAAGTTCCCCCAGGACAGGCGCAGGCAACTGTGCAGCTGCGTGAGCTCACAGAGCAGCACCAGCGCCGACAGGGCAAAGCAGAAGGCCCAGGCAGCCACGCAGAAGGTGCCCTGGACGCCCTCGAAGCCACCCCGGTGGGCCACCAGGCTGAAGGTGGTGCAGCCAAAGGCCAGCTGTAGCACGCGGGCAGTGCCCACGGGGGACATGATGGCCCCCAGCTGCAGGTAGCCCCCCCCAGGGGGCTCCAAGGTGCTGCCCATCTGGCCAGCCCCCGCCTCACGTGCACCCGGGGGTCCCTGAAGGGCCCGGGCCCCTCTGTCCCCTCCGGGGGCAGCGGTAGGTGCCCGCAGCTTGCGCCTCCAGCAGAGATGACGCGGGTGACATTGCAGCAGGCAGCGCCTCCCCGCCCCCCAACCCTCGGGCTATAAATAGGCACCGGGACAGCCCTGCACCCAGCCTGCTCACCGGCTAAGCCCAGCCGGCTGTCCCCTTTGGAGGAACATCTGACCTGGTCGCACCTCAGCCCTCAGCCCCGGTGGGACCATTAACCCTTTGTCAGCTGTGCTTCCCTGTCTCCACAGCAGCCGCCTCTGTCTCTCCACAGGGCTGGCTGAGGGGAGGAGCCTGGCGCGGTGGGGGCGGGGTTCCTTCGGCCACTCTGGCTGCTGGGCTATGGGGAATGAGGGCAGGCAGCCTCAGGACCCTTTTCCCTCTCTATGCAGCTCCCCACAGGGGAGATGGGGGAGATAGGTGGGGGAGGGAGGGGAGGGAGGGAAGGGAGGGAAGGGAGGGGCCTCGGAGCCCCCCACATGCTACAGCCAGCTTTGGAGGAGACTGTTACCCAGCTCTTTACCTTTTACTCCCTGTTCCTTGACTCCTGGTAGAAAAAGCAGCTTAGCCTCCGCCCACAGCCCATTGGCTGGTCCTTGTGGCAGAGAGCCCTCTAGGGGGACAGCAGGGGAAGAAGAACCAGGGAAGGGAGACCCAGTGCAGGGGCAGGGTCGCTGTGCCCCACAGGCCTGGGATGAGCAGGGCTGAGCGCTGCAGGCGTACAAGAGGGCCTGTCTTAGATGCCTCCTCCCTCCCTCCCTTTCTGCCCAGGGTATGCTCTTCCCCAGTCACCCACTGCCCCCAGGGCACTCTGCAGTCTTTGCCTCCTCTTAGCTCCTGTCTGGAGTCAGTTCTCCCTGACCCCAGCATGCCCAGTTTGTCCTGTGCCCTGGGGTGGGCTCATCCTGCAGACAGATGGACAGAGTGGCCTGCCATGCTGCCTCAGCTGGTGCCCAGTCTCCCTTTCTAGGCCATCGCTAGCACTTCTGTGGAGAGCCCCAATTCCAGGGGGCCCAGGCCCAGTGGGGTCCAGCCCAGCTCTGCCCTGTGTGCTGCCTGTGCATCCACACGTGCCTGGGGACAGTGTGACCCTTCAAAGCAATGGGTCTCTAGCCTCTTCCCTCATCCCAGCTGGGCAACACTGGACCTCACACAGGCCACCCAGACCTCTGGAAGCCCATCCCAGGCCCATGGTGAGTGGACAGAGTTCAACAGACTGATTGTTCAGTACACTCATGCCTCGCACAATGGGGTGATCTGCTGCGGCCACAGGGATTGAGATGCTGGAAGTAGGTCCAGTCCCCACCCTTTTTTCGGTGTGGTCTTGGGCCACATCTGGCAGTGTTCCTGGGTCACTGCTGGTGGTCCTTGGAGGGCCAAATGTAGTGCCAGGGATCAAAAAAGTCTTGGTCTTAAGGCGCGTGCCCTTCACACCTCTGTACGGTCTCTCCAGCTCAAATGTCTCAGTTTTGCTTTGCTTCTGTTTGGGGGCCACAACCTGCAGCACTCCGGGGCTGCTCCTCCTGGCTCTGTGCTCAGAGGCTGTATGTGGAGGGTTTGGAGCCAGGTTTCTCGCAAGGCAAGTGCCTTAGCCTCAGGATTCTCTGAGCCCCATTTCAATTTTTTGTTTTGCTTTGTTTGGGGGCCAAATCTGGTGGTGTCAGGGTTTCCTTCAGTGCTTGGGGTAGCTTCCAGAGGTGGTCAAGAACCAGGGGCTGAAGGAACCTAGCCAGGACACAGGAGATGCGTGAGCCCCACCCACAGCACACCCACGCTTGCCCAGGACAAAGCGCTGCCCCAGAAAGGCCCCGCCCATATCAGACCCCGCCCACAACAGGGCCCACCCATATCCTGCCCCGCCCATGACAGGCCACACCCATGGCAAGGACCCACCCATAGTATGGCCAGCCCTGCCCAAGCAAGGCCCCACCTATAGCAAGGCCCCACCCACAGCAGGACTCGCCCACGGCAAGGACCTACCCATAGTACCATAGTACGGCCAGCCCAGGACAAGGACCTGCCCACAGGAAGGCCCCGCCCTCCCGCCCATCGTTAAGGCCCCACCCACAGCAGGGCCCCACCCATAGGGACACCAGTTGCTGATTGGACCGACTTTTCAGGGTCTTCCAAGTTTTTTGCTTTTTGTTTTTTGTGTTTTCTGTTTCCTGACAGTGCTCAGGGATCACTCCTGGTGGGGCTGGGGGACCGTATAGGATTCCAGGAATCGAACCCAGGAGAGCTGCATGCTCAGGGCTTATTTCTGCTCTGTGCTTAGGGGTCATTCCTGGTGGGTGGGGAGGACCATATGTGGTGCTGGGGTTCCAGTAGGGATTGGATGCGTGCAAGGCAAACGTCTACTACTGTTGATCCAACCCCAGATTTATTTATATATATTGGGTAGGGGACACCCAGGGGTGCTTAGGGTTTACTCTGGCTCTGCACTCAGTAGTTACTCCTGGAGGTGCTCAGGGGACCATATGGGGGTACTGGGGATCAAACACAAGTCAGTCACATGCAAGGCAAAAAGTGCCCTCCCTGCTGTCCTGTCTCTGGCCCCAGATTGAATATTTTAATGCAGTATCTATTAGTATAATTTTTAAAAATGATAATATCTTTGACTTAAAATGCTCATTTTTAAAATTTTAAGACTCGTTTGTTTGGGTGCCACACTCAGCGGTGCTCAGGGGTTACTTCTGGCTCCACGCTGAGGGGTCACTTCTGGTGGGGCTCAAGGAACCATAAGGGGGGGCTGGAGCTGATAGGGCGTTTGCCTTGCACGTAGCCAACCCGGGTTCAATTCCCAGCATCCCATATGGCCATATCGTCCCCTGAGCACAGCCAGGAGTAATTCCTGAGTGCATGAGCCAGGAGTAACCCCTGAGCTTTACTGGGTATGAGCCAAAAAGCAAAAAAAAAAAAAAAAAAAAAAAAGGAACCATAAAGGGTGACAAGGATGGAGCCCAGCTGGCCATATGCTTTACCCACTGTAAAGGCTCTACCCACTGTACTATGACTTGGGCCCAAGACTTCATTTGTAGCATGATTCAGATGTGCAGAGAAACTGGGCAGAGAGATTGTCCCACACTGGGCATGTGTTCCCACTCCTTAGTCTTGCATGGAGGCGGAAGTTAGTTAGATAAAGCCACTTCTCCTACTCCTGGACTCACAGGGCCCTGAGCTTCTGTCCCTCAGGCAGTGGTATCTCTGGGACTCTCTGGGCTCAAGGTCCAGCGTTTTCTTGTGATCACATGGAAGGAGGTGGGTGAGTTGGGGGTGAAGAGTTCCTTGGTGCCCACCCACATGTCCCAACAGGATTCATCAGCTGATCCAGGTGTGGGGTCCCCCCTGGCATACTGTGTCCCTGAGGGATCTCTGTGCCCAGCACACACTTAGGGTCTGAGAGGTTTTGCTCTTTCTTCTCTATGGGGGAGTCCTCGTAATGTGTTGTTCTGTTTTCTTTGGGGGCCACTCTAGCAGTGCTCAGGACTATATTCAGTGCCAGGCTGGATGGGAACCAGGGTTGCAGCATTAGTATCTGCATGTTAAGGTACACTTAATTCTGCACTGTCTCTCAGACCCCATCTATATAACTTATTTGGAAAACCGGGGTGGGGGGTCTTTTTTCTTCTGTTCCTCTTTTTACTTCATTTTTTTTGTGGGGTGGAAGGACACCTGGCAATTCTTAGGGGTTACATTGCTCCTAGTTCTGCACTCAGAAGTCAATCCTGGCAGTGCTCAGGGAACCATAAGGGGAGGTGGGGATCAAACCCAGGTGGGCCATGTGCAAGGCAAACACCATCCATCCTGTACCATCTCTTCAACCCCTTTATTTTTTATCGTTAGGAGCCTCTGGGCACGATTTCATCCTTTGGGTAGAATTCAGATCTGTGTTCTTTGTGCTGTGGTCTCACCAGGGCCACAGTGGGGCTGTGTCCACTAGCACTGCACCACCTGCTCCGCTCTCTGGGACACGAACAGCAGGGTGAGGTGCAGGGGTCCCAGGTCTGCTGGAGACAGAGACAGATGGGAAATGCCCGAAGTGTCCCTCTCCACAGCCCCCAGCCTCCAGGCTTTCCAGGTGAGTGGGGCGCACACAGCCCTCTCCTGGGGTGCCTAGCTCACTGCAGGGAGCACAGGGAACCTGCAGCATGCTGAACCCACCGTTAGAACTTGGCAGCGGGCACAGTGGACAGAGGTCTCCCCAGCTACAGCCAGGCACGGAGCCCAGCGCTCAGCCCGACAGGCACCGGGAGCGCGTGCGCGTGCGCGCAGCGGGGGCAGCGCCAGGCTTGTCCCGGCGCCGCCACTAAGGGTCAGTAGGGCCCCTATGTGAGATGTCTGAAACTGGGGCGCTGGGGGTGGCCACCCCTTGGGGACGTCAGCAGAGCTCTGACAGATCACGTGGCATCAGCTGTCCCGCAGTCGGGGCTCGCTCCACTGGGGTGTGTGCTGGGCGGTGGGCAAGCTGCCCCTAAACACGGCTGCCGCCGCCAGCCTCTTGTCTTTGGCTTTTTTCCATTATTAAAAAAAAGTATGTTACAAAACGTTACCATTCATCATATATTTCTTGCTTATTTTCTTTTTAAAAATTAATTAAAAAAAGTCACTTTATAAAATAATACAAAAGGGCGGGAGGCTGGGACGGGGCTGGCCAGCAAATCCAGGACTCCTCGGGGTGCGGGGATCCTCAGGCGGCGGCACGGGAAAGCAGGGCGGGCTGCTCCACGCAGGGTGCCCCAGCTCCCGGAGGGGACCCGCGCCCCTCCGCCCGCCCCCAGCTCCCCGAGGGGACCCGCGCCCCAGACGCCCCCAGCTCACCGAGGACCCGTCCCGCACCCTAGATGCCCCCAGCTACCCATCGACCCATCCTGCGCCTCGGGCGCCCCCAGCTCGCCAAGGGAATCCGGGCGCCCCCAACTCCCCGAGGGGCCCCGTCCCACACCCCGAGCGCCCCCGGCTCGCCAAGGGGATCCTGCGCTCCGGGCGTCCCCCAACTCCCCGAGGGGCCCCGTCCCACGCCCCGAGCGCCCCCAGCTCACCAAGGGGATCCTGCGCCCCGGGCGCCCCCAACTCCCCGAGGGGTCCGGTCGCGCGTCCCGAGAGCCCTCAGCTCGGCAAGGGGATCCCACGCCCCGTGAGCCCCCAGCTCGCCAAGGGGCCCAGACCCGCGCCTCGGGCGCCCCCAGCTTGCCAAAGGAAATCCAGCGCCCCGAACGCCCCCAGCTCGCCAAGGACCTGGACCCGCGTCCCTGGCGCCTCCAGCTAGCCCAGGGCCCGGACCTTGGTCCCGGGCGCCCCCAGCTCGCCAAGGGGATCCCGCTCTCCGGGCGCCCCCAGCTCGCCAAGGGCCCGGACCGCGGTCCCGGGCGCCCCCTAGCGGCCGCCGCTCAGCATTCCCAGCAGCTTGCTGGGCTCCAGCCCCTGCTGCTCAGCCACGGACTGCACGTCGAAGCCCAGGTGCATGAGGAACTGCGCCACGTTCATCTCCTGGCCCGTGAACTGGTCGCGGATGGTGGGGCAGGACGGGTTGCAGTGGGGCCAGGGGCAGCTGTCCACAAGGTGCATGGGACAGCCCTTCAGGGGGGTCTTGTTGCCCCTGTGGGCTTCTTGAAGGCTCCTGTCCCAGCAGTGCAGTGCCCGCGGCAGGGACGTCCCCTTCACCTGCACCTCCGTCCAGTGGCTGCATGCAGAAGCAGTTCAAGCTCAGGAAACCCTTCTGCAGTGCTCCGCAGGGGTCAAGGGCGGGTCGAGCTGAGGGGGAGGAGGCACTAGGGTCACCGACCTTCGGATGATGATCTCATGTGAAAGGCAGGCAGGTGCAAAGCTGGCCCTGGTGGGGAGGGGAGGAGGCCCGTGAGCCCCTCAGTCCCATATATCCCCCCCCAACTCAGCGCCGCTGAAACGCTCCTGCCTGCCTGCCTGCCTGCCTCTCAGGCTTAAGGGGGGGGGGGTGTACAGACAGGCGAATATCAGGCATTTACTAGCAGCTTTGGGTTCTCAGCAAAATGAAAGGGAGGAGACTGCAGCCCACCCCAGGCCCCATGCGGAGGCACCCTCTGGGACACGCATACCCTCGCGGGCATAATCCACACCCAGCTCACTGCCGCGGCTGCACCTCTCACAGGTTCACTACCCCAGCTCCTGCCTGGGCACCTCGCAGCCTCCCAGGCTCCCCAAGTAGCCCGCAAATGAGCTGGCGGGTGCCCATACGCCCCTGTTGCTTGCTCCATCCAGGACACCACCCTGCTCGGCCGCCCCAGCTGACTCACGCCACGTCCTTGAGCGTGTGTCTGAGCTCACGGCCCACGTTCTGGATGTATAGCCACTGGTCCTCCTGCAGTGGCTGGCCCGGGATGTGCACATTGTCCACAGTCAGCTGGGCCTCGTCAAACAGCCACTGGACCACGAATACTGGGCCTGGGGAGGGGGCGTGGCTCAGCACGGTGCAGCACTCTGCCCCCATCCCGCAGGCTCTCCTCTCTGCCAACCCGCTGTGCCTGGTGGCTCCATGTCCCCTCAGCTCCTGCTCTGGGCCTGGGTCCCCTTGGCTGCTTTGCCCAGTCCCGGGCTCACAAACCCCAGCGCGTGGGGTTGAGGGGAAGAGGGCTGTTCACCAGGGCAGAGTCATGAGAACCGCACTGAAATTCTTGGCCAAGCGCTATGGGGCGATGGGGCGTGGCCGGGAGGGGTTGGTGGTACCCGCAAGAATTACACCCCACGGCCACTCACAGCGCAGCGTCGGGTATATTTTGTAGCCGAAGAAGCAGTTCCACTCCTCGCCCTCCTTGAATTGCCGCCTGCAGCGCTCGGGAACCAACCCGTTCCAGTACCTGGTCGATCGTGCAGGTAAGGCGCGCGCCCCGTTCGGACGCCCCGCCTCCTGCCCGGACGCCCCGCCCTCCCCACCTGATGCCCCGGCGGATGGCCTCCGTGGGCGCACAGGTGATGGTGTCCACGCAGTCCGTGTGACGGTACTGCTGGTTGTCCAGGAACCAGCCCGAATCGGCCAGGCCCCGCACCTGGATGCCAGGGTAGCCCAGCTGCTCCAGCTGCTCGGCCACCCGATCCACGTTCAGGAGCACCCCCGTGCCCCCGGCGCTGCAGAAAGGCAGGTGTGAGGACGGGTGGGAGGGCCTGCTCCTGCTCCTGACCCACACCCCCACGGGCGCCCCGCGCACCTGCTCCCCGCCAGCAGCAGCACCTTGGCCCCACTCAGCCCCTGGTCCAGGAGCTCTCGGACCACCTCCTGGATGATGAGGGCGCCCATGAAGGCGAACTCACCTGCAGCACAGGGGGAGGAGGAGGTTTCTGGGGGGCCTGGGTGCGTTGGGGGGGCGCTTAGAGAGTCAGGAGGGTTGGGCGGTGGGGGGGCAGCCCCCCCTCCAGGTTTCCAAGGCTGGGGGAGGGGTCGGCCCTCGGTGACTCACTCTTTTCGGATTTGGAGGAGGCGCCGCTCCAAACGTCACTGGAACAGTAGGGGATGAAGCTGGAATACAGGGGCCGGTGAGCGGCTGGGTCTGGAAGCCGGCACCGAGGGGCAGCCCCCGGGAGGGCCACTTACACCATGTTGGCGTTCCACCAGTGGGGGTTCTCCTCGGGCTGTGAGGACAGGATGCCGGTACCTGCGCGGGGGACAGGGGCCCTGGGCACGGCGGCACGCGGGGGTGTGCCCTCCCTGCGTGGAGACGCCCGCCCTCCCGCTCCCGCCCGGCACCCTGCTGACCCGTGCGGGTGCGCGGCCAGTCCTTGGAGCTCATGAGACGCCGCAACGTGTCGTAGCGGGAGGCGCAGTTCTCGCGGTTGAAGCAGTACCAGCCTCCTGCGGGCACGGCCAGGGCTCAGCCCGCGGCGCCGGGCACCCCCCACCGCCGCGGGCCCCGAGACGCACCTTCCAGAAACACCAGCCACCGCCGGCTGCCCTTGGACTCCTTCAGGTAGTAGCTGCGGGGCGGACGGTGTCACGGGGCCGGGACTGCGCCCCCGCAGCCCCGCGCCCCTCGGTCCACCTGCCGCGGCGCTGGGCGGCGGCCGCGCGGGGGCGCTCGCGGCCCGGCCCGCAGCGGCCGCGCCGGGCCCGGGAGGGGGCGCCCGCGGGGCGGGAGGGCGAGGGGCCGTGTGGTCCGTGGAAAATCCCCACGGCCCGCCCCGCGCGGGACCCGCGGAGAGCTCGGCGCCGGCAGCCGCACGGGGGGCGGTGCCGCCGGCCGCGGTGCCGGGGGTGCGCGTGGGGCGCGGGCGGCGGGGCGCCAGGCGGGCGTGGAGGGGTGAGGCGCCAGGCTGGCGGGGCCGCGGCCGGCGCGGCGCCCGGTCCCGGGGGCGCCCCTCGGGCCCGCCCCTCCGGCCGCCCCCCGCGGGGCCGCTTCCCACCTGCGCCCGTGCCCGAGGCCCCCGCCGCGGGCTGGGGCGCGAGGGCCCGCCGGCACCTCTTTCTGCGCGCGCCGGGCGCGGGGGAGCGCGGGGCACGGGGCGCCGGGGCGCCGGGGGCGCGGGTGGGTGGGCGGCCGCCCCGCGGGGCCCGCGTCCCGCCCGCCCCGCGGCCTCCCCGCGTCGAGCCCCCGTGGGGCCCGGCGCGGCCGCGGGCCTTACCCGGCGGGGCTGCCGTCGTTGCAGGTCACCGACGTGTTGAGCAGGAGGTGCAGACGCAGGTCCTCGTGCAGCTGCTGCGCCGAGCAGGGGTACAGCGACTGCGCCAGGCTCTTGACCTGCGCCATGAAGCTGTCCATGTTGCCCTCCACGGCCGTGAAGTCCAGCGGGAAGCTCTCCACGGGCGGCTCGGGCGCCGGCGCCGGCTCGGGCCGCGGCGCGGGCGGCGGGGGCGGCGGGGGGCCCCGGCGGCGCCAGCCCTTCCTGGCCTGGCCGCCCCCGGCCCCGTGCAGCAGGCCCAGCAGCAGCAGCAGGCGCACCCCCGGGCCCATGGCCGGTCGCGCCCGCGCGGGGCCACCTGCGGAGCGCGGCGGAGCGGCGGGGGGCGTCGAGGCGCAGCGGCGCCGTCGGCCTGGGCGGCGGGCTCGGCGCGGCCGCGGGCGGCGGCTCTGGGTGCGCCGGCTCCGGCCCGCGCCAATGAGCGGCGGGGGCCGAGCCTGGGCGTAGTTTGCGGGGGCCGCGGCCGCCGGGTGCCCGCGCGTTAGATGTGCCGCCGCCGCCCGGCCGGCCGCGGGGGAGGGGGCCGCGCTCGCTGCTTTCTTGGCGGAGGCTTCGCCTTTTCTTCCCAAACCGCAAGCCTGACGGAGGGGCCTGGACTACCCCGGCGCGGCCGCCGGAGGCGCTCCCGGCCCGGCTCCGTGGGGGGCAGCGCGGCCCGGGCCGCCCCGCCGCCGCCCCCGCCCCGCCGACGGGCCCACCTGAGCCCGGCCCGCGCCCCGCGCCCCGTGCCCCGCGCGCCGCCGGCCCCGCTGCGCTGGCGCGGGCCGCCCGCGGCCACTTTCATCCGAGCGGCCCCGGGATCAAAGCAACGACGGCGGACACCGCGCTCCGCGCCGGGGACCTCCGGGAGGACCCGAGCGGACAGGTGGGGCGCGGCGCCCCGGGAGGCGGGGTACGGAGGGGCGCTGCCACTCACCGGGACGCCCCAAGCCCCGGCTGCCCGCCGCCCTCGCCCCACCTGGCACGTGCGCAGCGCCCCGCGCGCCCTGCGCCGCCGTCGGACGCCGGTCCGGGAGGCGCTGGCCGGAGTCCTAGCTCAGGCATCGATGCCCCAGAGGCGCTCGGCTCACCTGAGCTCTGCGGGGCTCCGGGCGGCTTCTATACCCATTGCTCGGACAGGAAGTGGGCCTCGCCTGTTGGGGCAGGGGTCCGGAGCCCGGTCCTGGGGGAGTGACCCCCTGCAGGTGTGCGGCCCTCCCCTCCGGGTCGATTTTCCAGCTGCTCCCGACCCGCGTGCATACCGCGCTGAGCCAGGCGTGGTACTAAGCACCCAGGGGATGCTTAGTACCCACAGGAACTCGGGCGGAGATACAGAGGACTGGGTAGGCAGACCTCCCTGTGCCTGGGGCCAGCCTGGACCCACTGTGGGCATGGTCCAGGCTAAACGAGACCCTGGGGATGGGCAGACCCAGGTGTCACACCCAGGCCTTCTGGGGGCCATGCCCACTCCCAGCTGGACGGCAGGTAACGCGACCTGGCTCACAGCTGTCTCCTGGTAGCAAGTCCTGGGCACCTCCCCCATCTCTCCTGTGCCTCTGCCCCTCTTCTTAGAGTGACAGGAGAGCGGGCAGGGCATTTGCCTGGCATGCAGCAGAGCCAAGTCTGATCCCCGGCACCTCGTATGGTCCCTTGAGCACCGCCTGGAGTGATGCCTGAGCAAAGATCCAGGAGTAACCCCTGAGCACTGGGTGTGGCCCAAGAAAACAAAAAAATAAATAAAAATAATGAGATTATTTGGGCCAGAGAAAGTACCGTGGGTAGCATGCTTGCTTTACATGTGACTGACTCAGGTTCGATCCCCAGCACTGCATATGTGCCTGGAGCCCCATCACGGATGATCCTTGAGCACTGAGGTGGAAATAAGCCCTGAGCACCGCCACCCAAAACCAAAATAATAATAATAGTAATAATAATAATAATAATAAATTATTGTATGCAAGCCATGTGCTCTCCCCCTATACCATTTCTGTCCTCCGTCCTTTTTCATTGTTTTTGCACCACAGTTGGTACTCAGGGCTGACTCCTGGCTCTGCACTCAGGAGTCAGGAATTACTTCTGGGGTGCTGAGGGGACCACACGAAGTGCTGAGGATCCAACCTGGGTAGGTCACGTTAAGGTAAGGGCCCTCCCTGCGGTACTCTGTCTCTGTCCTCCCTGCCCTCCTTTTGCAGTCCTTGGTTTTGGAGCACACTCACTTGTGGCACTTGGGAGCTGTTCCTGGTGTGCTGTGCTGGGGTCTCCGGCTGCAAACTCGAGGCCAGGCTGCTCCCTCCTCCTTGGAGTGGGGCAGTGACCAGGCCCCTTCAGGGCATCTATGGGCACCTGTGGAAGACTATCCAGGTCGCCAATGACATTCCAGGACAGAGATCTACTTGGAGTGTGGCCTGGCTACACCTAGAGTCCACTTCATTCCATGTCAGTTGAAACAGCCCCGCTACAGACACGAGGGGTGTTAGCCCCGAGGCTCCCGCTTTGGGACCTCGCACGCACACAACCGAGGCACCATGTAGCATCTTGCGAGTCCCACCAGGGGATCCCTGAGGAGTAAAATTTACTCCAGAGCCAGGAATAAACCCTGAGCACTGCAAGGTGTGGACCAAAAAGCAAAACAGAAAACAAGCACTTCCAGACTCCCTGCTCACTCTTTAAGAGCTGGGGGCTGGTGAGACATCATGGCGCTGTTGGGGAGGGTAAAGTGCTTGCCTTGCTTGTGATGATCCTGGTTCTATCCCCTCTACCACATAGGGGCCCCTGAGCACCACCAGGTGTGGCCCAAACACAAACAAGAGACAATGCTCTGACAGTCACGTGTTGCTGCTCCCAGGGGCCTGAATGGGGATCGGGGTTCACACAGAAGAGACACATGTCCACCACCTCAGCCACTGCCGCCGGCCAGACCCTCTGTCCTTTGGAACTGACAGCTGACTCCGGGCCCTGAGCCTTGGTGGCCGCTCCCACTGACGCAGATGGGCTCTGTCCCTCCCCCATATGGCACGGCCACTGCTGCCCACTGCCCACACCAGTGCAGCAGCCTCCAAGCGGGTGGAGCCGCACTCAGGTTAAACAGCAACAGGCCAGATTCCATTTCACCGTCTCACCCCACCTGGGTCATGTGTGGCCAGGACATGGGGGAGCTGGAGCTGGTGTGTGCATGGGTGGCCGCCAAGGACGGGCGGGGGTGTGTGTCTGCTGACCAGAACAGTCTGCAGATACTGACTGTCCAGTGCTCAGGGTTTCCAAGGAGCTGCAGGACCGGCCCATCCGTGGGAAACCAGTCCTGGCAGGCCTGGCCCAAACCCCGCTGCCCGCCACGCCATGGATGCCCGCGTCCGGGGGGACTGCTAGGGGACAGCACCGCACAGCCGAGCCTGCTTGATCCCCAGTGGGCTTGCGCAGTTCAGAACATGCATGAGGCGTCACAGAAACGCTGCCCCCTCATGGCGAGGTTTGTGTGACCCGCTGGAGCGCTGGTGGGCAGGGGACCGCAGAGCGGGCTGGGGTGGTCCCTGCTGCCACCACGCTGGTTTCTGGGCCTCGGGGGCTGACCAGGAAACAGCAGCGAGGCATGAGGTCTCTGACAGGAGGGACTCCCAGGGGATGGTGGCCGTCCCTTAGGGACCTCACAGACCACCGCCCAGGCCTCCCACTCTGACATGGGGACAAAGACAGGGCCAGCCAAGGGTGCTGCGCCCTTCCAGGGGTCTGGGAGTCAATGCAGGACTACTGTGGTGGAGTAAGCAGCCACGAGGGTCTGGGGCACGGGACAGTGGAGCAGCTGTTTCCACTGTTGGGCAAAAGGAAGGGGAGGAACATTCTAGAAGCGATGGTCTGGCAGGAGCAGGGGGCAGGGTTGGGAGGTGTGGTCAGTCTCCCTGAGGGTCCAACAGTCCAACAGGGCCTGACCAGAAAGCCCTGTAGCCCAGCCCTGTGTCCGAGGTGCCGTCTGGGGTACAGCTGCTGCTGTCATGGGCCACTGGCAGATTGAGCCCCAACTGCTGGCCCCTGCCCACCCCCACTCTAACCCCCACCAACAGGAACCCCCTGCACACGGAAGAGCAGAGCCGCTGGCCCGAAGCCATTTGGGGGTCTCTAGGCGACCCACAGCAGGACCACCAGGGCCAGGGGCCGTGGGTAGTCAGCGTATCTGGGGTCCTGGTCCCACAGGGCATCGCCCACTGAAATTGGCCCAGGAAGGTGGGAACACAGAGAGGGTCCTGCGGCCCCCTGGCCTGGCGTGGCCCTGGCAACAGTGAAGGGTGGGGCTGGGTGGCCGCAGGTGGGAGGCGCAGCAGCCACACACCCTGCCCTACTCCACACCCTAAGGAGCAAGCTCCTGGCCCATCCTGTCTCGTCCTGTCCCCGGCCTGCTGGTCCCCACGCGCTGCCATGTGACCTTCCCACCCTCCCTCCCAGCTTGTGATGCGCACGTGGCCTCCGGGGAGGCAGAAAGAAACCCTCAGATCTGCCACTGGGAACCTCTCAGCGCCAGCGACATCAAAGGGGCGCGGGCGGGGGCGGCGGATGCGTCTCTTAAAGGGCCAGGCCACTTGTTAATTCAAAGCAGACCCTGGGAACAGCTGTGTGCCCGGCTGGTGAGGGCGGAGGGCAGGTGGGGACCCGGCCAGCCTTGGCTCGCTGCCTCCGGGGGGCTCGGGCACGGGGGCTCCCTGCCAGCAGGACCCGGGGTGCAAGTGGAGTGCAGGGTGGACTTCGGAACCGTGAAGTCCAGAGTCATTCTTACCTGCGTGGGCGGGCGGGGGTTGGCAGTGAACCCCACCCCCACCCCATGTCAGGCTGTGCCCCCGCCCGTGGGGGCTGCCCCTGACATGGGGGAGGCGCTGGCAGCCGCCGTCCCTCCCCCGGCACCAGCCAGACTGTGCCCAAGGAGGGAGAGCAAGCAGGATGCCAGCCAGCCTGATGGCATGGGGTGCCGCTGGGGCCCCAGGTGACCGTGCAGCGCAGGGGTGGGGGAGGGGCAGCAGAGTCAGAGCCTTTGATTCTCAGCCTTAGGCGATACAGATGTTTCCAGAAGGAACTCCTAGGAAGTAGGTCTTGAGCTGCTTAAAATTCCAATTCTGGGCCGAGGAATAGCAGAGAGGGCGCTCCCCTTGCAGGCGTTCCTGCTGACCTGGGTGCTCTCCCTGGCAGCCCTATGGTCCCCTAAGTCTCGCCAGGAGAGATCCCTGAGCGCAGAGCCAGGGGTCACCCCAGGAGCACTGTCAGATGGGGCCCATCCCCCAGTTGTAAGTGTGATTGTACCTGAAAGTCCGGTCTGCTGTTGCACGGAGACCCTTGCTGTGCTCCGCCTTTCCCCAAGGACCAGTGAGAAAGTCCCCAGGTCATTCTAGGTCAGAGCCTTTGGACTGTGACCCATGACCTGCAATAGCCTGGCCCCACTCCCCATCACCCACACCAGCACCCTGACCCCAGACTCGGGCCACTCTGGCCCTTGCAGGGCGCTGTCCTGAACCCGGGTCAGTGGCTCAGGAGATGTAGGTGATAAACAGGGAGCCTGCAGCCCGCTGGACACAGGGACTCTTGGTGCTCTGGGCACCACCAGGCCCTGGACACAGGGATACCCAGTGCTCTAGAGGCCCATGCCCCGGGCTCTGGATGCAGGTGCTCAGTGCTCTGGACATCCTGGGCTGCTGAGGTGCTGATAAGGCTGCTGTGACAAGGAGACCAGGACCCTGGTCACTGATTGTGTAAGAAGGAGGGAGTCCAGTCAGTACCTGGCTTTGTTCTGCCCAGGGGGCACTGGCCTCCTGCTGGTGGCGCTGGGCAGGGTTGAGTTTTTCCTAGGTAGTTTTTTGTGTTTGTTTTGGGGCCACACCCGAAGATTCAGGCCTTACTCTTGGCTCTGCTCTCAAGAGTCAGTACTGGCAGGCTCAGGTGACCATGTGGGATACCGGGGGGTCGAACCAGGTCAGTCATAGGCAAGGCATGTGACCCACCTGCTGTCTATCAGCTCTCTCACCTCACATTGTAATTAATTAACTTTGGTTTGGGGCAACATCCGGAGCTGCTGAGGTTCTGGCTTTGCACTCATGGATCTCCTGAGGAGCTTGGGGGACCAAATGGGGTGTCAGGCATTGGACCCAGGTTGACTGTGTGCAAGGCAAGGCCTTCCCCACTATCTTTCCCCACTATCTTCCCCACTGCTGTACTCTCTTTCCAGCCCTCATTTTTACTTATTTATTTATTTATTTTCTTTTTGGGTCACACCCGGCGATGCACAGGGGTTACTCCTCTCCTGGCTCTGCACTCAGGAGTTACTTCTGGCGATGCTCAGGGGACCATATGGGATGCTGGATATAGAACCCGGATCGGCCGCATACAAGGCAAATGCCCTACCCACTGTGCTATGGCTCCAGCCCCTCACTTTTATTTTTTTATTTATTTTTATCTTTTGTTTGTTTGTGGGCCACACCCAGCGATGCTCAGGGGTGACACCTGGCCCTGCACTCAGGAGTGACTTCTGGTAGTGCTCAGGCAACCATATGAGATGCTGGGGACTGAACCTGGGCTGGCCACATGCAATGCAAGTGCCGTACCTGCTGTACTATCTCTTTAGCCCCCACTTGAAAATCAAATATTTGCATGGCCACATTCTAGCAATGAAGAGAGTATAGAAGGTGAGGCACATGCTGTCACCCAGCCTTACCAGGTGTGACCCCTGAGCACAGAAACAGGCATAAGCCTTGAACACCGTTGGGTATGCCCCCCAAAGAAAACAAAATGTAGCCATGGGGCCCAAGAGAGCTGCAGGGGCTTGCGGCTGCTTTCATGCAGCTGATCCGTGCTGATCCCCAGCACCAAGGGGAGACTCTCAAGAACAGAGCTGGGAGGACCCTCCCCCCACCAAGCACTGTGCCAGATGTGGCCCAGCCTTTCCTCCACAAGTACTGCAAAGAAAAGAGTGTCTACCTCCCTAATGACAAATCAAAAGGGTGGGAACACCCCGAAAGGGCGCAGCGCATCAGCAGGGTACAGTCCTGGTGATGAAGGAACAAACACCAAGCCTTCTCACACCAATGACTACACTCAGGACAGAAACAGTGCCCTGGGAGCAGGCACAAAGGTCACATGCAGGATTGCAAGCAGGAGGCCTGGGTCAGACCCAGCATCACAAGGACCCTTGAGCACTACCCAGAGTGATCCCTGAGCAACGGAACCAGAAGTAGCCTCTTTGGCACTGCTGGATGTGGTCCAAAGTGAAACGAAATGAAATGAAAGGTACTATAGCAGCTCGGGCACCTGACTTACACGTGGTGGACACAGCGATCCATGTGGCTCCTTGTGCCCTGCCAGAGTGACTGTGATCCCCGAACATTTCCAGGTGTAGACAGCGACCCCCACCCCCCAAAAGAGTAAACCAAAGATCCTGAAATTTCCCTAGTAGGTGTGAGGTTTGCTGCTGGATGGCTATAGCCAATGAGTCTCTCTGGGGGAACTCTGAGCTGATCAATAGTCTGACCCAAGTGGCTGGGCCTGGGCGCTGCAGGGCAGGACTCACGAGTGCAGTCCCAAGCACCGCCAGCCTCTTACCCTACAACAGGCAAAAAAAAAAGACTGGACAGGGGATCACACAGCGTCGGGGCCCAGGCTTGGGCCCCAGTTTGAATCTGACACTGTCTGTCCCCAGTGCTCTGGGGCACCGCAGGGCCATCCTCCGCCCAGTTGGCTCAGTGTCATTGGGAGTGGCCATGAGCCCCCTCGACACTTCTGGGGGATGCCCCACCCCCAAAGTGCTGAATCAGGCAGTCCCAGGTCGGTCCCTTCAGGCCGAGTCCGGCAGCCTCAGAACTGAGTGAAGGGCTTGGCCAGGGGCAGTGGGGAACCTACTGGTGCTGGACCCAACCCTGGGGCTGGACGCACCCACAACTCTTGAGCTGTCTCTGCAGCCAACATTTGTGATGTGGAGAATCATCCCCATGGGTGCTCAGGGGTTGCTTCTGGCTGTGCTCTAAGGACCATGTGGTGCTGGGGATCAGAGAGCAAGCATCTCACCCTTTGTGCTATTTCTCTGGCCCCATACTTGAGATTTTCTTTTCTTTTTTTTTTTTTTGCGGGAGTGGGGGAGTTGGGGCACAACCAGCTCAGGTCTTACCTCTGGCTCTGCATTCAGGGATCATTCCTGGCAGAGCTTGGGTGTGTAGGGGGGAACCCTATGAGATGCTGGAGAATGAATCTGGCAAGGTAAACAGCCCATCCACTGTATTATTTCACGGGTCACATTCTGGAGATTCTTCTGTTGTTTGGGTGCTATACCTGGTGGATACTGGGCTTACTCCTGACTCTGCACTTAGGGATCACTCCTGGTGGGGACTATATGTGGTGCCAGGGATCAAGCCAAGATTGGCTGTGTGCAAGGAAAAAGCTCTGCCTGCTGTACTATTCTCCAGCCCTTCATGTGCAATTTTAAGAACTTCACTACTTAGGATGATGATGGGCTTCTACCCATGGTGATGAGCTTCTACCACTTGCTCGCCACAGGCATGCAGGCATCCCATGTGGAGACTGGAGTGACAGTACAGTGGTAAGGTGCTGGCTTTTTATATGGACAACCAGTGTTCAGTCTCTGGCATTGCATAGGTCCCCTGAGCACTGCCTGGAAAAAGCCCTGAGCACCATCTAGTATGGCCAAAAGCCAACCTGCCCCTCTCAAAAAAAAAAAAAAAAAAAGCACTCCATGTATTGGCTGGCGACCGGCTGCGCAGGGCTCCGGGGCTTCTGCTACCACACAACCCCTTCATACCCTTCCCTAAGCTCTCCTCTCCCATTGGTGGGCTGCACTCCCCGCCTTGGACTTCGCTATTTCCAAACGCTGCTGTAGCTTCCACAAGGACCCGAAGCTTTCTTTGGGCGACCGAGTATCACCCTCAGCACATGGCTTGGACGCTCACCCAATCAGCACTCGTCCCGGATATCCGGAACTCAGAGCAGCAGCCAATCAGCGCGCCGTCTGTACGCCCCTCCCCCTGGGCGGAGCCTGCGGTCACGCAGGAAGCAGGGCGCCGACCGCTTTCCGGACTTCCCCTGCTCCCGCCGCCTTAAAGTCCCGGGGTCATTCTGTGACTCCCCCACAGAGCTGGGCCCGTCCGGCCTGGCAGTGCCCGAGACCACCCGCACTGCGTCGGCTCCAGCCCTTGGGCTGCGGCCCGCCCCCGACGTCAGAGCCGGTGGGCGCTGCCCGTCCATCACCTCCGGGGCGCGTCTGGGGGAGGCCGTGCGGGGGGCTGCTGACCAGGGACGGACACCCGTGTGCCCGCGCCTGCCTTCGCTCTGCCTTCCGGCTGGCGCCCGCGAAACGGGAAAGGCCTAGACCCGGGGGGGCCGCCCGACCTCCCTCAGGGGCTGGGCAGCCCCCGAAGTCCGTCCCCACGCCCACCCCGCTCTGGGCTGCAGGTTCACCCGCGGGGAGGGGGCGATCGCGCCTGTGCTCCGGGTCAGGGTTTGTTTTCACACCCCGCCGGGAGAGGTGCGGGGCAGGGGCAGGGGCCAGGGGGCCAGGCCGGGGCTGGGCGGGGCCTGAAGGCGGCCTTCGCTCCCGGGTCACGGCCAGGGCGCGGGGGCGTGGCCAGCCGGGCGGGTCCGGAAGCGCGAGGTCCCGCCCCGCCCCGCCCCGCTGCCCCGGCTGTCCGCACGCGCGTTGCCGATAAAGTTTTCCCGAGCGGAGCACTGCGGCCGGTCACGTGAGCGGAAGATGGCGGCCGCGGCGGGCGGCGGCGCCTCCGCGGTGTCCGTGCTGGCTCCAAACGGGCGGCGCCACACGGTGAAGGTGACGCCGAGTACGCTGCTGCTGCAGGTGCGGCCCGGGCGGGCCCGGGCGGCAGGCCCGGCCCGCGGGGGCGCCGGGCCGGCCGGGCCGGGGCAGGGCCCGCGGCCGCCAATGGGCGAGTGCCGGGCCCCGGGGGGCCGCGTCGGCCCCGCGCCCGCCCGGCCCAGCCGCTCGCCCCTCTGCGGGCCGGGCCCTCGCAAGGCTGTGACAGACGGGACTCCAGCGTGCCCGGGGCCCAGTTAGAGCTTCGTCATCCGACACTGAACCCGTGGCTGCTTGGCACCGCCGGGGTGGCACCAGTGGCCCCCTTCAAACGCTGCCCGGTCCCCGAAGTTGGGGGCCGCGGTACGCGACGTCGGAGCGGGGTGACAGCTTGCCCACGTCTCGTAGGCAGCCCGCTCTCAGGGAGGACAGGGGGCAGCAGCGGCCAGGCAGGTGCCCATGTGGGTGGTGGAGGCCCAAGGAGGAGGGGAGAGGACAGGATTCCGGGTGAGGCTCTCGGTCTGCTCCTGTAGCCTCGTGGGCAGGCCACACTTGGCCCTGGGTTCCTGTTCTCTGCTCCCGGGTTGTTGTTACTTGTTTTGCTTGGGCCACACCCAGCAAGTGCTCAGGGCTTATGCCTGGCTCTGAGCTCAGGGATCATTCCTGCTGGGGCTTGAGGACCATATGATATCGGGAACAAATTTAGGCTGCTCGCATGCAAGGCAGATGCCCTGCCGCTTTGCTCCAGCTCTGGCCCCTTTGCCCCAGGTTCTGGAGGACGCGTGTCTGCAGCAGGACTTCAGCCCCAGCGAGTATGATCTCAAGTGAGTTTGCTTGGGGTGCTGCTCCCGGTACCTTGGTGCTGGCCTGGTGACCCTTTCCAGGTGCCGGCGGCGGTGGACGCTTGTGCATTGGCTGGTGGCCATGCTGTGGTGCTGTGGGGGCAGGAGGAAGTGGTCCCAGAGAAACAGGGAGAAGCTGCAGACCCCTCCCCTGACTTCCCTAGGGGCACCGCGGGGGAGGGCTCGGGATAGCTTTTGTCTTTGTGGCTCAGCCTCGTGGCAGGGGTGCAAGTGGGACAGAGGGGGCTGGCCTGTGTGAGCTGGTCCACAGCCTTGTGTTTGTATGTGTGTCATGTGCAAGTGGCATGTACGTAGTATGTGTTGTGTATGTCGTATATGTTTGGCATATAGGGTGTGTGGGGTGTTTATATGTAGTGTATGTGTTTTTTTGTGGGGTACATGCGTATGGGGATATATGCCTAATATACATGGTGTATGCATATATGTGTCATGTATGTGATTGGGTTGTGTGCATGTATGGTACATGTGACGTATGTGCATATATTTAGAATATACCTGGCATCTATGTAGTATATATGTGTATTTGTATTACATGTGTGATATGTGTGGTTCGTGTGTGTAGTATATGTGTTTAGCACATATGTGGTGTCTGTAGCACACGTCTGGTATGTTTGCGTGGTGTCTATAGTACACACATGTGTATTTGTGGTGTTTGTATAGCACACATGTGTGGTGTGTTTATGTCATGTGTAGCACTTGCTTGTGATGTTCGTGTGGTGTCTAGCACAGGCATGTGTTGTGTGTGGTGTCTACATGTGCAGTATATGAATCAGTGTATCTAGGGAAGGCTTTGCCCAGACAAACCGATGCCTACTGCTGAGAGGTAACCAATTCCCGTGTGTGCAGCCCCTCGTCCCTGGGGTCCACCCTCTGCTTGGGCTCTGGAGGAGAGAGACTGGGTGGTGACCAGAGCAACAGGTTTGATGTACCTGGGTGCCTGGTGCCAGTCCTTGTCCCTGCTCTACTCACAGCTGTATGTGATGGTCTGAATAGGACCGTGGTCTCAGAAATGGTGACCTCTGCCCACCCATACAGTTGTGGAGCCTCCTGGCTGGAGGTCTGTGTGGACAGCAACTCACCTGCCCTGCCCCCAGGGGCTCCTGTGCCAGGCTTCATGCCTCTTGCCCTTCCTGTGTCCGGGCACCAGTCACTGCCGCCTCTGGCGCTCCGGACGTGGAGGCAGCAGTTAGGCTTGTGGCTTGTGGGGACAGCCGGCTCCCGTCCGCTCTGCAGGTTCCAGCGGAATGTGCTTGACCTGTCTGTCCAGTGGAGATTTGCCAACCTGCCGAACCATGCCAAGCTGGAGATGGTGCCTGCATCCCGGAGCCGCGAGGGGTCTGAAAGTACGGTGCGTGCCCGCAGGGTGGTGCCCAGGGGCGTGTACCTCCTGCAGGGAGTGGCCCTGGGTTGACAGTCTGTGGAACTGTGTGGGGTCCCCTGGATCCAGCCCAGACCTGGTGCATTGGGCCCCCACCTCTTCGCCTGGTGGTTCCCTTGGGCGGCCTGTGCCTGGGGGCCGGGTCATGCTGTGCAAGAGCCTTCAGGCGCAGGCACCCATGCCCGATGTGACCTCCCCCGCCAGGTGCGCGTGGCACTGCAGCTGGAGGATGGCTCACGCCTGCAGGACACTTTCCGTGCGGGACAGACGCTCTGGGGGCTGCTCGGCCATTTCCCACAGACCAGGTAAGTGGCGCTGTGCCTTCTGGGGTGTCGGGAGGCAGGAGGGGCGCGCGGGGACAGTTGGGCAGGAGCTGACGGGACCCTCAGACACAGCTGCTTCCGGCCAATGTCCAGTGTGCGTGGCATTCTGCCAGTGTCCAGCGTGCGCAGGTGTTAGACCGATGTCCAGCTTGTTTGGGCACGTTATCCTGCCGCTGTCCACTGTACACATGTGGCAGAACACTGTCCTTCCGCCCAAGGTCTGTGAGCTCGTGTGTGTGCGCCTTGGGCCCACGTCCAGCGCGCACGCGTGTGTGTGTGTGTGGGGGGGCAGCTGGGCGGCCCCAGTCACCATGTCTGGCCTGCTGTTCTGGCCTGCCAGGCATCATTCTCGGCGTTGGGGGTCGTGGGGTGCTGGAACGGGTGCAGTGTCCCTTGCCTGAGGAAGTGGCTGCCCTTGGGTCTCCAGTAGAGACCAGGGTCCAGCCCTGGGCAGGGACCTTTGTGAGGGCCCAGCTGCCCTCTGGGCTGAAGGCTGGCATACGGCCACATCCCATTTCCTGAGGGTTCTGTGCCACGCCAGCGGGGGGCCTCCACTGGTGGCAGGCGGCTGTCCCAGCCCAAGTGCTGCTTTAGCGAGGCCAGGCCCGGTCTATCCCTGCCTTTTTGTGTGGGGCAATGCCAGGCTCAGGTGAGCAGCTGGCAGGCAGCACAGAGTGGGGGGCGGTCGTGATGCTGTGCTAGCCTGGCCTTCCCTGGGCCTCTGGGCACAGATGGGGGGGGGGGGTCACGCGCCCTGCTGACCCCACAGCCCCCCACATCCTGCATCGCTCACCACGGGGTTCTCCCTGCGAGTGGGCCACCCGGACATGGTGGGGCCCCGTGGAGGGAGGGGAGCAGGGGTGAGTCCAGCACGGAGCCGCTGTGCTGTCCGCCGGGCCCTCCTGCCATTCAGCACAGCCACGCTTGCTGGCTCTTGAGGCAGTTTGGGCTTTGCTGGTGACCACATCAAAGGGAAGAGCAGGCGTGAGGAATTCTCGGAGCATGATTAGTTTGGCCTTTGAGATGGGCTCTCAGCTCTTCTGCATGCAGCCTGGGGCGGCTGCCCTGGGGCCATGTGCCCACACCCCAGCTGGGACAGCCTCCCCCCCCACCCGCTTTCCCCTCCCCCATCATTCCCTTCTGCTCCCCCCAGAAGTGGGGGTGCTTTGGTCCCAGGATGAGGGCCTCTGGGGGTTGGGCTGCAGCCCCCCTCCCTGCCGAGCCCTCACACCCTGTCCTGTCTGCCGGGATGCAGGGAGCACAGCTTCAGGGTGGGCACGAAACCCCCTCTCCATCATAGACCCCTACCCCCATCCCTCCTCCCCTCCCCATCACACCCCTGCTTCCCTCCCTATCACCCCCATTCCCTTCCCCAACCCCTTGCTCCCCTCCCTATCACACCCCTGCTCCCCCCATCACAAACCCCTGCTCCCCTCCCCCATCACAAACCCCTGCTCCCCTCCCCCATCACAAACCCCTGCTCCCCTCCCCATCACACCCCTGCTCTCCTCCCTCATTACACCCTCCCGCTCCTCTGCCCATCACACCCCTGCTCCTGTCCCCATCACAAAGCCCTGCTCTCCTCCCCATCACACCCCCCTTCTCCCCTTCCTCATCACACACCCCTGCTCTCCTCCCCCATCACTACCTCTCCTCTCTTGTCTTGCATACCCCTGCTCCCTCCCCTTCACCCCCTCCCCTTCCCTAGAGCGTCACACTTCAAAGCCAGGCTTCACTTTGATGTCCAGGGGCCCCCCTGTGGGGCCAGGGCGCTGTCCTATTCCAGCCGGTGCTGGCTCCTGATGTGCAGGGAGGGGAGCGAGGGCCCCCTGGCCGCCTAGCTGGCCTCCCACCAGCATTCACAATTCGGCACCCAGCATCAGGTCTGTGCACTTTCCCCGGGGCCACCCCCAGGGGCCCCTGGCTGCTTGTGGATTGGCCCCTCAAAAGCCCAGGAAAGGCCAGAAGCAAGTGAGCTGCAGGGTCCCTGAGTGCCCTGGCCCAGACCGTCCACGTGGGGGCCTTGCCTGCACCGTTCCTGGGTGCTGGGTGTTTCTCGGGGGGGTTATTCTGCAGCTGTCCAGGCACATGTGGGGCAGACCCTGCTGTTCTGATGGCCCAGGTGTGGCCAGCTTGTTCCTGAGGCTGGGGGGTTGTACATGGCTATGCGCGTGCTCAGGGCAATGGATGGCATGGGTGGGTCAGTTGGGGTGTGTGTGTAGGATCACATGTGGGATTGCATGTGGGATTGTGTGTGGGATTATGTGTGTGCAGGACTGCGTGTAGGATCATGTGTGTGTGTGGCACTGTGTGTGCGGAACTGTGTGTCCTGAGCTGTTGTACAGGACTGTGTGCAGGACTGTGTGTGTAGAACTGCGTGTGCGGGACTGCATGTGTGTGGAACTGTGTGTGTGTGTGGGACTGCGTGTGCGGGACTGTGTGGTACTTCGTGTGCGGAACTCTGTGTGTGGGACTGTGTGTGTGCGGGACTGTGTGTGGGACTGTGAGGGACTGCGTGTGTGGAAGGGACTGCGTGTGTGGAACTGTGTGTGTGTGGTACTGCGTGTGTGGGACTCTGTGGGACTGTGTGTATGCGGGACTGTTTGGGACTGTGCGGGACTACGTGTGTGGAACCATGTGTGCAGGACTGTGTGTGGCACTGTGTGTGTGGGACTGTGTGCGGGACTGCATGTGTGGAACCGTGTGTGCGCGGGACTGTGTGTGCGGGACTGTGTGTGAGACTGTGTGTGCAGGATTGTGTGCAGTACTGCGTGTGTGGGATCATGTGTGTGGGACTGCGTATGTGGGACTGTGTGTGCGGGACTGTGTGTATGCGGGACTGCGTGTGTGGGACTGCGGTGCGAGACTGTGTGTGTGGGACTGTGTGTGCGGGACCATGTGTGTGGGGCTGTGTACGGGACCATGTGTGTGGGACTGCGTGTGCGGGACTGTGTTTGGGGGATTGTGTATGTGGGACTGCGTGTGCAGACTGCGTGTTGTGGGACTGTGTGTGTGTATGTGTGTGGGACTGCGTGTGCGGGACTGTACGGGACTGTGTGTGTGGAACCGTGTGTGTGTGGGACTGCATGTGCAGGACTGTGCGAGACTGTGTATGTGGGACTGTGTGTCTGCAGGATTGTGTGTGCGGGGCTGCGTGTGGGACTGTGTGTGTGGAACCTTGTGTGTGTGGGACTGCGTGTGCGGGACTGTGTGTGACTCTGTGTGTTGGACTGTGTGTGTGCGGGACTGTGTGTGGGATTGTGTGTGTGCGAGACTGTGTGTGCGGGACTGTGTGTGTAGGACTGTGCAGGACTGTGTGTGCAGGACTGCATGTGCTGAGTGCGTGTTGTGGAACTGCGTGTGCGGGACTGCTTGTGTGGGACTGTGCAGGTTGTGGGTCAGGTGTGGGGTTGTGAAGTATTTTCACTTGCAGGTCCGGGTGAGGATGTTGGTGCCGGCACCGAGGGAGGGGCTCTGGCCGAGGTTCCTGCCGTGTTGGCAGTGTCTGTGGGCAGTGGGCAGGGGCTAGCGGCTGAGGCCTCTCCACGTGGCACGTCCTTCCTGTGGGGCCTGAGGTCCGTGGCTCCTGGGGGCGCCCGGCAGGCTCCAGGGTCTGGGTTGCGGTCTCTCACCATCCTCCTGCCCTGCAAGCTGGCAGGGCCGGTGGACCATGTGCTGACGCGGGGTCTCCTCTCCGCAGGGAGCACCTGGAGCAGCCATGCGGGTTGACCCCCGTCTGCGTGCACATGAGGGATGAGGTAAGTGGCAGCCATGGGTGGCCCGTGTTCTGTGGACGGGAGCCGGAATGCTGGCCCCTTGGAAGTGGCCGCGGCCTCCCTCCGCCCTGTTTGCTTTTTCGCCAGTCCCAGGGCAGGGCCTCAGACATGTTTGCTTTCCTGGGCTAGACTCAGGTCTGCCTGTGCTGCGGCCACGGGGCCTTTTGTTTCCTGACCCAGGGGGCCTGTGGGCCCTGGCAAGGACGGGCTACACCTGCCCAGAGCTGGGGAGGACGCTTGTCTGCAGCCTGACTGGTGCTTCCAGGCCTGCTGCTACCTGGGAGAAGCACCCAAAGGCCGGACAGGGGCCACTTCTGGGAGCGTCCCCGAAGGGCACGAACCCATGCCTCAAGTGAAAGGACAATGGGTGGGAAGACGAGGTGGCCCGACAGTGGGGCCTGTCCTCACCCCCAGTGCCTGCCCCAGGGCAGGAGCGGCCTTAGAGATGCCACAGTCTCCTGGCAAGTCTCAGTCCTGTCTCCTCCCTTATCCTGTGCTCCCTCCTCATTCCAGTGCTCTCCCTCATCCTATGCTCCCTTGGCTTAGTGCTCCTTCCTCATCCTGTGCTCCTCCCTCAGCCCAGTGCTCCTCCCTTATCCTGTGCTCCTCCCTCGGCCCAGTGCTCCTCCAGCTCCCCCACACAGATTTTCTGGGCAGAGCTCGGAGGCTTTGCTGCCCGCCCTCCCTGCCAGACCCCACCTTCCTTCAGGGCTGATGTCCTGATTGGGCACCGTGGGGCAGTGGGCCAAAGGTGACCTTGTCTGACCTTGCCCATGCTGTAGGCCAGGCTGGGCAGTGTCCTGGCCAGTGTCAAGCTCTGGGGCCCCCCTCACTGTCGTCCCCGCAGGTGGCTGGCACAGCCGAGCTCCAGCACAGGACACTGCGGTCACTCGGTCTCACTGGCGGCAGCGCCGTGATCAGGTGGGCTGGGCAGGCGGGCTGGCACCCGGGCAGAACCCACGGTGGGGCACCTGTGGCCTCATCCATGTCTCGGCCCCCAGGTTTGCAATGAAGTGCCGTGACTTGGCGTCCATGCAGGCGCCCGGGGACCCTGGCCCTGAGCCTTTGCTGCAGGACTCACAGGCGCCAAGTTCCCCGCTGCCCGCCGGGCCTGCAGGGTTCAGCCATGGTGACGGCGGCCAGGAGGAGGCGACGGGGCCCACAGATGACCCTGCGGAGCTGCCCCACCCTGAGCCCACAGCCCCTGTCTCTGCCCCTTTCTCGGGAGGTGGCCAGCGGCTGGGGCACCCCCTGGGGCCCGTGAGGTGCCTGCCGGCAGCTGCCAAGTCGCAGAAGCCCTTCTCCAGCCCTGGGGGCCCCTCCAGGCCCAAGAAGTCGAAGCCAGGCCAGGAGCCCCTGCAGGAGCCCGAGCTGGTAAGGGGGAAGTCCTGGCCAGGCCAGGCCCTTTCCTGGCAGCTTCCGTGTCCCCACCTCTTGCTCGAGGCGCTCCAGGTGCCCCCTTGCATGGGTTCAGCCCCGAGGTCAGCGGGAGCCGCTCTGCTCTTCACGGGGGTCCTGGCTGTGGGGTCTGGGTGCCCAGCTCACACCTGTGGGGCAGCTCGGGGACTCGGCCTGGGGGCTGGGGTGGCAGTCCAGGCAGGGCGCTGCTGCCTTTGATCTGGGAGCGGCAGCTGCCGTGCCCCCCTCAGCCGCACCCCAGGGCTGGCCACATGGCGTCTGCTCCATGGGGGCGGGGAGGAGGGCACAGAACAGAACTTTGGGGGAACTTCAAAGGTAGCTTTAGTCATCAAACAGCGCTTCCAAGTTTCCCATTAGCGTCCCGCCTGTGTGTGGTTTGGGGATTTGGAGAAAGGGTGGGAAGGAAGACTGGGCCTCGAGGCCAGGGGTGTGCAGACCCCGCGACCCCGCCTTTGATGTCTGCACACGAATTACCAGAAGGGCTTTTACTGGCCCGCACCCTGTCCTGCCCTTTGAAGCCCTGTGCAGCAGGCCCCCCACACTGCTGGTAGGGGGGTCCCGGATCAAAGGCCCACCCTATCCCCGCCCCTCTGGGCCTCGGGCCGTGGACACTTCTGCTCCCGTCCAGGGCCGCCCCACTGGCAGACAGTCTTAAGATACTTTCCTTGTGTTTTGGGGTCCAGGCCGGCATGTGTTGCTGCCCGGGTAGGCGTGGCTGGGTTGGAGGGCCGCTTCCTGTCCCTCTGCTGGCTCCTTGCACCCAGAGCATTGGGCAACAGTGCAGTTCCATTCCTGAACCTGGGCAGGAAGGGGGCAGGGGAGGCCATGCCCAGGTGGCCTCTGTGGGTCACTGTGTGCTTCCTTTTTGGGGGTCACACCCAGCAATGCTCAGGGCTTACTCCTGGCCCTGCACTCAAGAATCACCCTTTGTGGTGCTCAGGGGACCGGCTGGGATGCCCAGGTTGGAACCCAGGTTGGCCACATGCAAGGCCAGCGCCTTCCCGCTGTTCCTTCTTTCCAGCCCCCATTGCGTTCCCATTGTTACCCTTCCCCTTGTGTTTTCTTCTGCCCAGCTGCGAGTCCCCTTGTGGTGATGGTTGGTCCCCGTGGGCCTTGCAGGGCACCTCTGAGCTGGAGGCCTATGCCTGCCTCAGTAGTTCAGGGCTGTCATCAGCTGGGACGCACCCTCATTGCTGCCTCCACAGAGAAAGGTCTCGTAACACCTCAGTCCTGTCCTCAGGCTTCAGGGCCAGGGCTCTGTCCTGGCAGTGCTTCAGGCCCAAGTCCTGTCCCAGCTGCCCGAGTGCTGGGCTGCATGCAGCCATGGTTGCTCGTGTGCTGCTTGTGTTTGGAGACACCCCAGTAGGGATTTGTCTCTCACCTGACACCTGTCCTGGAAATACCTCTAGGCAGGTACGTGGGCCTTCTTCATGAGGTGGCCTGCTGCGTCCTGGGGCAGCTGGACCCCTGGGGCAGGCTCTCAGCTCTTGGGAATGCAGGCGCTTGTGGCCCTGAAGGTCTGCCCCTCCTTGGCCAGACCAGAGGAGTGGCCAGCACCATCATCCCTGGGGCTGGTGCTGATACAGACCCTTGAGGCTGCCCTGTGGAGGATGGGGTCACTTAGAACCTGTGTGGTCAGGGGTGCCTGGGGGTGCTCTGTGGGAGCCGGAGCAGTAGCACAGTGGGGAGGGCACTTGCCTTGCATGTGGCCGACTGGGTTCAATCCCCAGTGTCCCCTCTGGTTCCCGACCAGGAGTGATCCCTGAGATAGCCAGGGCTAAGTCCTGAGCACTGCCAGCTGTGGCCTCCAAAGAGGCAATAAAAACAGTGTGTGAGCAGACAGAAGGGAGGCCATACTGGCATGGACACTGATTGGAGTGGCTGGCTGCTGTCCGGGCCTCTCCCCTGGGCCCTGCGAGGGTCTCAGGCTGGGCTCTGCCCCTCGTCCTGCCAGCCTGTGGATCGCAGCCCGGTGGTCTGTCACCCTGACCTGGAGGAGCTGCCGCTGGCCTGGCCAGCTGAATTGCCTGACGACTTCTTCGAAGTCACAGTGGATGACGTTCGCCGCCGCCTGGCCCAGCTGGAAAGCGAGCGGTGGGTGTGCCCAGCGGGCTGGGGTGCCGGGTGTCCCTGGGCCACCCCTGGGGGCTTCTGCTCCGGCTGGCCAGGAACCCAGAGCGTCACCCACTCGGCAGGAAGCGCCTGGAAGACGCCCCCTTAGTGACCAAGGCCCTCCGGGAGGCACAGGCCCAGGCAAAGCTGGAGCACTACCCCCAGGTAAGGTCCCTGGGCTGAGGTCAGGCCACCTAGGGTACTCATCCCACAGTGCTTACCATTCTCTGTCTGTTCAGGTGGCACTGCGTGTGCTCTTCCCCGACCGCTACACCCTACAGGGCTTCTTCCATCCTCTTGAGACAGGTAGGCTGGGCTGGGCCGGGGCGGGGGCTTCCAGCTGTGTGGTCCCAGTCAGCTGCCCTCCCTCCCTGCAGTGGGGCATCTGCGGGCTTTTGTGAAGAGTCACCTGAGGACCCCGGAACTGCCCTTCTACCTATGTGAGTGCAGGCCGGGCAGTGCCCCGGGCCTGTGGGGCGGGCACCGTGAGGCATGGCTAAGCCTGACGTGGGCTATTTCACAGTCACTGCTCCCCCTAAGACCCTGCTGGACGACAGCCTGACCTTCTTCCAGGTGAGGGCCCAGGACTGCATGGGTTGAGCGGCCCCACAGGGGTGTCTGCGTGGGGGAGCCGCCAGCTTGGTGGCTTCTACTCAAAGCCTTGCCTTTAATTGGAACCAGGCCGACCTGCTGAGTACAGGGGCAGGGGTGGGGCACCACACTGAGCAACACCTCTTGCCCAAGCAACACCTCCCTGCGCCCTCCCCTGCTGCTGCTGGCCCGGGGTGGGGACCGTGCCAGACCCCCCCTACCCTCCAGGCCGGCCCCAGGGCGTCGCCCGAGTGCCGCTGGCAGGCCTCTGGGAAGGAAGCGGTGAGTGCAGCTGGCAGTCTCCAAGCCCCTGGCAGGCAGCACGGCTGCCATGGGGGCGCCGGGTGTTGGCATGTGCACGGGGGACAGCCCAGGGGATGTGGTCAGCGCCCCACCCCAGCTCTGTCACACGCCTCGCTCAGCCCTCAGGGTCTACTGGGGCTTCCTGGCTCCAGGCCCAGCAGCCCGCCTACCCTGGCTCTCAGGACCCGACTCAGCCCTGCCTGGAGTCGGCAAGATGGCCAGCCTGTGGGGGACACCCACTCAGTCTCCGCCTCTCCATCTGTGATGGGAGTGTGGAGGCCAGACGCACAGCCCCTAGACCCTTCTTCATGGGGGCCCAGGGTCTCTCATTTCTGGACCCCAGCCCAGGCATAGACAGGCCTCCTAAGTGCTCCCCACACCGCCCACCCCCCGCAGGCCAACCTCTTCCCTACTGCCCTCATACACTTTGGAGCTGAGGAGCCCCTGGGCGAGGGCCCCTACCTGGAGCCTCTGCTGCTGGCACGTTCTGTGGCTCCGTCCGTAGCAGATGAGCTGGTGGCCAGGTGAGTGTGGCCAGCGGCCCTGGGCACTGACTCCATGCCGCACCCTGAAACTCACCTCTGTCCCCAGGCACATGTCCAGGGCCACCAAGGCCCCAGCACTGCCCCCAGCTGCCCCTGCTGCTACAGTCCCCAAGTCAGAGCCTGCCCTTGAGGGGTCTGTGCCCCAGCCCAGTCCTGTGCTGTGCCAGCCTGTGAGGAGGGACCCGGGCAAGGTGCCCAAGTGGCTGAAGCTGCCAGGTAGCAGGGGGCCGGAGGAGGGGGGCATGGGCATGTGTGAGCCCTCATCACCCCGGTTATTTGCCTCACAGCCAGCAAGAGGTGAGATGCCAGCCTGGAGGTGCCCACCATCCTCTGCCCAGCAAGAATAAAGTGGCTTCTCTCGGGTCAGCTCTTGTCCCTGTTTTGTCCATGGGCTGCTAGCACAGCCCCGTGGCCACTCTGGGGCCTGGGTTCCCTGGGGGAGAGCTGGCAGCACCCCCAATGCGCGCCTGAGAGCAGCCAAGGACACCTCTGGTGGGTGTCCAGGTAGGACCTGGAGGCGAGAGGCGGGGCTGGGAAGGGAGAGGCGAGTTTAATGTGTGGGCTCAGCCACAGCTGATGTGGGTGCTTAGGGTCCTGTCCAGTAGCAAGGCAGGGCATGGCCCGCTGCAGCTCCTCGACGCCGTCCTGCCTGAGACCAACGACACGGGGCACAGGACAGCTGCCGCGAAGGTGCCCCTAGAAGTCCAGGAGCTGGGGGAGAGGGGGCACTCAGAGGCTGGACGGGGCCAGCAGGTCCAGGCCATGCAACTTCACTGTCCACCTACCAGCTGAGGCAGCACTTTCTCCAGCTGCTCCACGTCCACGCGGACCAGGTCCTCTGCCTGGGCCTGACGCACGCTGCGAATGGCCGCCTCTGCGGGGAAGGGGGCCATGAGGGATCCTGCATCCGTGGGGATGGGGGGCTGTGGGGACCCCAGCCCAGGTCTCAGGGACGGCCCCTGGTGGGTGGGGCACAGGCTCACCTACCACGAAGATCTTGAGAAGCTCGGCCATGAGCTGCAGTGCGTCCCCGCCCACTGCAGGGAGGAAGGGGTCAGCGGCCCATCCTGTCCCATCCCCGGCCCTGCCCGCCGCCCGCACGGTACCTTTGGTCTTGTCGTCCTTGAAGTGAAAGAACAGCAGTTTGTTCACCAGCTCCTGTGCGGACAGAGACGGGCCAGAACAGTGAGGGGCGTCCGCAGCCCGGCTCCGTGGGACCAGGGCCAGCCCTCGGACAGCGGGCGAGGCAGGGCCGGCCCAGGGAGCCAGAAAGGCAGTGTGCGGGGAGGGCCGGGAGCCAGGCCCACCGCCCGCCGGGCAGCCACTCGGCGCCCCCTGCCGGCCGCACTGCCCTTCCCGCTGCGGCTCGAGACCCCCAGGGTGCGCACCGACGGGCCGCTCCGCCTCCCCAGGGCCGGGCCACCGCCCCCTGGCACCCCGCCGGCCTGCAGCCGCCCCCCAAGTGGCCCCGGGCGTCCGACACACCGTGCCGTGGCCGCGGGGACGGACGGTGTCTGGCGGCTCCAAGTTCCCCCGCGCCCCACAGCCGCCCGCGCGCACCTTCCGGAAGCCCGCGCCTGCCGCCTCCATCCCGCCGCCGCCGCGCCCGCACCGCCGCGCCGTCTCCCTTAAGCGGGAAGCGCGCCCTCCCTGGCCCCACCAATCAACGCTGAGCTCGCTTCCTGGGAGCCCCGCCTCCACATCGCAGGCCAATGGGCACTGAGCGCGCTCTCCCGAGTCCCGCCTTCTCCACGGCACCGGCCAATGATCTGTGAGCGCGCGTCAGCTCCTTCATGCTCATTCGCCCGCAGTCCCTCCTGGGAGTTGTAGTTTCGGGGGCCGTTCCCGGCGCGCCTCGCTCTTCCTGGATACTGAGGCTCGGGGCGGCCGTTCACAGCTCTGCGCGAGGGCCGGGCTGCGGGGCCGCTGTCAGCGGGGTCCGTGTGGCTCTAGACCGCCCCGCCCGACGGCACCCCACCCTCGCGCCCCGCCCGGCCCTGCGCCCGCCCACCTGTAGAACCAGCTCGCAGCGGCGGTCGGCGGTGGTGCAGTCGCGGGGAGAGACCCCTGCACGCCCCGGCCATGGACGAGTTCCGACGCTCGTACACCCGGCTGTGCCAGGACAGTGGCGCCGAGCCCCAGGAGAGCGTCCTGCAGCGGCTGCACGAGCTGCCCGCGGGCCGGTTGGACCTGGCCACCCTGAGCCTGACGGTAGACACGTGCAGGGCTCTGGGCAGGCTGCTGCAGAGCGAGGCACTGCTGGAGGAACTGGTGCTTAGCGACTGCATGCTCAGCGAGGAAGGTGGGCAGCCTGCAGGGGCCCTGGGGCCCCAGTCCATTCGTCCTGCCCAAGCTGACCACTTGGCTGGCTTCCGGCGCTGGACTCTCCAGAGAAAGCCCAATGCACGGCAGTCACTACTGTGCTGCCCTCTGGCGGGCAAGCCTGATGGTTAGGGGCCCCACTGCCGGCCTCGCACTGGCCCAAACCTGGAGCAGGGTGGGCTGGGGCCAGCAGGGCCTCTAGAGAATGCCCCAGCCTGGGGTCATTCTGGGTCAACGCCCGCCTTACCTCACAGGGTCCACACTGCTGCTCCAGGGCCTCTGCTCCAACTCTGCCTTGCGAGTTCTGGACCTTAAGGTGAGTGATGTGAGCGCCACAGGGCCTACGGGGATGTGAGCTCCTGCACCGGCTTTGGCTGTGTGGCTATCCGGAGTCCCTGGAAGTCACACCACCTACCCAGAGCCCAGTGGCGCCCCTGCTAGCCGGGGACTCGTGGAGCGTGCACTCGCGGAGCACAGCCCACGGGGACCAGGAGTGACCGGCCAGCCGTGTCCTGCACAGGGCAACAACCTTCAGGCCGTGGGCGCTGAGGCCCTGGGCAAGCTCCTCCGGCAGAACAAGTCCATTCGGAGGTGAGGACGGCCCGGGTCGTGGGGGCCAAGGCCCAGCCCGTGGGGGTCCTGCGGTCCGGCCCAGCTCATGCTGCCTCCCCACAGCCTCACCCTGGAGTGGAACAACCTGGGTGCGTGGGGAGACGCCTTCACCACCTTCTGCGGGGCCCTGGCCTCCAACAGCGTCCTGCAGCAGCTGGACCTCCGCAACAACCAGATTGGGCCGCCCGGCGCCGAGGCCCTGGCCCTGGCCCTGAAGAGGAATGCCAGTCTGCAGCAGCTGGGTGCGCCGGCCGGCGAGGTGGGGGGAGCCCCTGGCAGCCCCAGGGAGCCCGGCTCCCCATGACCGCAGATCTCCTTCTAGACCTGCGCTGGAATAACATCGGCCTCCTGGGGGGGCGAGCCCTGGTGGATTGTCTCCCCAGCAACAGGACCCTGTGGAGACTGGAGCTGGCGGGGAACAGCATCCCCAGCGACGTGCTCAGAGCCGTGGGTACAGACAAGAGAGCAGCCCCTTCCCACAGCAGGAGGCTGGGGTGGCCTGGTTCACGACCACGTGGCCCATGTGGCCTGCTTAGGGCTTGGCTCCTAAGGTCCTCTCGATGCCCCCGACCCCCCTCCTGCACTCACTGCCAGTCTGTTGTGGCCTGAGATGGCCAGGAGCCCACAGCCCACACCTTCCTGCCATGTCCTCCATGTCCACTGTGCCCATTCTGCTGAGGCAGGCAGATTTCTCCCTGTTTGGATCTTTCCAGAACACAGGAGCTGAGTTTCCTGGTGTGGCCTTCGGCCTTGGGACAGCCCCAGTGCCCCAGGTGGCAGCTGTCCTGGGGGTGATGACTCCCACCCTGACTGGGCTCTTCCCGCAGAGCAAGCCATGGACCACAACCAGGACCGGCTGGCCACGCAGCGGGAGAGCCGCGCCCGCGCCCAGGTGCTCAGCAAGGAAGTGCGACTGCTGCAAGAGGAGAAGTCCAAGCAGGTGAGAGGTCCTGCCCGCTCCCGCCCACCCGCCTTGCCTTGCCCCGGCCCTGTGGGGCTCACAACCGTTCTGCCCCTCCCCCCAGTTCCTGAACTTGATGCAGAGGATTGAGAAGCAGCAGGAAGAGCTGAGCCGGAGCGGCAGGTGACAGCACACCCTGGGAGGTGGGAACACAGCGCAGCAGGTCCAGGCGGGGCCTCGCGTCCTCAGGGTCTACTGTCTCTCAGGGTGTCGGCCACCCGGGTCGGGCAGCTCCAGGAAGCCTTGGAGGAGCGGCATTCCGTCATCAACGCCCTGAAGGCCAAGTGAGTGGCCGTAGAGGTGAGGGAGCCCTCGCCCCCCTGCAGGCTCTGGACAAGGGTGCAAGGCCTGAGGGCGGCCGGGCCGGGCTGCTTCTTGCAGGCTGCAGATGACCGAAGCCGCCCTGGTGCTGTCAGAGCAGAAGGTGCAGAAGCTGGAGGCGCTCGTGGCCGCGGCCGAGCAGGAGCAGCAGAGCCAGGCGCAGCGGCAGGCGAGGGAGCAGAGGCTGCAGCAGCAGGTGGGCAGCAGGTGGCCGGGCGGGCGGTGCCGCAAGCGCAGGTACCAGGCTGAGGCTGCCCTCGCCGTCTCCCCCAGGAAGCTGCGGAGCGGGAGGCCAAGCTTCTGAAAGACCTGGCTGAGGCCAACGAGCAGAACCTCCGGCTGCGCGACCAGGTGTGGGGGCGGGCCAGGGGGGGTGGGGGCGGGACGGCTAGGGGGGACCCGGGCTCAGCTTCCCGGGGCCCTGCCGCCCCCAGGTGGACGCGCTGGAGCGCAAGGCCAAAGCCCAGCAGGAGCAGCTGTTCCTTGCGCGGCAGGAACTAACCGACCGGACGGCAGAGCTGAAGATCCGGGCCGTGCAGGCCGCGGGTGGGCACCAGGCGCTCGTGGGCGGGGCGGGGCGGGGCGGGGCGACGGAGAGGCCCGCCTCACCCTCTCCTCCCCCTGCGCGCCAGAGCGCCTGGAGTTGGAGAGGAAGCGGTCCCGCCAGAATCTGGAGGACTCCGCGCGGCTGCACTCTCAGGAGGTACCGGGTGCCCGCGCTGCCCACGAGAGTGCCAGTGGCCACTCGCTCTCAGCCCAGGGGCCCGGGTGCAGAGTTGGGACCCCACCGGCCACGCCCTCCCGACAGGTACAGCACATGACGCGCCACCTGGAGGAGAGTGAACGGGCACTGCAGGGCCGGGTACAGAGGCTGGAGGCGGCGCGGCTGGCCCTGGAGGAGGTGAGGGGCCTGGCTGTGCGCTCCGGCCTCCGGGCCAGCAGGATGTGTGGGCGCCCTGGGACCCCGGGGTGGGAGGCGACAGCCCAGCAGGCTCTCTGAGTGCAGGAGCTGAGCCGAGCCAAGACGGCGGTGCTGTGTGAGCGCAACCAGGCAGAGGAGGAACTCGCTAAGGCCAGGAGCCAGGCGCGCCTGGAGGAGGTCAGCACAGGGCCCGGCGTCCTGGCACCTGCCCTTCCGCTGTGCCTGGGCATCCGTGGCGTGGGATGGGGGTCAGGTGCAGTCCCATGCGCTGACCCGCAGCGTCCCCACGACCCCCTACATCCCATCCGTGCCACAGCAGCAGCACCGGGCACACCTGGAGGAGAAGCTGCGGCTGCTGGCGCAGGCGCGGGATGAGGCCCAGAGCACCTGCCTGCAGCAGCAGCAGAAGGTGAGCCAGGCCCAGGCCCAGGCTGCACAGCTGGACCTGCAGGTGGAGGGCCTGCGGCGGCGTCTGGATGAGCTGCAGCAGGTAGCCGGGAGCACCTCCTCACCCCTGCACCCTGCTCAGTCTCCTCACCCTGCCTCCTCACCCAGCACCCAGCCCCACCTCCTCATCCCTGCACCCTGCTCCCATCTCCTCACCCCTGCACCCTGCCCCACCTCCTCACCCCACCTCCTCACCCCTGCTCCACCTCCTCACTCCTACACCCTGTTCCACCTCCTCACCCCACCTCCTCACCCCTACACCCTCCTCCCATCTCCTCATCCCTGCACCCTGCCAGTGCCTCTGCACACTCCTACTGTACCTTCTGCCACACAGGAGCTGCGTGACAAGGACCAAGAGAAGGTGGCTGAGGTGACCAGGGTGCGGGTGGAGATGGAGGAGCAGAATGGCCACTTGCGGGCTGAGCTCACCGCCCAGGAGGCACTGAGAGAGAAGGTGGCAGCCCTGGAGCGCCAGCTGAAAGGTGGACGGCGCCCATCCCCTGGCCACGCACACACCCCGCCTGGGACCCCTAGTCTTTTCTGGCCAGACCCCCTGGTGGGCAGTTGGCAGAGGCGCACAGTGGCCCGGGTCCCTGGCCGGGTGGGCAGCGGGCACCGGAGGCTGCCGGGTGAGCCCGGGTGAGCCCAGACCTGCCCCCTCCCCGCAGCGAGCGCTAGTGACCACCGGGAGGCGCTGCTGGACCGGGAGAGCGAGAACGCGTCCCTGCGAGAGAAGCTGCGCCTAAAGGAAGCGGCGCTGGCCCGGGTCCGGGAGGAGGAGGCGCAGCGGGCCAGCTTCCTGCAGAACGCCGTGCTGGCCTACGTGCAGGGCGCCCCGCTCCGGGCGCTGAGCCCCCAGAAGTGAGGGCCGGCGCCCCCCCCCCCGGAACTCGCCGACCGGACTGCTGTCGGGGGTCTGCGGACCCGGACTGTGGCTGGGGCAGCACGGGGTGGGCGGGTGCGCGTGGTGATGTGGGACGGGTCGTGCGGTGTCTCCTCTGGAAATACACTCGTGTCCCCCCCGCTGCTGCGTGTGAGAGTCTCTGTCTCCGCGCGGGGGTCGCGGCGGCGGGCCGGGCGCGTGGACGGCGCGCGGGGGGCACGGCGGCGCGCGGGGGGCGCGGCGGCGGCGGCGGCGGGCTGGGCGCGTGGACAGCGCGCGGGGGCGGCGCGGGGGGCGCGGCGGCGGGGGGCGCGCGGGGGCGGGGCGGGGCGCGGCTCGGCTGTCTCCGCGCGCGCTCGGCGGCGCTCGGCTGTCTCCGGCCTGGGGTCGGCGGCGCTCGGCTCCGCTGCGGCGCGGGCATTTCTCCGCAGCCCGGCGGCCGCGCCCATGCAGGCCATCAAGTGCGTGGTGGTCGGCGACGGGTGAGTGCGGGCCGGGGCGGGGGCGGGGGGCGCGGCTGGGCCCCGCTGAGCGCTCCCTGTGTCCGCAGCGCCGTGGGGAAGACCTGCCTGCTCATCAGCTACACCACCAACGCCTTCCCCGGAGAGTACATCCCCACCGTGTGAGCCGGCGCCCGGGGGTCGCGGGGGGCCCGCCGCGCGCCCGCGCTCACGCCGCCCGTCCGCCCGCAGGTTCGACAACTACTCGGCCAACGTGATGGTGGACGGCAAGCCCGTCAACCTGGGGCTGTGGGACACGGCGGGCCAGGAGGACTACGACCGCCTGCGGCCGCTCTCCTACCCGCAGACCGTAGGTGGCCGGGCCGGGCGGGCGCGGCGGGGGGCGCGCGGCGCGGGCGCTGACCGCCGCCTCCCCGCCCAGGACGTCTTCCTCATCTGCTTCTCCTTGGTGAGCCCCGCCTCCTTCGAGAACGTCCGGGCCAAGGTAAGAGCCGGCCGGCCGGGGGCCGGGCAGGGGGGCGTGTCCCTGGTCGCGCGGCGCATCCGGGCCCAGCGCTGAGCTGGCTGGCCCCCACAGTGGTACCCCGAGGTGCGCCACCACTGCCCGCACACGCCCATCCTCCTGGTGGGCACCAAGCTGGACCTGCGCGACGACAAGGACACCGTCGAGCGGCTGCGGGACAAGAAGCTGGCGCCCATCACCTACCCGCAGGGCCTGGCCATGGCCCGCGAGATAGGTGAGTGCCCCGCCACGCCCCAGCCCCGGGCCCCCGCGCGGTCCCTCACCCTCCCCCACCCCTAGGCTCTGTCAAGTACCTGGAGTGCTCCGCGCTGACCCAGCGAGGCCTGAAGACCGTGTTCGACGAGGCCATCAGGGCCGTCCTCTGCCCGCCCCCCGTGAAGAAGCCGGGCAAGAAGTGCACGCTGTTCTAGGCCCGCTCCCGGCTGTCCACCCACCTGTCCACCCGTCCACCCATCTGCCCCTCTGCCTGTCTGTCCTCTGTGGTGTGTTGTCGGTGTGCCTGAGTCTGTGGGAGGGAGTGGGGGTGAAGCATGAGGCGGGGGCCTGTCCACTGCGCCCCTGGGGGGCTTCCTCGAGGAGTGTTCCTGTTTTATACAATAAACTTCCTCCACCTGTCTCCCCCTCTCCTCGTTTCTCCATCCCTAGGGGGACTGGAGGGGGCGGCATCTCTGGGGCCATCAGGCTGGGTGGGAGCAATTGCAAATGCACAATGGGGTCTTGTGGGGCAGGGGCAGGCTAACTCCCCTGCAGCTCAGCAGGGCCTGGGGCTGTGCTCTGGGCTTCGGGTATACTCTGCGGTATTCAGGTATTCACGCTCGCTCCCCAAGGGGCTTGGAGGACCTCTGGTGTGCTGAGCATTGACCCATGGTCAGCTGTGAGCAAGGCCAGCACCTTGGCAGGCGGCCAAACAATAGACTGTGTAAACAAGCTGTAGATTCTGGCTTAGCTTGCAGAGGGCAGGCAAGTGTGGCCACGAGGGTGGGAAGCTGGGAGCCATGGTCGGGTGGTTGCACTTCACCCCCAATGCAACAGCTGCTGGAGTGAGCAGGCTGGGGTCACCCGGGCCTACCCGCTATCTCCGCTGGGGCAGATCTGCCACCCAGTTATGAAACAGCCAGAGTCCATGATTACACAAGTGCACACATAGCTGGGCATGGTGGAGACCGTGTGGGTCCAGCTGGTCCCGTGCTCAGAGGGGGCTGTGCACCCCAGTTACCCACTGTCCTGCTCCACCCTGGGACTTGATTCGCTGTTGCATACCCAGTGAACGGGAGCGGGAGTGTCAGGAGTGGGGGGAATCCCCCACAAGCAACACAAAGCTCATAGCTACCGCATGAGCACAGCAGGAAGGCTTTGGAATCAGCAGACGGCCCCAGCACCATGTACTGCCCGAGCCCGTCAGGAGTAAGCCCTGAGCATCCCAGGGTGTGACCCCCAAAGAAATAACAGAACTTGAAACAACCCATGTTCGGCTGTGCTGTGCCAGGGAAGATAAGGAAACTGCTCACAGTCCTTCAAGACTGATCGACGAGCCGATAGATGGGCGTCCGACGAGCATCTGCCTCCTGATTCCCCCCCGCCCACTGCCCAGGGAGCAGGCTCCAGCACAACTCTGCAGGCAGAAGCAGCAGTGTGTTTATTGGGGGCTCAGCGCAGGGCAGCAGTGCGGAGGCTCAGGTGGCCAGGAAGCCTCCGTCCACAGGCAGCGTCGCCCCTGTGGTCATGCTGCTGCGGTCACTCAGCAGGAAGAGGATGGTGTCCACCACATTCTCCATCTCTGCGGGAGGGACTGGGTGAAGATCTGCCCTTGCTGCCCGTCCACCCACCCGCCGCCCTCTGGGCTCTGCCTCACCTGCAAACCTGCCCAGAGGGATACGATCCAGCATGGACTTGGCCTTCTGGGGGTCGCTCCAGTTGGCCTGGCCCATGGGCGTCATGACGACTGTGGGGTTCACCGCATTCACACGGATCTGCAGGGGGACAGGCAGGGGTGGGTGTGGGCCCTGGACTCAGGCTTGGGGGGAGACCTGAGGGAACTCACCTTGTGAGGCCCTAGCTCCAGAGCCATCACCTTGGTGAGCATGTCGAGGGCACCCTTGCAGGAGCCTGTGGAGGTGGCAGGAGTGTGAGCGGGGTGGGGGTGGGGGCGAGAAAGTGAGGGGCAGGGGCCGGGCGGGGCAGTGAGGGGCACTCACAGTACACACTGTGGTTAGTTAGGGCTCGCTGTGATGCCTGGCTGGACACATTCACGATGGAGCCAGGGACTCCCCGGGCAATGAGGCCACGGGCCACCACCTGGGGAGAGGGGAGAGTGAGGAAGGCCCCCAACCCGCCCCCGTCCCCTCCCTGCTGGACAGCTTACTTGGGACACCTGGATCACTGCCCGCAGGTTGACCTCAAAGGACCTGCAGGCAGATGAGATGGGGTGGCAGGTCTTGGAGTGGTGCTGGGGGAGGGGTTGCCCCAACCCCCACCTTCACTCACGTGTCACATGCCTCCTTGGTGATCTCCAGGAAGGGCTGCAGAAGCGCCACAGCCGCGTTGTTCACCAGCAGGTCCACGGGGCCCACGTCACGCAGCGCCCGCTCCGTGGCCGCCCAGTCCCCCAGGTCCACGCACAGGGGCTCCACTCCGGGACACTTAATATCGGGGAGCACAGCTACCAGAGGCTCCGTGCGAGGTGGCCCAATGGGACTAAGGGTCGCGGTCACCTCCTCGGACCCGAATTCCGGGCCGCAGACCGGGCACTGGGCTGGGAACACAGGGGCCTGCCTGCCCACCGCCACCCTGCGCCCGCCCGAGTCTGGGGGTCGAGGCCCCCGCGCCTACCTCACACACCAGGCTCTCCAGGTCGGCCCGGGTCCGGCTCACGGCCACCACCTGCGCCCCCGCGGCGTGCAGCGCCAGCACCGTGCTGCGCCCGATGCCTGCGGCGGGACCCGCGCGACTCAGCGCCGTCCTCCCCCGCTCGCCCCGCGGCCCCGCGCGTCGGTCCACTTTTGCCAGCGCCCCACGCCCTGCGGCCCCGCACGCCGGCCCACCTTTGCCCGCGCCCGTGACCAGCGCGCGGCGGCCCGCGAGCCCCAGCTCCATGGCGGCGCCGTGCGACTGCGGGCCCGGGCGCCGGGCCCCGGAGGGAGCGGGCAGGGGCGGGGCGGGCCGGGGCGCGCCCGGGTCTCGGGGCGGAGAGCGCAGGGCGGAGCGCGGGAGCCCCGGCTCCAGGAGAACCAGGCCGGGTCCAGAGCGTGGCGCTGGGGCCGGCTTGTGGGAGGGGCTAGAGTTAGAGCAGCCAATCAAAGGGAAGGGCGGGGCATCCCGGTGACGGAGAGCGGCTCTGGGCTCGGGAGTTGGGCGGGGCTCATGTCAGAGCAGCCAATCACAGATATAGAGGGCGTGGCATTCTCAGGCCCCTCCCCGGGGAGCGGCTTGGGCGGTTTTTTTTCTCTCTCCAGCTGTCCCGCGGCGCCAAGGTCCAGCCCGGCCCCTGCGCGCCGAGCGCCTGCGGAGTTCTCGCTCAGGCCAGCCCAGCAGCCCACGGCGCTGGGAGATTCCTGCACTCGCCTGCCCCAGGGAGACCCTTGCGCGTACCGCCCCCAGGGAGACCTCTGCGCACGCCGTCCCCAGAGACCCCTGCACGCGCCGCCCCTACATGGTCTCCCGGAGGCCTTGGCAATGTCAGCGGCTGGGCTTTTTTTTGTTTTGTCTTGTTTTTTGTTTTTTGGTCACACCCGGCGATGCTCAGGGGTTACTCCTGGCTGGCAAACGCCCTACCCGCTGTGCTATTGCTCCAGCCCCAGCAGCTGGGCTCTTGCCTTGTGAGCGGCCGACCTAGGTTCGGGCCCCGCCCTGCATAGGGTCGCCCAAGTGCCATCAGGAGCGACCGCCGGGTTGGCTCGCAAACAATCTCCGCGTTTGGGCCCAAGTGGGGTAGGTCGCACCCACCTCGCCCCGAGCTTGCACCTGCGTATTCCAGGTGGGCCATCTCCGTTTATTTAGGCAAATGAACCCCAACCAATCCCGCGGGATTGAGAGTCAGAGAGACGGGAGGGTGGACGCAGGGCAGGCGGGGCCGGCAAGGGGGATGGCAGCTGCGGGGACGGGAATGTGGGGAGGGTCCGGAAGGAGGAGAGCGAGAGGGAGCGGGGCCAATAGAGGGTGGGCTGTGGACGGGGTCTCGGCGCGGGGTGTGGCCGGTGGGCGGGGCCTGCAGAGGACACTGTTGGGGCGGGCGGGGCGGGGCCTGCGGTGGGCTTGAGGAGGTCCGCCCGGTTGAACTGGCTGCGCGCTAAGAAGTCAGGTACCCCGCGTCCACCATGATGCTGGAGCCGGTGGTGGCGGCGCTGCAGTCGCTGAGCAGGAAGAGGATGCTGTTGACCACGTCCTCCACCTCTGTGGCAGAGCGAACGGGTCAGTGCGCCCTGCCTGCCCCCTGCGCCCCTCGCGCCCCGCCGCACACTGACCTGCGAACTTGCCCAGCGGGTGGCGGGTCTTGAGCTGCCGGGCCACCTCAGGGTTGTTCAGGACTTGCTGGCCCATGGCCGTCTGCACCACCGTGGGGTTCACGGAGTTCACGCGGATCTGGGCCCAAGGTCCAGGCGCCTCAGCCCGCATCCCGGCCCTCGCCGGGCAGTGCTCAGGGCTGACTCCTGGCTCTGCTCAGGGAACCATGGGGTGCAGGGACGCGCCCGGCCCTCCGCGTCCCACCCTGCCGCCAGCCCCTGCTCACCTTGTGTGGCCCCAGCTCCAAGGCCATCACCTTGGTGAGCATGGTCATGGCACCCTTGGTGGAGCCTGCGGGGAGGACTGGGCTGAGGCTGGGGCGGGCCCTGTCCCCCCGCCCCGGGCCCCAGGCACTCACTGTAGACGGCGATGTTGGGGAAGGAGGTCTGTGACACCATGCTGGAGACGTTCACGATGGAGCCGGGCACGCCACGCGCCACCATGCTGCGGGCCACGATCTGGAGGCCATGAGAGATGCAGCCTAACCCTCCCCGCTCCGGAGGGCCTGGCCTGGCCGCGCCGGCCACCCCCCACTCACCTGGGACACCTGGATCACCGAGCGCAGATTCACGTGGAGTGACCTGGGGGCATGGTCCGTCAGAGGGGCCTGGCCGCACCCCGGCCCACCCGCCCGCCCGTGCTGGGGCAGCCACACCCACCTGTCGAAGACCTCCTTGGTGATCTCCAGGAAGGGCTGCAGAAGCGCCACAGCCGCGTTGTTCACCAGCAGGTCCACAGCGCCCACGTCACTCAGTGCCCGCTCCGTGGCCGCCCAGTCCCCCAGGTCCACACATATGGGCTCCACCCCTGGGCACTGCGGGCACAGGGAGAGGGGCTGCTGCTTCTCCTCCTCGGGACGAAGGGGAGCCCAGGGCACAGGCACCAACCCCCAGGCTCACCTCCTGGCAGAGGCTGTTCAGGTCGGCCTGGGTGCGCGTCACAGCCACCACTCTGGCCCCCGACGCATGCAGCGCCTTGGCGGTCTCCCGCCCGATCCCTGCAGGACCGCACAGAGCTCAGGGAGGTGGTGTCACAGCAGGAGGCCTTGCTCAGGCGCCCCCCCCCCCCAACCATCTGTCGTCCATCCAGACCCGGGGCCAGGGCGGGGGAAAACGGGACACCCCCAGGGCCCTCAGCCACCATGTCTGGCACTGGTCGCCCGCCTGCTCACCCACCTTTCCCAGCCCCGGTCACCAGGGCCCGCAGGCCGTGGAAGCTGAGCTGCATGGTGTGGTGGGGCACCTGCCAAGCTGGCAGGCTTTAATAGCGGGAGGGAGGGCACAGGCACGGGCGGCTTTGTTCTGGACTTTGCTTCACCAGGAGAGCCACCCCCTCTACCTCACTGTACCGTATGGGAAGGTGCTGGCCAGGAGCCCGCTCCTGGGTTTGAAAAAAGTATCAAAAATGTGGGTGTGTGCCAGTGTGTGCATGTGTGCCAAATGTGTGTTATGCGTGTACTGCCATGCATGTGTGTGTTGTGTGTGTGTCTGGCACATGTGTGCTGTGTCTGTCGAACATGCTCTGTGCAGGGACAGAGCATGTGGTGTCACTTGGGCTTTGCTTCATTTTCTGGGCAAAGCATGGCCCAGGTGAGGCTTCTTGGGAGGAGGGGACACCCCATCTCCCTAGCCTCAGCTGGTCTGCAGACTGCTGGGGCCCGGGGGAGTCTCTCTGAGGTGCCCAGGCAGCCTCTGCCCCATCTGCCCTCGGGCATGTGGCTGCACTCCAGGAATTCTGGGCTGCTCTGGGGCTACCAAAGCGGCTCGAATCACAGAGATGGAAACCGGGTACAGTGTGCCGCCCGAACCCCCCCAACAAGGGCACCATGGGAGCATCTGCCTGGACACCCAAAGGATGAGTGGTCAGCTCTCTACGACTCAGGAACTTCTTGCTGTCCACCCACAGCCTGCTTGGAGAGCCCAAGCTGAGCACTGGACACCATGACAGCCTCTGAGAAGGGCGGCAGGAGCCACTCCCTGGCCCTTCTCTTCCCATCTGGCCCATGCTCTTGCTTAGGCTGTGTGCTCAGTCTTGTTCGATTCTCTTTTTACTGTCTCGTGCAACCAGCAGCTGGGATGGACAGTGTCAAGAAACACGCGGGGCTTACATGCAGTGGGACCCCCCCACGAGACCCCGGGAGAGCCCCTCCCTGGGCCTCAGGGCACCCAGAGCTGTGGCTGGGAGCAAGCCCAGGCCCACAGCACAGAGCTCTCTCCACACATCCCTCTGCCCAGGAGCTGTTTTGGGGGTTGCTGGCAGGTCCCTGGGGCCAGGCCCATGCCCCAGGCTGAGGGCTCTTCGAGCATCTGAGCAGAAGCCAACAGTTCATGTGTGTGCTGGCACAGTACGTATCTATGTGTACGGATGCAGGAGAGGTGCCAAGGTACAGTGGGACCAGGTCACAGATCCTTCTAGAAGCCTCTCCAGTGCCTTCTCAGGTTCCTTCTCTGAGCTTCCCAGAGGGGATTTGACTCCATCTTCCTGCTTCTTAGGGTGAGAGAGAACCTGCCCAGCAGTGACCCCAGCCAGCCCCAGCACAGGTCACTGTCTCAGGACAGGGGGACCCACTGGAGTGAGGTCTCCAGGGGACAGGCAGACAGCGAGGGGAGGGAGCCTGAGCAGACATAGGCACAGAAATGTGTGCTCTGCCACACACGTGCCATCACGAGGACACATGTCCGAGAACATGTGTGCCCATGAGGAAAGAAGTGTGGCATCCTGGGAACATGAGGACAGGTGTGTGTACACCCAGGAACATGTGTATGCACACAAGAACACATGTGAACACACCTTGGAACAAGCACTTGCACAGAAGGATGGGAGTGTGAGCATGTCTGGGGACATGCATGTGTGAGTGTGTCCAGGGAACACATGTACACAGGAAGACATACCCAGGACACGTGCACACTGGTAGGAACATTCGGGCACAGACTTGTCACGTGTGTGCAGTTCAAGCGTGAGGCATTGCGCCCAGGCACTGCACACAGATGCCCATGTGGGCTCAGCGACTCCTTGTCTGGGTTCCTGTGAGGTGAGGGTGATGGTTTGGGGTGCTGGGGACACCTCTCCCTGGGGCCCTGGCTGTTGTCCTCCGGCTCGTGGGCAATTCACATGGCCATGGCGGGCAGGGCCCACAGGCAGGCTCCCTGCACCATCTGGCTGGCAGACTCAGGAGCCCCCGAAGCCTCTCCTCACCCACGCCTGCAGCTGGGGTCTCACCATCAGTGGGAGGGGATGGTTTGGCTTCAGGCCCCAAGGGCTCCCTCCTGACCTGGGGTGACCTGATTGGGGTGGGGGGTAGCTTAGTCCTGCCAAACCACTAAGCTCTTCCCGGTAAGGGGCGGGGCGAGCAGAAGGAGTTGGGCACAAAAGCTGCGTGTGAGCATGTAAAGCAATGCTGGGAAAGGCTTCTCAGGGATTAGGGCCGGGACCGCTCACGGGACGCCACGGCTGCACACACGTGCTCTGCTCTGGGCTCACTGCTCTGGGGCCCTGGGACCCCACCATGGGGAGCGGCCCTGCTGAAGGGCAGGGGACTTGCTGGCCCTCACGCAGGTCCCCCAGGGGCCTGCCTGTGCCCCGCTGCTCAGCCCCCAGAGGGTCTGTCCTCAAAGGACAGGGCTCGGTGGTCTCAGCAGACCATCCAAGGGCTCGGCCCTGCATCTTCTCAGCACCCCCACACCCTGGACATCTCTGTGGTGTTCCTGGGACTCTGGCCTTCTTCGTATGTGCTGTGCAACTGTGCCACCACCCACCCCAGCCCCTGCGGTGGGTCCGACCCCTCCCGCAGTACTGGCTTCACTAACCCTCACAGGCTGGGACAGCAGATGAGCCACACACCCACTGGCCACTTCCCGAGGCAGAAGCCTGAGCAGGAGACCCTGACCAGCACTGCCTGCGCCTGGCCCCGCAGAAGCCGGGGTTCTTCGGAGACAGTAAAACCCAGACATGCATCTTGCTGCGAGCTTCCAGGGCACAAATGAGCAGCGAGGCATTGTCGGGCCTTGCCAAGCAGGATTTCTTTTTTTTCCTTCCTTTTCTCTTTTTTTCTTTTCTTTTTGGGTCACACCCAGCGATGCTCAAGAGTTACTCCTGGCTCTGCACTGAGGAATTGCTCCCGGTGGTGCTTGGGGGACCATATGGGATGCTGGGAATCGAACCCGGGTAGGCTATGTGCAAGGCAAACACCCTCCCCACCGTCCTAGAGCTCTGGCCCCCCAAGCAGGAGGATTTCAAAGCATCTCTGTGAAATGCCGAGAAATCAAAGGAAACATCCGAGTGAACTAACAGAACAGAAACTTCAGTCTAGACGAGGAGGTTGCAGAAGGGGGCCGGCTGGCTCATGTGAGTCTTACACGGTCAGTCACGGGAGGCCCTGGGCCAGAGCGGCAGGATGTCGACTGACACTTTCCTCACACATGACTGTGGCCACACAGAGGGTGGAATCCTGGAGCTAAATACGGGCTCAGAGCCCAGTGGGGCAACGATGGAAAAGAAAAAATACACAGGGAGGGTAGGCCACCAGGTGAGGGAGCTGATCCCCGGCACTCTCTGGGGTCGCCCTACCCACCAGGATGATCCCTGAGTAGCAGAGCCAGGAGTCAGCCCTGAGCACCGCCAGGTGTGGGAAAAAAAAATCAAAACAGTAGAAGGGATCCAACCTGGAGAGAGCCAAAAGGCTGATGGAAAATGAACAGGACGGATGACGGGGAAGGGGGTGGTGAGGCCTTCCAGCAGGGCGGCCGCCAGCCATGCCCCAAGCGCCCAGCACTCTGGCCTCACTGTCTGCGTGATGCACAGCTCCACAGCGGAGTGGGGGCAGGGTGGGGGCCGGCCGGAGCCCCGCAGCTCTCGTTCCCTGAGCATGGCCCTTCCTCCAGAGGGCCCAACCCAGCAGCGCGTCCAGGCAGGGCAGCAGCTGGGCTTGGTGCTGACTGTGGGAGTGGCCGTGCCGGCACACCCTCCTTTGCACTCATGCAGGGCTGGGGGCTGTGAGGAGCAGGCAGAGGTTGGAGCCGTCTGTGTTTACACCCTGCAGTCATGCCTTCCTCCTGGGGTGTCCAGGCCACTCACTCCCTTGCCCCTGCATTCAGCCCCGTGTGACCCTTGCTGCGGGCTGAGACTGGTCCATACTGAGGGCTACGGGGGACACCGTGTGGCGTGGAACTGGGGCCAGTAGCTTGTACACGCCCAAGTTTGTCTCAAGGCAAAAAACTTGAGAAACAGGATTTCCCTTTCAAGGGCTATTTCTACAGTTCCCAGAGAAGAAAGCCTGTGGAGTGGCCGGGCACCCTCTTCTGAGTGGGAGACTACTTCCAGGTCTGGCTCTGGCAACAGCCTTTGACCACTGATGACTGTTTCTCTTCCTTGGAAGAGGGAAAGGGAAAGGATGCAGGCTGAGTGGTTCCGATTAAAAAAAAAAAAAAAAAAGCAAAAAACAACCTGAGAAAGGGGCCGGAGCCATAGGACAGTGGGGAGGGCATTTGCTCTGCATGTGGCTGACACAGGTTCAATCCCTGGCACCCCATAGGGTCCCCCGAGTACAGCAGAGGTGATTCCTGAGTGAAGAGGAATTCCTCAGTGTAGGCCCTGAGCACTGCCCGGGACTCCTGCATGTATGACCTGAGCTCGGTCCTCCATGTCCTTGGTGCAGGCCAAAGCACAAGGACCTCATCACCGCCCTTACGTGTCCACCCAGGGATGGCCGATGACCCAAAGGCAAGTACTTGGTCACTTGGAGGTTTGCCACCCACCGTGGTGCTGTGGGAGCTCTTCCTGGCTCTGGGTTCAGTCCCCGGCACCCCATATGGCACCCTGAGCCCTGCCAGAGTGGTTCCTGAGTGCTGAGCCAGGAGTAAGCCCTGAGCACCGCCGGGTGCGGCCCCAAACCAGACCAAAACACAAAAGGAATGAAATAACGCCCTTTGAAGTATCAGGCGTCAAAATGGGTATTTTGGGTTTTTTGAGGGGGGCACACCTGGCAGTGCCCTGGGCTGATTCCTGGTTCTGTGCTCGGGGACCATGTGGGGTGCTACGGATCGAACCTGAGTCAGCTGTGTGCAAGCGCAGCCCTCCCCAATGGACTATCCCTCTAGTCGCTCAAAAAATGCATTCTTGAAACTTTAAGTTTAGCAGTTTCAGTAACCCAGGGTCCTCCAACATCCAAGAATGGCTGGAATCCGTTAGGAAGATCCTAGTCAAGGGCGCCACCAGCTGGCAAGATCTGCGGGCCTGGCTCTGTCCCGCCCCCTGCTGGCGGCTGCCCCTCGGTGCCGTTTAGGGCGGGAGCAGGGAGATGGCCATTTGGCTTGCCCACGGTGTCCCCCAAGCCGTGCCCCGAGTCAGACTTGAGCACTGCTGGGTGTGGCCCAAAAAAGATAGTAAAAAGAAATCAAACTCACTTACGGCCATGACCCCAGAGACTCAGAAACAAATCTCGGAACCCAGCAGCTTTGGGCAGAAATGCATCTGGACCCCGCAGTTACTGTGGCCGGGCCACCCCGGGGGGCGGGGGAGGGGAAGGGTGCTGTCCCTCTGCCTGCTCCCCCTTGGCAGTTTGGTGGCTGCCATCCTCCAGAGGCCATTGGACAGTCAGGTTTGAGCCCTCACTACGAGACACGTGGGGCCTTATGGGATAGGAGTAGAGCCGGCCCTTTCCTCCCTGTCCCAACGAGTCCCTGAGTTGCTGCCCACGAATGGCCTCTCTTGCTCCTGATCAAGCTGCTTAAGGGCCATGATCCCAGAGACTCAGGAACAAATCTTGGAACCCAGCAGGTTTTGGCAGAAATCCCTCCAAATTTAATTGTTAGAATTTCAGAATTTCAAAATCATGTGGCCACTACTACAGCCATGCGACATCATGTTATTCATAACCAGCAATAGAAAACAAATTATCTACTGTTGCCTTTTCGGCAGATCTGAGTGTTGAGGTAAAATCCCAAATAATAATGGTGGGTCTGGTGTCAAAATGTTGAAGTAATCAAAGTGGAGAGAGAGTAATGTCAAAATCATCTGCCCCACAGGTAGGGGGAGGGTGTGGAATGGGGGTATACTGGGGTTTTTGGTGGTGGAGAACGGGCACTGGTGAAGGTATGGGTGTTTCATTGTATGACCGAGTCTTAAACCCGAAAGCTTTGTAACTGCTCTATGGTGATTCAATAAATAAAATCATTTAAAAAATGAAAAAAATTAAACTCAATACTGGGGAGCAACAAGAGAAGGAAATAAACCACTTCCCCCAGGCGGCGGTCAGCTGGGGACTCAAGGGCGCAGTCAGGCGGGTGTAGGAGGGCAGGAGAGCCTGTCTGGAGGCGCTGAGGGAGGGGCTCTGGAGCCCGGGCTGCTGGTGCCGCCTCCTTCCTCCGCAGCTGGAGGAGGCTGCAAGGGAGCCCGTGGGCGCGTCCACTCCGACCAGTGCCAGGGCCGGTGCCGAGAGCAAGGCCAATTCTGATTGGGAGCCACTGAGCAATGGGGCAGGTCGGGCCACATGTGACCACGCTCAGGGTTCAGTCCTGGGGGCACCCGGGGGCCCGTGTGGTGTGGGGTCAGGCCATGGGGGTGGGTTCAGCTCTTCCAGAGTGTCAGACCAAGGGTCTGAGCCCCAGACAGGCAGCAGCCCAGACCCTCAGACCCTTGAGGCTGTGGCAGATGTCTCGCCTCGTTTTGCTCAGGAGCAAAGAGCGGCACCGCCTCCTGGCAGCCCTTGGGGTGCTGGGCCCCCTCTTCTCCTGTGGCTGACACCTGAGGCCCCAGCTGCCTGCTCCCCAGAGACTCCCACACATGCAGCCCCACATGTGAACTCATTCTCGACATACATGCACTCACACCCTGGACATATACACGCAGGTAGACACATACCCGCACTTCACAATACACACTCACGTACACATACCCTCCATAGCACACTCATGTACACAGTGACCCCACACTCCTGTACACACAGGGACTCATGCCATAGGTACACATACACAGGTACTTACCACATGCATGCAATGTTCACACATACATGTACACATGCACTCACCCTACACACATGGACATACATGCAGCCACACTCACACATATGCACTCCTATTCATACACCCTCCACACATATGTGTAAATGCTCAGGTCACACACACCCTCACACATGCACACGCCCCTCAACTCTTCTGGGAAGCACAGTGGTGTAAGCTCAGGGATAAGACTGCCTCACTGCTGTACTTCCTGCTCCCCACAACCCCAGGACTCAGGGGAACCCGAAACAGGGCAGGGTGGGGGCATGAGAGGAGGCGCGGGCAGTGGGCTGAGTTGTGTTTTTTATTGTCCTGCAACGGTGCATAGAGCTGGGGTCTGCCCAGGCCCCCAGAACCTACAAACTCAGCCCCTGGGTGAGGGGTAGGCTGTGCACCTCGACCTCCCGGGTGGTCAGTCCTGTGCGGTGCAGAGAGCAGATGGGGGAGCTGCTGGGTCGAATCCTGTCCACTTAGCCTGGAGTTGCCGGGTGCAGAGGGTCACTGGGAGGACATAGGTGCCTGCTTGGGGCACCAATCGGTGTCGGGGTACAGGTGACAGTGGACAGACTGAAACCTGGGGGGCACTGGGGTCAGCACTGGGCATGGCCGCCCTTCCCCTTCCAGAACCCGCCCGAGCCCCGCTCACCGGGTGGGGTCCTGCTGCAGACTGAAGGGCCCAGACACGCTCACCACGTTCTGCGGGTTCTCGGGGCCCCCGTAGCTCAGGGTGACCTGCAGGGCAGATGGGAACTCACCGGGGGGTACGGCAGCTCCGCAATACGCAATACGCAGTGGGTCAAGCCCCCAGGGCCGCCACGGAGGGCGGGAGGCACCTGTTGCAGCACGGTGTCCGGGGGCAGCGTCCGTAGGTTCTCCAGGTGGGAGTGGAAGAGGGGGCTGGGCCGCAGGCGGGCGCCCAGCAGCCCCTCCACGATGTAGCCCACCGCACAGTCATCTGGCAGGCGCACCCGCTCCGCTGTGCTGATGAAGCCGCCCAGGCTGAGGAGGGCGTGGTCAGTGCCAGGTCAGTGCTCCAGCCCCAGCTCACCTGACCACGCCCACCCAATCAGGCCCCGCCCCCACCTGGCCCCACCCGTGCTCACCTGGCCCAGGGGCTCATCTTAAGGGCTAGGCCTCGGCTCAGACAGAAGCCAGCGCCACCCGTGGCGAACCAGAACTTGGCCGTGGTGACCTGGGAGGAGGGCGGGCGTTAGGCCTGGTGGCAGCGACTGCCCCGCCCCCAGGGACCCCTTGGCACTCACGGAGCTGCCTCCCGGAACCCTCTCAGTGGCCTCGATGGGGTGGTCGAGGCTGGGCCGGCCCAGGTAGACGTCCTGGCTGGGGGGGAAGGCAGCCAGCAGCTGCAGCAGCGCTTTGGGGTTCACGTAGTTGTCGTCGTCCACGTGGCAGAACCACCTGAGACAGGGGCAGTCTGAGGGGGGCAGGGACAGTCTGGGGGGCGGGGGGCAGGGGTCCCTTCCCGCGCGCAGCGCTCCTACTTGCGCCCCGACTCCATGAACGTGTCGTACTCCACGGCCATCTTGCAGCACAGGGCCTGGCGCGACCTTGCCGCTGAGCAGTTGGTGTTGACCACCTGGCCACCTGTGGGAGGTGCGGGCGGGGCTGGGGGACGCCCTCCCCGCCTGCCCTCCCTCCCTCCCCTTCCCTACCCCTGTCCTCCCTCCCTTCCCTACCCCTGCCCTCCCTCCCTTCCCTCTCCCCACCCCTGCCCTCCCTCCCTTCCCTCTCCCCATCCCTGCCCTCCCTCCCTCCCTCCCTCCCCTCTCCCCCTCCTCTCCCCATCCCTGCCCTTTCTCCCTCCCCTGACTCCTCTCCCTTCTTTCAGAGCCTCTCTCCTTCCTCCTCTCCCCTGTCCCAGGTGGCACCAGGCTGGGCACTCACCCCCCTGGCCCTGGAGCCCTGGGTCATCGCCATCAGTGAAGATGAAAGTCTGGGGAGACAGCAGTCATCAGGCCCGGGGTGGTCCTGGGCGGGGGAGCCCCAGAAACTCCCGCCCAACCCGACAGCAGCCAGGGAGGTTCCGGGACACACGGTCACAGGCAGGGCACCGGTCCCGGGCGGGGTGGGCGCGGGGCCCAACCCGGGGTCCCCGGCGGGGTGGGCGCGGGACCCCAGACGCCGCGCGGGAGCCCGCACCTGCCGGCGGGCCCGGGAGATCCAGGTGCGCAGCAGCAGCCCCAGGCGCGGCCCGTGGTTCCTCCGGGTGGTCTTGACGGCGATGAAGACGTCGTCGGGTCGCAGGCCGGGGGCGGGGGCGCGCCGGGCGGGGGTCGTGGCCGGGGTCCGCGCCGGACCGGGCCGGGGCAGCGGCAGCAGCAGCAGCGCCGCCAGGGCCGCGGCCAGCGCGAGGCAGCCCCGGCACAGCACGCCCCGCGCGCGGCTCATGCGGCCCGCGACCGGTCCGTGCAGGCGGCTGGCGTGCCGCGGCCCCTTTAAAAGCCCCGCGGCCCCTTTAAGGACCGCCCCGCCCCGCGACCCGGAAGCGGCCCGCCGCCCCGGAAGTGGACGGCGCGCCGCGGCGGGGTTGCGCGAAGATGCCGCTGCCGGTTCAGGTGTTCAACTTGCAGGTAACGCCCCGCGCCCGTGCCCGGCCCGCGGCGCCAAGGCCCCCTCGCTGCCCGGCCGGCGCGGGGGCGGGGGCGGGGGCACCGGCCGGCCGGGACCGCGGGCCGCGGGGGAGGGCGCGGGCGGCCACGGTGCGGCGTGTTGCAGGGGGCCGTGGAGCCCATGCAGATCGACGTGGACCCGCAGGAGGACCCGCAGAATGCGCCCGACGTCAACTACGTGGTGGAGAACCCCACCCTGGTAGGGCGCGGGCCGGGTGGGGCAGGCGGGGCGGGCGCCCCCAGCCTCCAGCCCCCGCCGCCGCCCACCGCCCGGCCCGCCGCCTGCAGGACCTGGAGCAGTATGCGGCCAGCTACAGCGGCCTGATGCGCATCGAGCGGCTGCACTTCATAGCCGACCACTGCCCGCCGCTGCGCGTGGAGGCCCTGAAGATGGCCCTGGCCTTCGTGCAGCGCACCTTCAACGTGGACATGTATGAGGAGATCCACCGCAAGCTCGCCGAGGCCAGCAGGTAGGCTGCGGCGGAGGGCGGGGTGGGGGGAGCCTGCAGCAGCAGCCTCTGAGCTCCCGGGCCCCCAGGGAGCTGCAGCATGCGCCCGATGCAGTCCCCGAGAGTGGCGTCGAGCCCCCGCCCCTGGACACGGCCTGGGCTGAGGCCACGCGGAAGAAGGCGCTGCTGAAGCTGGAGAAGCTTGACACGGACCTGAAGAACTACAAGGGCAACTCTATCAAGGAGAGCATCAGGCGCGGCCACGACGACCTGGGAGACCACTACCTGGACTGCGGGGATCTCAGCAACGCCCTCAAGTGCTACTCCCGTGCCCGCGACTACTGCACCAGCGCCAAGCACGTCATCAACATGTGCCTCAATGTCATCAAGGTGCGCGCCGCGTGGGGCAGGGTGGGGGGCGCGGGGCCGGGGACCGCGCTGAGCCTCCTTCCTCCTCCCCGCCCCAGGTCAGCGTCTACCTGCAGAACTGGTCTCACGTGCTGAGCTACGTCAGTAAGGCCGAGTCCACCCCGGAGATTGCCGAGGTACGTAGGCCCCAGGTCCCCGCCCTGGACACCCGTGGACATAGGGCAGGGTTGGCTCACGTGTCCCACCTTCCCCCGCAGCAGCGCGGGGAGCGTGACAGCCAGACCCAGGCTATCCTCACCAAGCTGAAATGTGCCGCAGGTGGGTTGCCAGCTCCTGGGGGCCTGCGGGGGAGGGGGGGGCGTCAGACGGGAAGGGCGCTGCCGGCTGGCCTCGGGGACCCGGGGCGCCACCTCATCCCCCTCCCTGCCCAGGGCTGGCGGAGTTGGCCGCTCGCAAGTACAAGCAGGCGGCGAAGTGCTTCCTGCTGGCCTCCTTTGACCACTGCGACTTCCCCGAGGTGAGCGCGGGGCCGCGGGGTGGGGTCTGTCCACTCCCCGAAAGCCCAATGGCCAAGTGACCCACCCTTTGGCCTTCGTGCAGCTCCTGTCCCCCAGCAACGTGGCCGTATACGGTGGCCTCTGCGCGCTGGCCACGTTCGACCGGCAAGAGCTGCAGCGCAACGTCATCTCCAGCAGGTGGGTCGGGCGGCGGGCGGGGGCGGCTGGCTCAGCAGCGGCCGCTGAGGCGTCCACACCCACAGCTCCTTCAAGCTGTTCCTGGAGCTGGAGCCGCAGGTCCGGGACATCATCTTCAAGTTCTACGAGTCCAAGTATGCCTCGTGCCTGAAGATGCTGGACGAGATGAAGGTAAGGCCAGCTCAGGGCTGTGCCGACCGGCCCTGACCACCCCACCCCTGTCCCCTGCCCTGCTCTAACCAACCCTGACTGCCTCAGGCCTGTCCCCAGCCTGCTCGTGGCTGCCGCTGACCAGTCCTGACCGCCTGCTTTGCAGGATAACCTACTCTTGGACATGTACCTGGCGCCCCATGTCAGGACCCTGTACACCCAGATCCGCAACCGTGCTCTCATCCAGGTGAGCCTGGGGGCTGGCGGTCGGGGGTGGGCGTGGCCAGCCAGCTGCTCCAGCCCGGCCCTCTGCCCGCTGCAGTATTTCAGCCCCTACGTGTCGGCGGACATGCGCAGGATGGCCACGGCCTTCAACACCACGGTGGCGGCGCTGGAGGATGAGCTGACGCAGCTCATCCTGGAGGGACTCATTAATGCCCGCATAGACTCGCACAGCAAGGTGGGGGTGGGGGTGGATGGGGAGGGGTGGGCCGGGGCCCCGGGCCTGGGGCAGCGGGCGCTGAGCTCGGGCCTCCTCAGATCCTATACGCCCGGGACGTGGATCAGCGCAGCACCACCTTCGAGAAGTCCCTGCTCATGGGCAAGGAGTTCCAGCGCCGCGCCAAGGCTATGATCCTGCGCGCGGCCGTGCTGCGGAACCAGGTGCACGTGAAGGTAAGGACCGGCGGCGGTGGGTGGTGGGGCTGGGGGTTTGGAGGCTGGTTGGGGCTGAGCCTATCCTTTCTGCAGTCCCCGCCCCGCGAAGGGAGCCAGGGAGAGCTGACTCCGGCCAACAGCCAGTCCCGGATGAGCACCAACATGTGAGGCTGCCGATCGCCCCGCCCCCCCATGGCCCCCCTGGGGACAGCCTGCAGGGCCCCGCCTCCCCGTCTGTCTCAGCCATTAAAGGGCAGCCTGACCACCTGGCTCGGCCTTGTTCCTTCCAGTCCCGGGGGCCGGGTGGGGGTGCGCCTGGCATCCCGCCATGGACCCCCCAGTCTCAGCCTTGCACACACATCTCTAAAACAATTTATTGTTCTGAGCACAAGCGCAGGGCGTGATGGGCCGGCCCGGGAGCCCGCCGGGGCCGGGAGGGTCCTCGCTTCCCTGCGAGCAGCTGGAGTGTCCCTGAGTGAAGGCGCTTCCCGGAGCGTGGAGCAGTCCTGGGTGGGCTCAGAGCAGGGCACTGCCCACCGTTGTCAAGCTGGGCTCCACCAGCCCCTCCTCCTGAGGCTCCTGCGGCCTGAGCTGGGCCCCCTTCCAGGCCAGAGACTTCTCCAGTTTGGTTTTAAAAAGCAGTCCGTGACCTGCCCGAGGACAAAAAGGAGAACCAGGCTGGGCTGAGGGTCCTGCTGCCCAGCGGGTCCTGGCTGGAGGCGCCTGTCGCCACACCCACCTGGACAGTCTGCCGTGTCCCTGAAGGCGCGTTTCTTGCAGCAGGCCCGGCACAGGTCGAACACACACCTGCTGCCCTGTGGGTCACAGGTCACAGTGACACAGCTGCGCACCACCCCCACCCCGTGGCGCGCACACACATGCACACACCCACCTTGGGGTTTCCACACTGCTCGCACTTGGCGTATTTGGCTGGGGAAAAAGCAGGTGGGTGTGAGGTGAGCACAGGCCTGAGCTTGGGGCTCCTGCCAGGCGCCCCCATCCACCCCTCCACCCCGTGCAGCTCACGCTTCAGCGAGGGGTCGAAGGTCTTGTGGGGGTTCCTCAGCTGCTTCTTCTGCTTGTTCTTAGACAGTACCTCCGCGCTGCCCTCCTCCTCTTCCAGCGCCCGCTTGCTAGAGGCACCCCCGCTCTGCCTGCTCCCCTCCCTGGGCCTGGACAGAGAGAACAACCCTGGGGAAGAGCTGCCCAAGCCCTTTCCCTGTGCGGGGCAGTGGGCGCCCGCAGGCCTGGGCACTCACTCTGGCCGGAAGTAGGGCTGGCAGATCCAGTGGGACAGAGGTAGGTCTCCTGTGGGCTTCTCCCCGGCCGCCTGCCTGGACATGTCCTCCTGCAAGATGCAGTAGCCCTGTCACCCCCCCCCCCCCAACCTCCCTAGTGTCCCCTGCCCCTCCCGCCCTCGCTCCCGCCCTGCAGGCACCTGCCTGACAGCGAAGTTTCAGCTCCTGGCTCACAGCGGCCACTCCGTCCAGGGTCTTCGCCTTGGCCAGCTCCTCCCGAAGCTGCCGGTGCACCTGCAGCCTGAGCAGATCCCACAGTGCCCCTCCGTGGGCTGGGACCGACATCGGCACGGGCCAACTTCCCGCCCTCCCCCGGGGGCCCAACTCACGTGTGATGCCACAGCTTGAAGAGGTGGGCGCGCACGTAGGACAGGGGGCAGGGGTGCTGGCGCACGAGCTCCAGGTACTCCTCCACCAGCTCCCATACGGCGGGGCTCCGGCCCTCGAACAGTGCCGGGTTGTGGAGGTTCCCCTCTGTGGAGGCCAGGCGGAGTGCCGGGTAGTGGGACGCCCCCACGTGCTGCTGCTTGCTGGACCCTGGCCACCCACAGCCCTGAAGCCTCCTGCCCATGACACCCAGCACCCCCAGGCCCCGCTCACCTGCACTCATGACGCCCTGCACCCCTGTGTCCCGGATGCAGCGCTCCACATCGCACAGGCTCTGGATGTTCCCGTTGGCAAACACAGGGATGGTCACTGCCTGCCTGCCGGGTGGTTGACACATGCTGGGGGACAACCCAAGTCCTGGCCATCCTGCAGCCCAAACTCCATCCTGGCACCAAGGCCACTCTGCTGCCTGCCCAGCAGACCCTGACCCACTCACCTCACAGCCTTGATGTGCTCCCAGGACGCCGTGCCCGCCAGGGGCCCCTTCTGCTCTTTGGTGCGGCCATGCACGGTCAGCAGCTACGGTACAGTGTCCCCTCAGCCGCCCAGGGTCGCCGGCTCAGGTGGGGGAATGGGGACATCGCAGCCCAGTGCCCCCTCACTCCCAGATTCCGGAGCCTAATCCCCTCACCGATGCCCAGCTCACCTGGCACCCAGCCTTCTCGAGCATCTGGGCGTAGCGCACCGTCTTGTCAATCTCCGGGAAGACTCGGATTTTGCAGGTGACAGGGACAGACAGTTTCTCGTGGGCCAGCAAAACTGGGGAGAAAGGGAAAGGGTGCTGCGCATCCTCGGCTGGACAGCTCGCTGCGGGGTCCGGCCGGGCGCGGCGACTCACCCATTCTCTGGAGCAGGTCCCAGTCCTCCTGCAGGAAGGCGCCGTAGTGGCCTGCAGAGAAGAGCGCAGAGGTGGGCGTAGGCACCGCCGGACCCGCGCCTGGTCCGGCCCAGGCCCCGCGCCCCCGCGCCCCACGCCCCTGCGCACTCACCCCTCTTGGCGATCATCTGCGGGCAGCCCAGGTTCAGGTCGATGGCGTCGCAGTGGTCCTGTGCCAGGAGCGCCGCCTGCACGAACACGTCCGGGTCGTTGGCGCAGAACTGCAAGAGCTGCTTGTGAGCCGGGCGCCTGGCCGGGGATGGGCTCCAGGGGCGGGGGCTGCGTCCGGGTCAGGGGCTGGGGCGGGGTCCGGGTCCGGATCTGATCCGGGTTTCGGGGGCTGGGGCCGGAGCGGGGTCCGGGTTCCAGGGTCCGGGTTTCAGGGGCTGGGGCTGGGGAGGAGTCGGGTCGGGGTCCGGGCGGGCCGGGGCCGGCCCGGTCGGCGCACCTGCACGATGAGCGGCCGGTCCTCGGGGCACACGGCGTGGTAGAGGTGGTCGCGGCGGTAGTTGGGGTCGCGCACGAAGACCTGCGCGTGCAGCATGGGCGTGTAGCAGAGCTGCGCCCCGTGCCGGCGGCTCAGCAGCCTCCAGGCCAGCTCGCTCTGGTCCACCATGGGGGCCACCACGTGCCGCGCCCCGCCCAGCGTGCGGCTCCAGAACTCGAAGCCCTGCAGCTTGGGCATGGCGGGACACTGGGCGGGTGGCCCCGGCCCCGGCGCGCGCCGGACCCTCGCGCCGGACCCTCGCGCCGGAAGTGCAGCCGCGAAATGCGTCCCCGGGAAACGGCGACCGGCGCCGAGAGGGCCGGGGAAGGGACCGAGCGGACCGGGGGCGGAGCCTATTGAGTCGGGGGCGGGGCGAGCGGTCGGGGCCGGGCCGAGTGGACCGGGGCGGGGCGAGGGCGGGGCTGGGGCGGGGCCGGCGCCTAGGGTGTCGGGATCGCGGCCCGCGTCCGGGCCAGGCGGGCGGGGCCGGGGTCTGAGGGTGGGGTGCTCCCTCACTTGCGGGCGGACGCGGCCACGGCAGCCGAGTGGGCGCCCCCGATGGTCGCGAGCCCTGAGCGCCGACTGGAGCGGACCCCGAAAGGTCACCAGCTGGCCCCGCCCCGCCCCTCACCCCACGGGAACTGCGCCCTCGGAGGCATGAGGGAGACAGCGTTCAGCCTCCGCGCCCCGATGGCCAGGCCAGGACGTCTGTCCGGAGCTGCAGGGCATCCCCGGGGATGCCCACGGCAGGAGGGCGGCTGCTGGGGAGAGGGTCTGCCCCCAGGGAGTCCCCCGCCGATTGTCGCGGGTCCTGAGCCCTCGCTGTGTCCCCTAGTTCAGCAGCGAAGGAGGCCCCTGGACCCAGAGCCTCCTGTCCCGCTCCACCTCCTTGGCCCCCTGGGAAAGGTCTGCTGTGGGCGAGGACGGCAGAACCCGGCCCAGCTCCCCGGAACCGGTCCCCACCCGCGGTCTCGGGCTCAGGCTGGGGCCCCCTGGAATTTCAGGGAAAAGACAGTCGGAGCCTGAACACATCCCTCCCTGCACCATAACTGCCCGCTCAGGAGATGCTGCAGTGAAAATAATTTGAGAGAAATGTGAGGGGACATGGGATGATGCTGTGGCCATCCTTTGCCTTGCACAGGCTTTTCGGGGGAGAAGGTGAAGTATAATTTCTCCAAATTGTCATAGACTGGAGTTCTTGGCTCCAGATTAAAATTGATCTGGGGAAAGACTTAGGTTCTGAAGGCACTTTCACATTCTTGTCAGACCTTTAGGCTTTTCATCACACCTGACGATGCTGAGGTTACTCCAGTCTCTGTGCTCAGGAATCACTCCTAGCAGTGCTCCGGGGACCCTATGGGATGCCAGGGATGGGAATCCAACCCAGGTCGGCCGGTTGCAGAACAAACACCCTGCTTACTGTGTTATCGCTTGGGCCCTCTTTACATTGTCCTTTAGCTTCTGCTTTTCGAGGGACCCACCCTCCTCCAGTGGAAGGCACTCAGGGCTTCAAGAGGGTGTGGTCCTCATTCCTCTGGCCTACTTCAGGGCCGCCAGTTCCTGCTTTGATTATTTCCCCAGCAACTCATCACGGCACACATGTACCTCAGTCTCTGCCTCAGCTGGCCCAAGTGCAGCCTGTAGGCGCTGGACGAGGTAAGGGAACATTCAATCCATAACACCCCTCCTCCACTCAAACCACACTGAAGGGGCTGGAAAGATAATACAGTGGGCAAAGCGCTTGCCTTGCACGTGGACAACCTGATTTCAATCCCTGACACCAGGAATAGGCTCCCCGGGTCCCGCTAGGACAGCCCTGAGTTCTGCTGGCTGCGGCACAAAAACCACAAAGGGTCAGAGCCATAAGACAGCTTTGGGGGGGTGGGGGGGAGCCTGGTGTTTGCCTTGCATGTAGCAGACTTGGGTTCGATCCAGACATTCCATATGGTTCCCCGAGCACCAGGAGTGATTCCTGAGTGCAGAGCCAGTGGTAACCCCTGAGCATTGTTGGGTATTCCCAAAAAGCCAACAGACAACCCCCGAATCAAGGATGGGAGCAAGGAGCAAGAAGTCCAGTGAGAGAGGGAGAAGCAGCTGGTGGGACCCTGGAGGCACAGAGGCCTTGAACAAAGTTGCAAATCGGATAATCCCAGGAGTGTGAGGCAGAGAGAGATGCTTTAGTAGAGCCTGGAGACAAGACTGAAAAACACTTTCCCTGAGGGCGGGAAGGAAAGGAAAAGGGGAACAGGCAGGGCCAGTGGGTGGTCGGGAGGAAAGCGGATTTGTGGGAGGGAAGAGGACAGGAGAGCTGAGCATGAGAAACAAGGGCCCCTCCCTGGCTTGTGCTGAGGCTCCTTTCGGCACTGGGCCACCCAGAAATTAGAGCAGAAGGAAGAAAAGTGACCCCCAAAGGGCAAAAGCCTTTTCAACCCTGGGAGAGAGTTCAGTTCTTTTCAAGCCTGTCCTGAGAGAGGCGGGGTGGTTTGGGTGGGGTGCCCTGCCCCCCCACTAGATGAAGGGGCCTTTCGGGTACAGGAAGTGACGTCAAAGGCGAGGACTTGGGGGGTCTGCACAGGAATAAATAGAAACCGAGAAAGCACAGCGGAAACCAGGGTTTTCCTGGAGCAGGGTGGGGGGTGGGGCCCTGAGTTCCATGCCCCGGGGTCCCCCCTAAACATTGGGTATTCTGTGAGCTGGTTTAGAAGGAGGATTCTGCCAACAATGGCTGTAAAACCACACTGACACATAAGGCGTTTCACCAGAGGCAGGAGAGGGGAGGGATGGCTTGCGCAGAGGCGTTGAGGGCTGAGGCGAGGGGGAAGAGCGAGGCCGGCACAGAGGAGGGGAAATAGAGACCAGCGAGGTGCAGAGGAGAAGCGGGCATAGCGAACGGAGACAGAGTGACAGCAGAGTCCGCAAGTGGATCTGTGAAAGGCACATGTATGGGCTGGGAACTTGGTTCAGGGGCCAAGCGTATATGCCCTGAGCATGGGTTGGTCTCAGAAAGAACAGACCCAAACTCCTGAGCTGTTGTCTGCTGCACCACAGAGAACTCCTTCTAGAGTTTAGGCCCAGCCCTGCTACGTTGCAGGGATGGAAACTCTTCCTGCTCCATTTGTGGCTTTTTCTTTGCATTTTGTTTTGTTTTGCTTGGTAATACTCAGGGGCTATTCCTAGCTCTGTGCTCAAGGCCCACACCGAATGTGACTGCAGACGGGGCAAGCACCTTACTCGCTGTGCTGTCACTCTGCCTGCTCCTTTGCATTTTATCATTGTTCTATGGGAGTCACACGGGCTGTTTGGGGGGGGCTGAGGTGTGAAGCCATGTCCATGCACCTGTGAAGTGTGAGGTGGGCTGAAGTACCCCCCCCACGTCCTCTCCGTCCTCTTTCCCGCCCATGTGGGGGGCTTTGCTGTGCCATGCGGCGTGCTGAGGGCCAGGTATCATCAGCTCGCCTGTCCCCATCTATCCCCGAGGCAGGCCCCAATCCCTTTGGCTCTCTTGAGGCTCCTCTCCTTTCCTGGGATGCAGTGGGGTTGGTTGGTCTTGGCATGTTGGTGAGAGCTGGGGCCCGGCCACTGTGGTGGTCTGGGAGTCTTCCCCGGTGCCCTTTGTCTCCTGTGTTAGGTGCTCACAGGACAGGGACAAGTGGCTGTGGAGTTTCCAGGGGCAGGCGGGGGTGGCTTTTCTCGGGGTGTCTGGAAACACCTGCACATGGTGGCACCACGCATGGGGGCGGGCACTGCTGTCATGCCCTCCCTAGGGTCCGACCTTAATCTCCAGACTCAAATCTCTCTCCCAGAACCTACTGGATGATGAGTATGCAGGGGGAGTCTCTAACATTATAGCAGCAGGGGGAGGGGCAGCTGCTCTAAGCTCTGTCCACTGGTGGACAGTCCAAAACTGCCTCAGAATGGCTCGCAGGTTGTTGGTGTCAGGGCCAGCCTAGGTCTTCGAGACCAGCTTCTTCCCAATATACTGACCCTGATGTCCCCCTCAGAGGTGGGCCTGCTCGGGATCTGTCCGGGAGAGCTGTGGGGTGTGGCGGGATCACATGCCTGGCACTCAGGAAGGCCTTTAGCTTTTCCAGTGCCAGGCAGCACCAGGGCCCTACAAGACACCCACCCCTGCCCTGTCGCCGTTTGAGGACTTGGGGAACAAGGGGCATGGGGCTGGGGCCAGTCACTCCTGGTGTTTCGGTGGTGTGTGGAGCCAGAGTGGAAGCGCCACAAGCAAGCATGCGCCTCCGTCTGGTCTATCCCTTGGGCAGTCACTTTTGTTTCTGCAGGGACTAGGCCCCTCACCTCTCAGCACTGAAACCTCGGGCCCCAGCCTGCCATCCTGTGTCTTCCTGGGGCTCGGGGGGAGGGGCCTGCTCTGTGCTCAGTCCAAGAAATGCTTTGTCCAGGGCAAGCAGGAATGCATGCTGCCAAGGCCCGGCCCAGTGCCTCAGAACAATTGGCCCAAGTGGGAGCTGCCCCTGGTCCCGCCGCTGCAGGCCCAGAGGGAGTCCTGTGTCACACCTGGCAGCTCTGGCCCTGCCCCTGCCCCGCGGAGCCCCACGTGGGCCCAGAGGCCAGCGCTGGGGGCCTGAGAGGTGTAGGGTGGGCCCCTCTGGGCGACAGATGTGAGTGTGGGGGCGAAATGGCAGCGATTCTGATTCCCACGGCACAAACAGCACGGCCAGAGGCTGAGCAGCAATTGGAGTCATGTTTTGTGAAAAATGATACAGACAAACAGAGTGGGAGCCGCACCCACCATGGGGCGGACTCTGGTCCTCTTCCCTCTGCCTGCCCTCCCCGCGGTGGGCCAGCCGGCCTGGCCGGGAAGGGCTCCGGCCGTCACAGGGCACCGAGGACCCGGCGTCTCCCCAGCGACGCAATAAATAGGGTTCACAAGGGGACACCCGGCCGGGCCGGGTGGGCCCCACACATGCGGCGCCCAGGCCGCGGCAGCCGACGCTTCACAGACCAGGGGGTCTCCGGCCGGCGCGGGGGGCTGCTAGCCCTCACGGACACTGACGCGTGGCTCGGCCAGGGAGCTGTGGATGATGCTGAGGATGGACTCGAGGCCGGTGCCCTCCAGCAGCGTGCGGTGGTCGCCCTCGATGATGTGCACTGACACCTTGCCATCACACACCTGTGACAGGTTGTAGTCGGCGCCCAGGTTGTCCCCGTAGGCGCCGCCCATCTTGGCGCGCAGCAGCGTCACGTTGCCGTGGTAGGTGGAGCGGGGCGAGTACTGCTCGGCCGCCCGCAGCTTGTGGTAGAAGGAGACAGCGGCGAAGCTCAGCTCCCGGTGGTCCAGGCCCTGGTGGCTCTGAGTGATCATGTCCACGGCGGCGGCCACACGCGCCTCCAGGTTGGCGAGCGGGAGCAGCGCCTCCATCACCTGCGGGATAGAGGCTGTGAGCACTGGGACTGCAGCCCCCTCCGTGGCCCGCACCCCCCGCCGCGGGCCCATGCTCACCCTGCTGTGCTCCGCGTCTGTGAACTGCTGGACAAAGAAGCACAGGGCCTCAGCCTCGGCCTCGGCCTCGGAGCCGGAGGTCATCCTGGCGCGGTAGCTCTGTGTGTAGGCCAGCACGTAGGTGTGTGAGCCATCAAACAGAAAGAGGCTGTTGTGTGCGGGCGACGGGCCCTGCTGGGCCTGCAGCTGCGAGCACATCTCGAAGGCCACGCAGGCCCCGTATGAGTAGCCAGCAATGCGGTATGGCCCCTCGGGCTGGACCTTCCGGATGCAGTCGATGTAGTAGGCGGCCAGGCTGTGGATGCTGTCCAGGGGCGCAGCTGTGGGGGGCTCAGTGTGAGAAGGTGGCCCGGGCCATTCCCTCCCCACCCCCACCCCCTCACACATACCCCGGGTGCACTGCAGGCCGTAGGTGGGGATGCTGAGCCGGGAGGCCAGGTTGTGGAAGACGGTAATGGAGCCTTCGATGGGGTGCACCAGGAACAGGGGCCGCTCGGAGCTCTGCACCGAGTTGAGGCGTGTCAGGGTGGGGCCCTCGGGGTTCACCAGCAGCGTGCTGAGGTTCAGCTGGGCCTGCAGCCGCGTGGGACTGTTGTCCTTGGTAGCGGGCGCCGCCAGTTCTGTGACAGGGAGCAGGTGAGGTCCCTCGTGGCTCGCACGGGGCCCGCCACCCCCCCCCCCACCGCTTTGCGGTGCCCCGTGCACGCACCTTGACCGCCAGCCTGCGTCAGCTCCTGCAGCTTGCGGAGCGTGAGCTGCCGCACCTCCCGCATTGACAGCAGCAGGTCGTGCTCGCGCTCCAGTGTCTGCCGCACCTCCACGCCCATGAGCGAGTCCAGGCCCAGGTCGGCCAGGGAGCTGTCCAGGTTCACGGCGGCCAGGTCGCGGATGCCTGCAGCAGGACGAAGGTGCTGGCTCAGAGGGGGGGCGGACAGCCTGGGACAGCCCTTGCCCGTGGCCATCCGCTTGTCCACGCACCCAGGATGTGCGCCACAGCCTTCACCAGGTCCCGCTTGCCCTCGCTGTCTCCGTGGACGGTGGTCTTCTCAGCCAGCACGAAGCTGCTCAAGACGGGGTACGGCTGGTGCAGGAAGACGTCCAGCACCTCCAGGCAAGAGGCGATGCGCTGGGGCAGTGTGCCACCGATGACCGTGTCGTTGGTACCCATGGCCTCTAGCACGATGCCCACATCACCGATGGCGCCCCACTGCACGGCCAGGCCTGGGGGGCAGGGCGGAGTGAGGCGGGGCAGGCCTGCGGGCAGGCAGGGGCAGGCAAGCAGGGGCCGGGCAGCACACCTGGGAGGCCATCATGACGACGCTTCTCGCAGATGCGCTCCATGGTAGAGTTGGCAAAACCGTAGTTGGTCTGGCCGGCATTACCGCGCCCGCAGCTCACGGAGGAGAAGGCCACGAAATAGTCCAGCTCAGGGCAAGCCTCCCGGGTGACCCTGCGGGGCATGACCATGCCAGTCAGGTCCCTGCAGTCAGTGGCCCTGGTCCCCGCCCCTGACCCTGACCCACGAGCGGCCGCACACCTGTCCAGGTGGAGGGTGCCACTGTACTTGGGCTGGTTCACGTCGCGGAAGGACTCAGGGCTCTGGTTCTCCAGCATGGCGTCCCGCAGCACCTGGGGAAAGGAGCCTTAGCACCTGCCCGGCCCGGCCGGGGGCGCCCGTGCAGCCACGCTCACTCACCATGGCTAGGTTGAAGACTCCGCCCACAGGCCCCAGCGCTGCCGCCTCCTTGATGAGGCCTCGGGCCCCGTCCAGGGAGCTAGCGTCACGGGTGGACACAAGCACCTGCACGCCCTGACGCTGCCACTCGCGCACCTGCTTGGCCTGGTAGCCTGGGAGGGATGGGGGGGGGGGGGAGAGTAAGGGCCGGGGAGCACAGGGGGAGGGGGCCCCCTGCTGCCCACCCGTCTCACCTGTGCGGATCCCGGAGCGGGAGGTCAGCACCAGCTTCTGGGCCCCTCGCAACACCAGCCACTGGGCCAGCTCCAGGCCGAAGCCGCCCAGACCCCCAGCCACCACGTAGCTCTTGTGCGTGGGACAGAAGGTCTTGGACATGGCGGTCATCAGGGCAGACCTGGTCCCCTTCTGGGCCTCAGCATCCTCGCGCACCTGCAACCCAAGCAGAGTGCCGCCTGGTGGGTGCTGGGGTGCAAGAGGCTGGGGGCCGGGGGCCAGGGGCCAGGGGCTGGGGCATACCTGCACCACAACTTTGCCGATATGCTTCCCCTGTGCCATGTAGCGGAAGGCGTCCTCCACGCGGGCCTTGGGGAATACGGTGCAGCGGAGGGGCTGGACCACGCCGTCCTGGATGCCGGCCTGCAGCAGCCCCGCCACCTCCCGCCAGGTGTCGCTCGCCTCGTCGAAGAGCGCATCCAGCAGGATCCCGTGGAAGGTCACGTTCTTGAGGAAGACAGCCATGCCTGGGGGGGGTGGGGGGGTACACTCACTCTGGGCCCCGTCTACCAGACCTTCCACCCCCCGCCCCGGGGCCTCTCACCCAGCCTCCCAGTCAGAGCCTCACCCAGCGGGCTGTTGTTGGACAGGTCAAATTTGCCGATCTCCAGGAAGCGGCCGTGCTGGGCCAGACACCGCACACTGGCCTGGAGCTTCTCTTCGGCCAGCGAGTTCAAGACCAAGTCGACACCTGGGCAGAGGGTCCCACGGTCACCGCACAGCCCTGTGGTTGGGGCTGCACGCGCGTGAGGAGACACGTACCCTTGCCGGCTGTGTGCCGCAACACGTGCTGCTCGAAGGACGTGTCCCGTGAGTTGGCGAAGCAGGTGGCATCCAGCTGGGGAAAGCGCGCCTGCAGGTAGGCCCGCTTCTCGGCCGAGCCTGCGGGGAGAGGCAGGTGCCAGCGTGCAGCAGTGTGGGGCAGGGGGGCCGGGGCCTCCAGGCCAGGCAGGCTTACCCACAGTGGTGAAGACGCGGCAGCCCTGGCTAAGGGCAATAGCGATGGCGGCCTGGCCCACCCCGCCGGAGCCTGAGTGGATGAGCACCGACTCCCCGGGCCGCATGCGCCCGCGGACCACCAGGGAGTAGTAAGCGGTGGTGTAGACTACGGGTACGGAGGCGGCCTCCTCCAGGGTCCTGTGGACACAGGGCATGGTCACGCAGGTCTGACCTCCGGAGGCACGGTGCCGCAGTCCCTCACCCCAGACTCACCAGCCGGAGGGCACGTCCCACAGGAAGTCCTGGGACAGCTGGACAGAGGTGGCCAGGCCCTCGGCAGGCACCAGCCCCATCACACGCTTGCCACTGGCGTCGAGGCCAGAGAACTCCATGCCCAGCATGCAGTCCCGAGAGGCCCATTTCCCTGCAAGGAGAGCGGGTGAGCAGGAGCGGAACGGGGCTCAGAGGGACAGCTGCCACCCAACCGCCCAACAGCTACCTGGGATGGCATCGGGGGACAGCTTGCCCGTGGCCAGCATGATGTCCCGGAAGTTGAGGGAGGCGTAGTGGACGGTGCAGAGCTGTGTGCCGGGCGTGGCGCGTGGCGCATGGTGCAGTGGAGAGCAGACCCAGCGGATGGAGGACAGATCGCCCCGCGTGAGCACGTTCACAAAGGCGTGTTCCGTCGGCTGCTCGGGCCGCTCTGGGGGATGGGAAAGAGGCTGCCAAGGGGCCACGTGCTGGGGGGGGTGCCTGCCACACATTGCCCGGGGCCGCCCCCAACCGCCAGGCAGAGCCTTGAGGCGCTCACCCTGCTCCAGCGGGTAATGGCGGAAGGCGCCCCACGCCCCGTCTCGGAAGACGTTCATCACCAGGTCCCCCTTAAGCACGTGCCGCAGCCCCTCGGAACCCGGCTCCATCGCAGGCACGGGGCTCTTGTCATTGAGGTTGGACACCAAGACACACCTGCGGGGACGGTGGGTGGTGAGGGGGACGGCCGCTGGGCTCAGGTGGGGATGGGATGGGGGAGGGGGCTGCACCCGAGGAGGCCTCACCGGACTCGCTGTCCACCAGGCTCTTTGCGGAGACAGTTCACCATGCCCACAACGCCCGAGGTGTTGCAGCCCACGGCCGTGAGCCACAAGGGCCGGGGTGAGGCGTCGGCCAGCATGCTCTGTGGGCAGAAGACAGGTTAGCCCCTGGCCACGCGCGGTGGGGGAGAGGAAGGGGCAGTGGGGGAGAGGAAGGGGCGGTGGGAGGCGAGAGGGGCAGCGCTGACCTTGAGTGAGTCCACCCAGCGGAAGCTGCTGTCGTCCACGGGCAACAGGATGGGGCTGTCCTGGGATGCCAGGCGGCGGCACAGGAAGAGGGCAGAGCCGTAGAAGGACGTCTTCCGGGCTACCAGGTGCAGGTTCGCCCCTGCGAACAGCTTCTCCCACTGGTCCTGCGAGCGTATGGGGGTCAGCATCGCCCGGGCCCGGCCCTGCCCCACTCCCTCGGCATCCGGGTGCCTGTACCTGGCTCAGGAGGCGCTGGCTTCCGGGCTGTGGCTCGGGGCAGGTGAGGAAGGCCACGGTGTCCCCAAGGGGGTGTCCACGGAGCAGGGTGTGCAGCAGCAGGAAGCCGCCGTCCTTGAGGGTGGCTGCCATGTGGCCCAGCGCTGTGGCTGGGTTCGCCAGGGTGGCCCCAGCACAGTTACAGGCCACGAGGTCGGCGGGACCCAGGCCGCTGGGGGCAGGGCCCATGGGGTCCCACTGGGCCTGGGCCAGGCTTGACTGTGGCAGGAAGCCTGGGGCCAGCTGGTCAGTTGCCACGTAGTCCAACTGCAGCAGAGGCTGCATGCCCAGCAGCTGCGGGATGCGGGAGTACAGGCGGCCCTCGCTGGCCAGCACCTGCGCGTGAAGCAAAGTCAGGCCAGGCCCCCGCAGGGACCCCGCCAGGCCCCCCGGGGCCTCCGGCACCCACCTCCACCACCTTCATCTTCAGCCCATTCAAGTTCTCCAGGGCAGTGTCCACACAGGCCTTGAGCGCCGGCGAGTCAAGCAGGCCACCCAGCAGGGGGTCAGTGGCCAGCAGGGCCCCTTCCTGTGCCAGCAGCTGGCCCAGCTCCAGCTGCAGATTCCCATTGAGCTGCAGCTGGGCGGCTGCGGCCAGCAGCCGGGGCAGGCCCTCCTGAGGGGGCTCCTGCGGGGTCTGGGAGCCTTCCAGCCCGGGCACCGCCATCTTCAGCCCCTGCTGCGCCACCTTTGTCTGCAGCAGTCGCGCCAGCCCTGGGGAGATAGCAGCGTTGGCCAGGGGCACTCGCGGCCCCCGGCCCCAGGGGAGGGGTGCCGGTGCCCTGCTCACCCTGACACTGCTGCAGCTCCTCCTGCAAGGCTGTGCTCCCCGCCAGGCAGCTGTCCTCCATGTAGGGCGTGAACAGGAACTTCTCCAGGATGGGTGCCAGCTGCTCCTGCTGCCTGCGCGGGGCCGGCGACGCGTGCAGCCGCGAGATGAGGACGCCGCCCGCCACGGTGGTGCCCAAGCAGTTGTCCACTAGCACGTCAGCCACTGCAGGCGGGGACAGCGGCTGAGTGTGGCCAGGCCGGGGCGGGGCTGGGGCGGGAGGACAGGCCGGGGCCGGTACCTTGGGTGGCTTCCTTCAGGGTGCGCAACTTCTGGTGGTGGGTGCCAGGGTCGATGTGGATGGCGCTGATGCGGGTGGGCAGACGCAGGCTGCGCTGGGCACTGCCTAGGATGGACACCTGCAGCATGGTGTCCAGGAAGGTCACCCAGTTGTCCTTCCACAGCAGCTGGCCGGCCGTGCCTACAAGGGAGGGGGGTGAGCCCAGGCCGTGCGTGCTGGGGCCGAGAGCGGGCGGGGGGTGTGGGCAGCACCTTCCAGGCTGGCCTCCAGGATGCCCTGGAAGTGCGGCCCGTAGTCATAGCCTCGCAGACGCAGTTCCTTGTACACGTCACCCTGGGCCAGGCGGGACGTGGCCGTGGGTTCTGTGGGGTCCGGGCTGCCTGGGCTGTCGAAGAGCTTGGGGTCCGGGTCCTCCCACTGGGACACTTTTCCTGGGGGAGACAGGGAAGGGCCTCAGCGGGGTGGGCTCGAATGGGGACCCCCATGCCGGCCCCGGCCCTGCCGCTCACCGCTAACTATGAGGGTCCCGTTGTCAGACACCTCAAAGGTGTGAGATGCCTCCAGCAGCCGCACCTCCAAGGCCACCGTCCCTGTGGAGGGTGGGGGTCAGAGTTTACGGTCAGGGTGGGTCAGAGGTCAGAGCATCCTAACACCCGTACCGGGACTCACCAGTCTTGGGCAGGATGGTGGCCTGGTGCAATGTCACATCCTCGAAGAGCACGGGCGTCTGCTCCATGTCCTGGCCCAGTTGGCGGGCCAGTGTCCGCCACGCCAGGCACAGGTAACCGGTGGCCGGGAAGAGGACACGGCCATCGATGCAGTGGTCAACCAGGTAGTGGTCAGGGGACTCGGGGCTGGTGTCTGCAGGGACAGGGCCTCAGGGCGGTGCCCGCAGGCAGGTGGCCGCCCCCACCGCCAGCCCGACAGCCCGCCCACTCACCAATGCTGTAGACGGTAGCTGAGGAGGAGCCGGAGCCACTGGGGAAGTGCTCAGCGGCCGGCACATCCCAGGCCTGGCTGTGGTCCCACAGGATATGTGGCGAGATGAGGGGGGTTCCCCGCGGTGCTGGGAACTCCACGGGCGGGAGCAGCCCGTTGGGGTCGATGTTGATGCTGGGAGAGGGAAAAGTGTGAGAGGCAGCCCCGTCGGGAGACCCATGCTTGCCCGGGCCGCGTGGCAGCCACCCACCCTGCCAGGTGCAGCTTGGCCACGTTGCTGAGGAAGAACTCGAGGTTGTCTCTGTGGTCCTTCTTCATCAGAGGGACGACGGTGCAGCCCGACTTCAGGCCCCGCTTCAGCACGGCCTGGGGACACACACAGGGTCCGCGGCCGCCTCTGCCGCCTGCCCACCTGGCCCGCCCGGCCCCCTCTCGGCCCCCAGGGCCCTCCTCCAGGACGCACCTGTAGCAGAGCGTGCGGGGCAATCTCCACTACCACGGCGTTGGCGGGCACGTGCCGCAGTGCCTCCTGGAACAGCACGGGGCTCACCAGGTTGTTGACGTTGTACTCGGCCGAGGACATGCGGGCCAGGCTGCCCTGCCACTGCGACTCGGGGATGGATGTGCTGAGCCAGCGCGCGGAGCGGGGCCGGGGATTCCGGATCACCTGCACACAGCGGGGTCAGTGGCAGCCCAGGGCCTGCTGGGGCTGCAAGCCCGCCCGTGCCCGCGGCCCACCTTCTTGAGCGCCTGCAGCAGCGCAGGGGCGATGGCGTCCATGAAGTAGGAGTGGAAGGCCATGCCACCCGTCCGCACCTCCTTGGCGAACACGCCCTCCTGCTTCAGCTGCTCCACAAAGCTGGATACGGCCTCCTGTGGGCAACAGGGGGCCCAGGGTTGGACACGAGGCCCCGCCTACCCCTACTGCCCAGCCCGGCCCCGTGTGGCCCCCGGCCCACCTGAGGCCCTGAGATGGTCACGGTGTCCTCCGAATTGTGGCAGGCAGGTACCACGCCGGGGGGACAGCGCTGCTTGCACTCGGCCCAGGACAAGCCTGCAGGCACAGGGGCTCAGCGCTCTGCCAGGGCCTTAATGACGGGGTCCTAATGACAGCCGCGGAGAGCATCCAGGGCCTCCCCCACGGGGCTTTGATCTGGGCATGAGGGCTGGCCCTCGGTCCCTGTCCCACGGGCGGGGTGCTCCCCTCCAGGTCCCTGCCCACAATGGGGGCCCCCCAGCAGACGCGCTGACACCAGGCACCGAAGGACACGGAGCTTGGTCAGGCTGGCCCTCCCGGCGGGGGCGTGGGTGCCTACCCACGGCGGCCATGGCGCCCGGCGGGATGTGTGCCTCCTTGATGCACTGGCCCCTCCAGTAGGCAGCCAGGACGGCCTCCTCTTGAGACAGGCAGCCGTCAGCATAGCCGCAGGCCACTTCCCCCAGCGAGTGGCCCACAATGCCATTGGGGGTCAGGCCCAGGGCGGTGAGCAGGTCGATGAGGGCAATCTGTGGGGAAAAGGACACGTCAGGCACCTGGGGCTCCCCACCCACCACCCAGGCCTGCTCACCGCCTACCTGGATGGCTGTGAGGCACACGAAGGCGTGGACAATGTCCTCGAAGGTGCTCTCGTCCGCGTGCAGCAAGAGCTCTGACACCTTCAGTCCAAAGGGCTTCACCGCCTCATCCGAGCGCAGGACAGATGCCCGGAAGAGGTCCAGGCGCATGAGGCTCCTGCCCATCCCACACCACTGGGCTCCCATACCTGTAGGGGAGGGTGCGACTCAGCCGTGCGCACCAGACTCCGCCACGCGCCCGGGAGTGCACAGGGAGCGAACAATGTGTACAGGGAGCCGCAGGCGGCCAGCTCACCTGAGCAGATGAACCAGAGCGGGCGGTCGCTGGCGGCCACCTGCTGCACCTCACCGCTGCCTGCCTGGCCACCCAGCACGGTCCAGCCCCGGAAGGGCATGGCGGCGACGGGGGCGGCGGCGATGGAATTGAGCATGCTCACAAAGGCCAGGTCCTGTGAGTGCTGCTGGCCCTGGGCAAGCAGGCTCTGCACGGCCTCGGCGGTGCGCCCGCTGGCCAGCAGCAGCCGGGGCAGGGAGGCGTGAGGGGCGGGGGCCGGGCGGGGCTGCAGGTTGGGTCGGAGAATGACGTGGACATTGGAGCCCCCAAAGCCGAAGGAGTTGATGCCCACGTTGCCCCCTCGGACGGGCCGGGGCTGGTCCACCACCAGCAGCCGCCCATCCTGCAGGGCTGGGATCTCGGGGTTGGGGGTGTGATAATGCAGGTTGGGGGCCCAGACACCGTGCTCCAAGGAGAGCAGCACCTGCAGGTGGGCGTCATCGTCAGGGGCCGCCTGGGCCACCCCACCTGCCACCCGGAGTCCCCTGTACCTACCTTGGCCAGTGCCGCGAGGCCAGAGGCAGGTTCGGGGTGGCCCATGTTGGACTTGGTGGAGCCAATGAGCAGGGGCTCCTGGCGGGTGGCACACAGTGCCCGGACGATGCTGTTCAGCTCCTGAGGGTCGCCCACCTGTGGGACCAGGGCAGGGTCAGGTCTGGGAGGTAGGGGGCAGATCGCCTACCAGCAGGGAGCAGGGGCAGGGCGCAGGTCGCCCACTGGTGGGGTCACCTTAGTGCCTGTGCCATGGGCTTCGACGTACTCCAGGGACTCGGGGGACACCCCGGCGGGCGCATACAGGGAGCTGATGAGCTGCTCTTGTACCTCTCCGGAGGGGAAGGTCACACCTGTGGAGACGTGGCCTCAGTGCCCGCCCCTTGCCCCGAGACCCCCATGGCCCCCGACTGTGGCCTACCTTGCTCCTTGTTGCCGTCCGTATTGGTGCCAGCGTTGAGGATGGTAGCATACACCCTCCGGGCCAGGGACTTCTTGGTCAGCAGCACGGCCACCACGGCCTCAGAGCGGCAGTACCCGTTCCCTGAGGTAGCGGGAAGGGTCAGCAGGTCCCCCCCCCACAACCACCCGGCCCTCTTGTTTGCCCGGCCGACTGGCAGGCCCTGCCCCCTCACCACTCGCGTCGAAGGCCCTGCAGGCGCCCTCGGGGCTGAGCATGCCCAGCTTCATGAACTGCACCGACGTGTTGGGCTTCAGCAGGAGGTTGATGCCCCCCACGATGGCCGCAGGGCACTCGCCCGTGCGGATGGCATGGAAGGCGTTCTGCAGGGCCAGGAGGCTGGAGGAGCAGGCTGTGTCCAGGGCGACGCTGGGCCCTGTGGGGAGCAGGGCCAGGCTCTGAGCGGGGACCGGTCCCACCTCCACCCGCTGCCTGGGGACCCCTGGTGGGTGAATACCCACCTTTGAAGTCGAAGAAGAAGGACAGGCGGTTGGCCATCATAGCCCGCTGGCAGCCCACCATGCTGTAGCCCAGCAGCGTCTCGGGGTCCCGGCTCAGTGCCTCCGAGGCCTCGGAGCCACTTACGCCCACCCATACGCCCGTGTGCGTCCCTCGCAGTGAGGCCGGGTTGATGCCTAGGGGACGCAGCAGTCAGCCTGACCCGTGCAGACCCAGACCACCGGATGCAGGACGGGGGTGGGGGGGGTGCCCCAGGGGGGCGGTGGGGCCCAGAGCTGACAGAGGGCAGCATTGTCCCCCAGGCTCCCCGGTCCTAGGGCCACTGGCAGGGCCAGTGAGGGCCAGTGAGCACCCAGGCCGGGCTCGGGGATGAGCAAGATAAGGAGACAAAGGCCGCCTGTTCCTCGGGCTGCACGGAGGCAGGGCGGTTGCCCGGCCCTGGCCAAGGTCTCAGCTGGCACTGGGCAGCAGAGAGCCTGACCACCACCCTCTCACCTGCTGCAAGCCTGAGGCCCCAGGGTGAGGGATGGACCCAGGGACCAGCACAGCCACCCCAGACCCCAGATGGACCCACCCGCATCCACGATGGCCTCATAGGTGACCTCCAGAAGTAGGCGCAGCTGTGGGTCCATAGTATGGGCTTGCTTGGCGTGGACCCCGAAGAAGGACGCGTCGAACCTGGACAGGTCCTTCAGCTTGCCAGAGCGCCGGGGCAGGCCGTAGAGACCTGCGGGACACGGGGGGCTGAGCCCTCAGTGGGCCCTGGACCGAGGCCGGAGGGGGCGAGGGGGCAGTGCCGCGTGCCAGCCCCGTGGTGACTCACAGTGGCAGATCAGGTGGAGCGGGTCTGGAGGGACCGGCCGGCACAAGGTGCCAAACCAGCTCCCCAAAGCGCAGAGCCCTCGCTAGGCGGTCGGGCCGTCCCGTCCGATCCGATCCCCTTCCCCTCCATCCCCAGCCCGGCCCAGCCCGGCAGGAGGTGGAGCCACTCACCCGCCTTCCAGCGCCGGTCATCCTCCGTCACCATGTCCACGCCGCCCACCAGGTTGTCCCAGAACTCCTGGATGTTGTCCGACTCGGGAAGCTTCCCGGACAGGCCGGCGATGACCACCTCCTCCATGGCTGCTCTCTGCGGGCAGCCCCGCCGGCAGCCGGGTCAGCGCGGCTCGGCCCTCCCCCTCCCCAGCCTGACCCCCGGCCACGTGGGCTGCTTGGCCCGGCCCACCCTAATGCCCAGCCCCCTTCCCCCAAAGTCTCAAGCCCCGCACGGGTAGGCACAGCGGCCCACCCCGCACGAGGCGCCGGGGCGGCCCGGGCGCCCCACGGAGGGGGGGGGGGACCGCGCGGGGAGGGGGTCCCGCGGCTCGGCCTGGGCTACATCGGCCCCCGGCAGCCGCGCGGGTGGTCGGCGCCGGGCCGGCGCGGCCTCGTGGGCGCCGCGGGCTGCGGGCCGGGGGTCCCGGGGTGGCCCGAAGGGCCACGCCGCCTCCCGGGCTCCGGGCTCCGGGCCCCGGCGCGGGCGCGGGCCGCGGCTCCCCGACCGACCCCCTCCCCCGGCACGAACAAACAGCCTCGGCGGCGGCGCGGGCGGCGCGCTCTGCACGGCCGCCGCCGCGGGGAGCCGGCCCGCCGCCCCCGCCCGCGCCCCGCGTCCGGATCGACCACGCGCGTCCCGAGGCCCGGCGCTCACCTGGGCGGCGGCGGGCAGCGGCGAGTGCGGCCGCGGCGTCTCTCTGGCTCCCTCTAGGCCGGCGCCGGCTCTATTTAACCGCGGCCGCCCCGCGCGGACACGCCACATGGGCTGACAGCTTGGCTGCGCCGCCCAGGCCAATGAGCGGCGGGGCTGCGCCCGGGTGATGCGCGCGCCGCCGCGGGCCGCGGGCGCGCGCACGGGCGCGCGCGGGGTGGGCGCCGCGCCGGACCCCCGCCCCCCGCCCCGCCCCCCCGGGCGCTCCGCGTCCCCGCACGTTCCCCGGCTCTCGCACGACCCCCGCCCCACGCACGTCCCCCGGCTCCCGCGCCACCCCCGGACACCCCCGCCCGCCGGACGCCCCCCGCCCTCCTTGCCGGGCCCGGGGGTCGCGCGCACAAGGCGCGCCGAGGGGCTGGGCGTGCTTGGGTCACTCTGCACTCTGGGGGCTGCGATGGGGGCCGCGGCCGACCGGGCCGCGGGCGGGCGGACGCACATCCGCGTCCGGGACCCTCAGGCCACCCGCACCGGCCCCGCCGCGGGCCGCGCGGATGGCCGGGGGCGGGCCGCGGGCGCGGCGGCCAATCGCGGGCCGGGGGCGTCGCAACGGCCCAGTGGCGGCGCGCGAGTGGGCGTTGCTAGGCGATAGGGTGATGGGCCGGGCGGGCCCCGCGCTGCGCGGGCCGCCACGGGGACAGCGCGGTCGTTGACCCCGGCCCCGGGCGCCCCGCGCGGGGTTACTGCCGGTCGCCGCCGCCCAACGCCGCCAGCCGCCCACTTGGAGGGTCCGGCCCGGAAGCCGGCGGACGGGGGGAGACACGGCCATGTGGCGGCCGGCCGGCGCGGACGCCCCTCGGCGGGGCGCGAACAAAGGCAGGGCCGCGCGCGCACGTGGCCACCCGCATCCACGAGCGCGCAGACGCGCGGGCGCGCCCTCCGCCGGGCGCCGCGGCTCACATGACCCTCGGAGGCCGAGCAGCCCCACGGCCACGGCAGGGCTAGGCCCCCGGGAGGCCGGAGAGCGCTGGGCGCCGGCCTCGCTGGGGGAGGGACCCTGGACGGGGTGGCGACCCCTCCCCCCAAGTCTCGCCGCCACTTCCTGTCTCCTTAGCCGAGTCGAGTCGCCGCCTGGACTCCCAGCAGGGGCCTACTGAAGGGGCTTATCAGAACCACCTTTCCGCGGGCTTTTTCTCTTGCTAAAGACCTTCCTAGAAGCCTGGTACCGCACCAGGTGCAACTGGGCCATGCGGGCCACTCCCAACTCCAGGGCCTTCCCGGCCCCCCTCCCCCCACCCCATGGGCTTACTTCCTGCTCCAGCAGGCGCACAGGACCTTCTCCAGGCACTGCCCAGTGGGACTCTACCCCCACAGGCCAGATGCATCCAGCTGGGCAGGGCCACAAGGTGGGCCTGGACTGGAGCCGGCTGAGTGGGACCCCCTGGCACTGCACCTCTGCCCCAGGTGGGGTGAGAGTTGGAGAGGTGTCCAGCTGGGGGACGAGGGGACCAGAGAGGCCCGAGGGAATACGGGATTCTGCTGGGGGCCCCCTGACTCCAGGCAGGGTCACTGACGCCCACCAGCATGAAGGTGGCTGTGGGCAGGGACAGATGGGTAGTGGCGGTCAGGCGGAGGCCAGTAGGACGAGGGCTCACTGCCCCAGCTGCACACACTCATGAGCACACACCAGCGTGAGAGCGAAGCACAGGTTGGAGCACTGAGGGGCCGGGTGGGCAGGCGCGGCTGCAGGGAGTCAGTCCTTGAAGTTGTAGTTGCGGATCTTGGGGGGCGGCAGGAGGCTCTGAGGACGAAGTCTGGGCCGGAGGGTCCTGGGAGGCCTGGCCTTGGCCTGTGGGTCTATCTTCACGCCCTGGAGTGCGAAGGCAGGCTGACTGCTGTGGGAGGGGGTCCTGGTGGGCCCTGCTGCTGGCACCAACTCTGCATGAAGAGAGACTGTGTCTGCAGAGCCCGCGGGGGCTCCCAGCACCACCCCAGCGTCCCACCATGAAACTCCGACGTCTGTCCCTCAGACTGGAAACAGTGAGATGCAGAACCTGGACCCGCCTGAGAGCTGGGTGCCGGATGAGCCCAGCTCAGGCTGGCGCAGGGAGCCCCTTCTCCCTAGGGTGCTGCTCCAGCTACCTGGGTCCTGGCAACACCCTGGCAGGATGGGGTTGGCAGGTGCCCAGGCCTGGCTCTGGGGTGTGGGCTTCTTGCCCCTAGGGCTGCTGGCCCTTAAGAAGGCTGGTACCCTGAGCCCGGTGGACCCCAGGGCGCTGTGTCCCCCAGACTGTCCTGCCCCAGGCAGGAGGGTGCTGGCCAGCTGTGCCCTGGCCCAACACCTTTCTCTGAATCCCACCCCCACTGAACCCCACGCCCCCGCGTCCTCAGCCTTCATGTGCAATTCCCACCCACCCCAAACCCCACATCTCAGCCACCCCCTCCAGCCTGTGTGCTGCTGCGGGTCCTGACCCTGACGGCTCAGCCCCATGCTGACCGCACCCGTCTGCACAGGCCGGGTGCTGGGTACTATGGGCGGTAGGCAGTAACTGGCATGTAGGAGTCTGACCTCAGGGTGCCTGCAGTGAGCATAGGCCGAGCACAGCCGGCGGACGTGGGTGACCATCCAGTACCAGGGATGACCCTATTCTCCCTTCCCCTCCCTTGGTCCCCCTCCCCTTCTCCTCCTTCCCTCCTCTGATCCCCTTCCCTCCCTTGCTCCCTCCCCTACCTCCCCCTGCCCCTCCTCTACTCTCTCTCCCCTTCTCTTCCCCTGCTCCCCCTATCTCCCCCTCCCCCTGCTCTCCATTTTTTCCCTTTCCTCTCCCTCCTTTCCTCCTCACCCCTGCTCAGCTAGGACCCAGTGCCCCACCCCCCTGCCAGTCATCTGCAACCTGTCCACGAAATTCCCAGAGAAAGCACTTCTGTTTTGTTTGGGGGCCACACCCAGTGATGCTCAGTGGTTACCCCTGCCTCTGCACTCAGGAATCACTCCCAATGGCGCTCAGAGGACCCTATGGGATGCCAGGGATGGAACCCAGGTTGGCAGCATGCCGAGAAAGTGCCCACCCCCACTATGATATCGCTCCGGCCCAGAAAGCACATTTAAAAAAAAATTTTTTTTGGGGTCACACCCGGCAATACTCAGAGGTTACTCCTGGCTCATGCACTCAGGAATTACTCCTGGCGGTGCTCAGGGGACCATATGGGATGTTGGGAATCGAACTCGGGTCAGCCGTGTGCAAGGCAAATGTCCTACTTGCTGTGCTATCGCTCCAGCCCCAAGCACATTTTCAAGGAAGAGCTTTTTGGGTCGCACCTGGCAATGCTCAGGGGTTACTCCTGGCTCTGCACTCAGGAATTACCCCTGGTGGTGCTCAGGGGACCATATGGGATGCTGGGAATCGAACCTAGGTCGGCCTTGTGCAAGGCCAATGCCCTACCCGCTGTGCTATCACTCCAGCCCCTCAAGGAAGATTTCTTTGTTCTGCAAAGGCTGTGCATCCCAGCAAAGAGGACATCAGCTGTGCTGCTCAGTCTGATTGCATGGGCCACGGCAGGCAGAGAAGGCCTGGCCCTCACTAGGACGCCCTTGGGAGATGGGTGGTGCCGGCTTTTATGCTGGGTCTTCCCAGCACAGAGGTGGGGGCTTGGGTGCGGGTATGGCCCAGAACCCCAAATCAAGAGAGAAAGTGGAGCAGAAAGATGAGGTAGGGTGCGTGTGAGGCGGAAGCACTGCTGTCTGCCACTGCCCCTGCCCACCTGGCCAGTATAGGACTGTGCACAGCTCTTCAAACAGAGCCAGGTGTCAAGGGACAACCCTCCCTTCAGGGCGGGGCCAGGCTAATGACCTCCCCTAGGATCCCTAAGTGCCCTGGGGAGGGTAATTACCGCCCCAGTGAGAGTATCTGCCCTTGAGATGCTGCGTGAGGGTGTGACAGTGAGAATGTGAGTGACAAAGTGTGAGAATTGTACAAGTATAACAATGTATGTCAGTGGCTGTGACAAAGTGTGTTACAGTGACAATTTCTGAGAATGGAGTGACAGTGTCTGAGAATGTGAGTATGATAATTGTCAGTGAGTGTGTGACAACACTGTAACCATGACAGTGTGTGAGAATGTGAAACTATGTGAGAATATGTAGATGACAATGTGTGAACATGAGAGCATGTGATGGGTGTGTGACAATGTGTTTGAGAAGGTGAGACTGAGAATGTACAGATGTGTGAGAGAGCAGGTGATGGGTGTGTGAGAATGTGTGTACGACAATGTGTCAGTGACAGTGTGTAAGAATGTGTGTAGGTGACTGGAAACGAGCGCATATGATGCATGTGTGAGAATGTTTGTGTGAGAATAGTTTGTGTGTGAGAGCATGTGAATGGGTGATTAGGTGCAAATGTGAGAGTATGTAACAGTCTGTGAGAGTATGGCAGTTTGTGACAGTGTGACATGTGAGAATGTGTGAGGATGTATAACATGTCAAAGTGCAAGTGTAACAATGTGTGAGTGGGTGTGTGTGACAATGTGAGTGAGCATCAGAACGGGTGGACACCAAGTCGTGGTACATTCCATCCATCCATGGCCCTGGTCCTGTTCTCCCAGCCTCCTGGCGGGCTCCTTGCTTGCTGTCTGTGTGGGGACCCCTCCAGGAGCAGCTCCTTCCCAGGGCCACTTCTCTTGATGTTTTCAGTGTTTCCCCGGTGTTGAGCAGGGCAGCAGGAGAGTGGACATGCTAAGCGAGGCCATTAGGCTGAAGGTGTGTGGCGCTGCAAGTCTCCGAAGATTAACCTTCCGAGGCATCTCTGCTTTTGTTCTGGGACCCTGGGGCTGCTCTGGGTGAAGCTCTTCCTGGCTGGCGCCCAGGCCAAGACCCGTATGCTCCCACACCACACTCGACACAGACGGACCCAACACAGACGTCACGGCGAACATGTTGGCTTCACAGGGACCTTGCAAAACTGTCCAGCTGTCCGCTCTGGCCTGTCCTCCTGCCTCTTCCTGTCCCCTGTTCCTGTTTTCACTTGGCTTGTTCAGCAGGTGGAGCTGGTCTGGCCCTGGCCCATCTCCATTCCTGCACCACGGGCTCCTGTGGGTTAGCCCCGCTGGCGCTTCTCACAGGGCGGGCTCATTGGTGCTGATTTCTTGCCTTTTTCTCTTTTCACTTCTTTTGGCCACACCAGCAGTGTGTGAATCTCAGGGTGTGGTCCCCAAACAAAACAAAACAGCAAAGCAAGATATCCAATATTTGTCTTTTTCCTTTTTTTCTGGAGATTTGCAGAGGGAGTCTGGTGTTCAGCCCCAGCTGATGTTCAGGGCTTAGTCCTGGTTTTGTGCTCTGGGATCACTCGTGGCTGGATGGGGGGGGGGCATATGGGGTGTCAGAGCTGAAATCCCGACTCCTCCCCACTGTCATGTCTCTGGCCCCCAACTTCCCCCTTTATACTCGGCTTCAGACCCTTTCATTGTGATAGGAAAAGGAAGTGTTTGTCTTTTTAAACCGGTGTATTCTGGGGGTGGGGCCACAGCAGAGCTGCTCAGGGATCACTCCTGGCAGTGCTCGAGGGACCCTGTGGGGTGCTGAGGATTGAAGCTGGGTCCTTGCCTTCATCACTGTATGATCTCTCTGTCCAATTCTTTTTTTTTTAAATATATGTGTTACTTATTCGCTATTTGTGGTAGAAGCATATCCAGTGGCTTCAGAACTTATTCCTTGCTCTGTGCTAAGGACTCATTCCTGACAGGACTTGGGCGGGGGCGGCATATGGGATCTGGGGATTGCACCGGTGTTGGGATCAGCCCTGTGCATGGCCAACTCAATCTATTCATGGTACTAACTTTCCAGCCCCCCAATTCTTTTTCAACAACTGTTTCGAGGGCCAGAGAGAGAGAGCACAGGGGTTAAGCACCCTCTGTGCCTGTGGCCCAGCCCCACTCCACAAGTGCTAGGCTTGTTCCCGGAGCTGGTGCGGGGACAAGTGCCCTGTGGGGGTCTGCAGGGCACAGCAGCCACAACTGGCAGTGCCGCCTCTGCCCACTCGCCGAGCTGACGAGCCCTGTCTGGGCGGGATCTGGCGTGCTCCCATCGGAACCCCAGGAGAGCCCTGGCCCGGCCCATTTGTCTCCCGTGTGGCCCAGATGGCCTCCCCCCCTCCCCTTCCTTGCACGAGCCCTGGCGCCCGGGGCTCCTGTGTGCAGTGGGCCTAGGGCTGCTCTGTGAGAACAGGCTCTTTTGAAAGTTCTTTCGACATTTGTCCTAAGTGGCAGCTACAATTTCGTCATAACAATTTCAAGGAAAGAACTAACAAAGATCTATTTGACCATCGGTTTCGCAAAATACTCCTCAATCTTGGGTTCTAGAGTCAAGAAAGGCAGGCGGACGCCACCAGGCCCGGCCCTTCAGGTGCTCCTGCCTTCTTCAACTGTGAGGCCGCAGGCCGCTGGGTTTCACCCCGGCAGCATCCAGATTCTTGGTTTTCTTAAGGTCTGGGTCTGGGTCAGGGTCCTTCCGGCAGGGCCTGGCCCTCTGGGACATGGGCTCGGCACAGGTGTCCTGCCATGCGGGGACCACCAGGACCGTCCGCAGAGCCATGAGGTGTCCAGGGCTACACCTCGAACCCAGTGACTGAGGCGCCACAGTGTCCAGGCCATGAGAGTGCTCCTGCTCCGTCTGGGTGGCGGGACTGGCAGGGCCAAGGAGAAAAAGAGATGCAAGAAGGAGGAACAGAACCCCGGCCCTGCCAACCCCCGCCCTGCAGAGACCCTGCCCAGCACAGACTCCACCCTGCACAGAACCCCCTCAGGCCCCCACCCTCACAGACCCCCATCCTCACAGGCACCCCTCACAGACCCCCAGCCTGCACAGACTTCGGTGCCCCTCACCAGCCAGCGTGAGCCCCACCATGTGCCCACACCCCATCTTGCCAGCAGGCCACAGTGGG